CTCTGCCTGGTCAGCTTCCTCAGGTCATCCACCATCAGCTGATGACGGCGGTGTGGCTGCGCTGTCCTCTAAAACCGGCGGCGGCCACCGATTTGGCCAGGACAGGGGCCGCGCTCGATATCTGACGTAAGGACTATCGGCCCTTGGGATGCCGGCGGCGCGCCGGGCCACGGCCGTCTGTGGGAAGTGTTCGGCTGTGTCGGGTCCGTGGAAATACACCGGTGTGCGACATTTTCCTAGTCTGCTCTGAAACAACTAGCGGTGTGCATGTTGCAGTGAACTAGAACACGGCTACGGCGTACGTAACTAAAATCACTTTTTTTCGCTTCCCTTATCGTTTCGGGTGAACATACATTTAGACGAATGCTGGCAAAATAATGTTATATAATATCTGACACGACAATGCTCTCTTGTGGAGCTCAAAGCACTTCATTTGCCGACATCCTGGGTTTGCACTGATATCATCTGAAGCAGTTCCTCTCGCCCATCTAATTCATTTTTCAACTACCAACGTTAATACAGTGACAGCTATCATTCTCATCGCAAGTAGGAATTTTTCACGCTGCTTGCGATGTTTGACAATAATGTAAAGCCTACCTGTTGCTGAAAAATGTATGGCTTCCCTCGAGCTCATTGCATGCCTTGGGGCGAGAAATGGATTCCTTGTTATGATGTCGGAGTCGCTGGTATAGCGTGGGATGTGTTTTTTTTTTTGTAGGATTCACTGCACTTTTATAAGGAACTGCTACTCAATTATTTGAAAGCTTTATCCTATTATTCGTGCAATCTAGTATCCTAGCTGGAATGAAGACGGTGGTGCTGGCCAGGAAAAAGGGGATTGATAGCATATCGAAGTCCTGGAATCTGGATGCGAAGAGGTGACGAACGGACAAAAAAGATAATATATCAATGCAAAGTTGTATTTTATCCAGAGATTAATATGACGAAAGTCGTAACCTACAATAATAGGACAACCTTTTTGTACCCTTTCCTTTCCTCAGAAAGCATATTAATTCGTCAATACAGGAAATTTGTAGCGGCTTGAGCCGCGTTCGCCAGGACGGCGTTGAGCCTGTATTGTAGACTGCAGCGTCTGGACGGTAGGCTGTACCGCCACACACGACTGGGAGGTAGGCTGTACCGCACGACACGCCGCGGCGCCAGCCACTCCGCTGAGTGAATTACGTTCCGCCCGAGTCTGACGCTTCTGTTCGGTGGTTTCAAATCAAAGTATATAGCTTCACATTTCATATTGATATGCTAATTAAAATGTGATGCATAAGTGACATCCCGTCAATCCCGCTCGTCCTCTCTTCTCCAATCCACCAGGAGCCCGCCGCTGTCGCTTCCGCCCGTGCCGCGTGCTCTGCTGGCCTCAACCAGTGCCCAGCCCACTCCCCTGAATTGAGTCGCCGGAAACCGGAGAGCACATTTGGCTAATAATGTCAACGGTATCGGTCGGTGTCGGCCCGGTGGTGTCGGACGGCCGGCCGCCGGCAGCGGTGGGGGACTGGCCGCGCGGCCGGCCGGCCGGCGGCCCACTCTCTGTTGTTGACTTCCCTCCAGGCGCCCACTTTAGATTGCGCACGTGATTGGTAAATATTGGGTGGGTGCGCCTCTCCATCGCCGGATAGCTTCGGTAACCGGGTTGAGATTTACACTGGCATCTTGGCCCAGAGAAAAAAAAATGAGATTCGGGCCGCCGTCCTCCGGGCACAAGGCAGCTGAAGCCAGGGAAGTTGAGTGTTGCGCTCGGTCGCCGATCAAGGGCTGGGAAAGTTTGATGCATCTACAGAGTTTTCATGTTGATGTGGATAAGTTTGGCGCTGGTGACAGGTCAGAAATTGGCACAGAGTTTTGACACTTACCGAGGTCAAGTTTACATTCAAATACACTCCAGCGTTCATAGTTACATACACACTACACATGTTCTAGCGTGTGCATTAGTCATTCGCCTCTAAGCAATTAGGTACCAATGATGCATCTACAATCTACATCATGTTTATGAGCAATGATAGTGTAAAATAAAAAATCTGGCAGTCTCTTGCCGCCTGCTTACTACCATCGTTCCTTACGCTGAGCCAACAAAGCGAACGCATTGCATATTGCTGCAACGGAAAAGCCTCGTGTCACTTTAGAGCTAGCTGCTTACAGGCTACGGCTTCCTGTTTATGACTTCCGAGCCAGTTTCGCCACGCTTGTAGCCTGCAGGGTTAAGACAACGTCAAACTTAAATGAAAAATGCTACAAAATATGAACATAATGTTCCAGATTTACCTCTGAAATAGAGTCACCGAAATGACAGGTGGCGGTGTGGGGGCCCACTCGGCCGCGCCCGTAAATTACGTCCCGCCAGCTTATTGAAGCCGTAGATCATACATTAATGGTCGTGCACGCTCCCGTATAGCTCATGGATGCAATTACCGAGTCTCCTGCCGGTGTTACGGCACTGCCAACCCGGCGGCCGGCTGCAGTGTGAATGAAATGAAACGTCTTCATGACTGCCAATGCTCTTACGGTGCAGAGCGCTGCCCATTCGGTTTGCACAATGGCATCGCCCACACCTCCGCTCATAGCGTCCAAATGTCAGAGCTGTGTGCGGAAATGATCCCACTTTACGCGCATGGGCCGCTGAAGAACGTCATGTGACACAATATGACGTAATTATGGATAAAAGTAATATGGATGTGATTCCCTTGTAAATTGTTATCAAATGGCTACGGGCCGGATCCTGTTTGTTGTGGTATAAAGGTTTTAAAGTCTATGTAGCTATTTCCGGGATGTTGGCGAGGACATTGTCTGCCAACGGCGTGGGAAGCCTCCTGACAGAAACAAACTGAGCTGTCGCAAATGCTCGGCCGGGGTATGCGCGGAATGCCGTTGGTAAACATGAATTATGATCACAAATAACAAGACGTGCGTATATTTGATACCCAACATTACACAAAAATGGGGACCGTCGAAATGGGAGTAAATTTAATGTGATACAACTGCTTGGGATGAAGCATTTTTAGCATATACTGGTTCAAAACGACACACAAAATGTGTGTAAACGGGTAAGACATGCACATTACCAAAAGTCTGTCATAAGGGGTACTTTTACCTTAGTTCATTTCAGTTGTAGTGGGATCAATGTTACGAAAGTAATGTAAATCCAACCATTATCTTTATTATATATTTAATATTCATTTTGCCGGCAGTTCTTGCCGTGATTCATGAAAGGATTTATGTAGATATAGGAAATAAACTGCATGGTTAGCACCCATTACGTTGATGAGTTTCATGGTGAAAAGAATACAGCAGCACGAACTACGGGTGCCCATGAATAAATAACGTATATGGGGAAATAAAGAGAAGCGTCGAGGCAGTCATTGGGTATTCAGCCTTATTGCATAAGTGGGCAACAGCTCCTTGAGTTACGTTAACAGCCGTGATGGTCATAAGTCTTACGTCGCGTGGGCTTCGCTTGACAGTTATTGAGCCTTGCTGTTGGTAAATAAGAATCTTTCACGACATATGGCATCGGACATATGCTGTACCCACATAAAGCCAACGTTAATCCGTCATTTGTTTATAATCACACTGCGGAGGCGAGTGATGTGGCTTTTCTGAGTAGATACCTCAGTCTCAATGCCTCCCGCACGTCCACCTTCGGAGCATTCTCCCAAGTCCCAGGTATAACTTCCCGCGATGGCTCCACATTACCGCTCCCAGCGCGGGGCCTCGGGTGCCTCTGCTGTTTATCAATGCACACCTCCGGGGAGAGGGCAAGGTGCGTCTCCTCCGATACTCTACCCGTCTGACGTCACCACGTCCTGCCCTCGGGCTGATCATTTCCTCCCCACTCTGTCCGTCTGACTTCTGCAGCCTCGCCTCGCGCAAGAAAAACGGCGCCAAGAGACCGGAGCGGCCGGCGGCGATCACGACCCGGCGCGCCAAAACTGTCAACAGCGCGCCAAAACCGTCAACAGGCCGTGCGGCCGTCTCGGTGCTGGAGCGTCCGTCGGTGATCGGTCTAGGGGACCTCCGACGGGAACAGATCGGCTCGATGGGCTATTAGAGCCCGCCGCGAACTGCTACCGCCCAATGCAATGCAAGCATGCGACGATTTCACTGAAGACACTTGACTAGACTATTAATCGGTGTAAGCCGCACCTGGACCTATTGTGCTGTTCGAGCGTTGATAACTCGCTTCATTGACAATTACCTATCAAATGAAACTTTGTGATCAAATGCCTGTATTCAGGCTAACGACTTTAATGATAAGCTTAGTTGAAAAGTTCAATATCAAAAAGCAATGTTCTCTCAACGAAGTCAACCAGCCTGTGAAATGTGGCTTGATCGCCTCGGCATATGGCTAGCAGGATCTGTTTGGAAACTGACAGGAAGACTTTAACAGATCCGATAGAATTTGTGTGGATTTGAAGAAACGGTGTTAAAAACACGCATCGGTGCGTAACATTTAATATCAGAAACCTAATTTTCTACCATGAGGCCTCATTTAATTAAAATCTCTCTAAGACGGTACCCAACGTCTATTTTGGGAAATATTCAAACTTTGTTGAATGTCATGAACGCCTACACATACTTTCTAAACATTACAACTCTACCCTGAGGGTGGAACTATAGGGGTTTTAACCGAACGTGCGTTCCGGGAACACCAGCATTAAATAATAAATCTGATGAATGCACCTGCCCGCTGCCACCGTATGCGGCCAAATTCACGGGATTACCATTACAGAGTTCACTGAACGTGCAGTGGCCCCTTCTGTGACAAAAGATAAGCACAAATGCCAGTCATTTGGAACAAACCAGCTCCCACGGACAGGCGTGTTATTTTACAGTGAGTTACGGCGCTGCCTTGGGGTCAAAGCGGTGCCGTTCATATGTCATCCTTCACGGTGCGCAGGGGAGCTGCAGGCCCGGCGGCTTCTCCGTACGGACATCATTACACAGACGTATGTGGACTCGTAACTCGGCACTTCTCAGAGCACGATCGGTAACAGAACAGCCATCAGTTTATTGGTACGAGTTCAGACGGCGGCAGGACTAGGCCCGCGCACCGCTCACGGCCATACTCCGGCCGTGATGAACACACCACTTCCAGCGATATAAGAGACATCCCGAACGCGCAACCTTGGCGATGTAGCTCACATGCCGAACGCATCCCACATGACAGTATGACCCGGCCACATGTCGAACGTATGTACACACTGAGAACTTCTGGCAATGTAACACACCTGCCAATAACATCACTTCAGACGATAGGTATAGCAAACTTTCCCAAACGAGTCGCCCCTGGCATGTAACTCGCATCCCGAGCCCATCACTTTCAATGACACGAAACATGCTGAACGCTCCACATAGCATTCTGAAGCGCATAACGCCTCTGGAAGCCACTGAAGAAGTTACCCCCACGCAGATAGAGGATGCGTTCAAAGATGCGACGTAATATGCTCTGGTGGGGTCACCGTTGAACAGAGTTTACCTGGTCCATGATGTTCAAAACAATGAACAGTCGCCCGTTAGTTTGGAATGATTATTTTCACTTGTCGCGACGCCGTTATGGAATGTCTGTCTCGCTTTAAAGAGGTGCCACAGCTCAATTGATACCATCACACATAGACCTCTCTTGCCAAAGATATCTTCACTTTTCACACACGTGTGTCGTCAAATCTTCTCGCACATAGCACACACAGAAAAATATTAACACCGTTAGCGGTGTAATTGCACAGTACATATCTGAGCACTTGAGGAAAGTTAATTTAGTCCCTTCCCCGCTTAAATTACTCGCGCTTCCAAATGAACACCAGGAAGAAGGTAATAGAACACTGTTAGGAGGGTTGGGTGTTTTGCTACATGTAGTAAAACACCCAACCCTCCTAACAGTGTTCTATTACCTTCTTCCTGGTGTTCATTTGGAAGCGCGAGTAATTTAAGCGGGGAAGGGACTAAATTAACTTTCCTCAAGTGCTCAGATATGTACTGTGCAATTACACCGCTAACGGTGTCAATATTTTTCTGTGTGCATCGTCGGAGATCTTGTGACGCACAGAATCGTGTGACCTCGTTACCTCACACATAATATCGTCTGGGTAGCTGGGGTTTCATCACACAGAGTCAGTATTTTTTTTCGGCAGCCATCGCTAATCTACTGTAAGTCATTGCACAAATAGCGTACAGTTCCTGGGCTCTTGGGCCCCTTTGCCCGGTTTCGAGGCCCCTCGGCACGCATCCCTGTCGAAAAGTTATTCAATCTCCCCAACAGATCACATTACTACCCTCTTCGGCCCCCGCATTCACATGACGACAATCGCGCAATGAAGATAGTCCCAATGAAGCGCTCACATTTCCATACCAACAGCTCCCCATGAGAGACGGAGGAGATCCACACCACACCTCAGTTTCCGTAATTCTCATCGGTCCGAAGGCTCTCGCTGATCAGCTGGTAAAGCACCTTCAGTTGGGCGACCTCCGTGAACCAGCGAGGTCGCACTGCCCTCAGTCGGGACAGCACGGCCACCGGGCTCAGGTCACCGGTGGCTAGTCTCTGACGGTTCAGCATGTCGGCAGCCACCAGCAGGGCGGCCTCCTGCTCCGCTCCCCTGAGACACAGGGAGAGAAGGGTCAGCGGGGAAGGCAGCTGCTGCTTATTTACTGGAAACGGTGGACGATGGAGAGGCAGAGAAGGAAGAAGGAAGTGTAGAAGGGGAATGAGAGTACTTTTAAGCTAAATGAAAGACGTGGCATTAGCTAAAGAGCTGGATCGTACTGAAATGTGTAACTAAATCCTGCCAGAAGTCACGTTGAGAACCGGTTCCAATAACAGAATGGCACAGTCGCAAACCACCACTCACATCACCTAGCACAATTGCCACAATAGAAACACCACATCATATCACCCTCAGTGAACCAGGTGATCCTACGTTTGCCCTATTTATGCCAGAATCCATCAGTCAGGTTTCCCCAGTCGTTTGTGCCCCGCATGGTAAACACCTGGTTGTCGGCTTGTGTCCGGTCGGCCGCGCTGGTTAGCTAGTGATTCGTCAGCCGTCTGTCGGAGTCCAGCTGTGCTCTGCAGCGGGCCGTGGTCTGGCACTGACCAAATAATGTCCCCCTGCACCCCCCCCCCCCCCCAGGTCGACTGTGTGCAGCGGTCCAATTTACCCGGAACACCAGCGCAGTGTGAGGTCAGGCTATTTACGCGTAGAAACATAGTGGGCACCTGTTTAAGCGTGACGCAGTGCAATGTGCCTTTCATGTTTCGCTGTGTTCACGAATTGCCGCAGTTGCAGCAGAATGCAGGTACGAAGAATATAACAGGGCGGAAAATATGCTGCAGTTCATATGGAGCCACAAAGCAAGACGTCCCTTGGGAACAAATATAAAACTCAACACCGTCGAGTTCATGCCAGAAATGCAGGAATGCGGCTATCTATAGGTACGCCTCTCTCTTCCATTGACCTCATTACACCTCCTCCCCAGCTCCACTGTTCCGCTTGTTCCGGCTGCGCCGCTGCTTGTTCCACTGTTCCGCTCCATTGTTCCGTTTTCTCATTTCCCTCCTTTACGTGCACGCAACAGGTCTCATGCGTTGGGGTCTGAACTGGGCCACGGCAGAGCAGCCCCATAATATCTTCCGCCCATTCCCCTCCTCCGCATATGCACAAACACGGCACAGAGTACCCTGCTAACAGTAAAATACACCTTCTCCACTGAAGACAGCACCCTCCCCACAACAGACAGCACCCTCCCACAAAGGAGAGAGAACCCTCCCACAAGGCAAAGAGCCTCCTCTCTATCGGTCACGGACTTAAACTGGACGCAACAAACCGAGTCGGCCAGGTCAGCGGCAGTCGGTGCCACTTCCGAGAGGCTGGCTGATGTCTCCAAACTGGCCCTCAGGGAGGCGTTACTGGCGGACTGAGTGAGACGGCTCGTCGCGACCCAGCGGTGGACTGGACGGGGATGGTGGACGGTGGGCGGTAGACGGTGGATGGTGGACGTTAGATGGTGGACGGTGGATGGTGGACAATGGACTATGGATGATTGACGTTGGGCGGTGGATGGTTGATGGTGACGCTGAACAGCAAACGGCGGAGTGTGGACAAGTGACTGGTGGACAGCAGACAGTGAACGGAGGACAGTAAACTGTCACATCATCCTATCCATCACTCCTCTCGTTCGCCATACATTCCTCCGCTCTCCACCACTCAACAGCACATCCCTCGTAGCCGGTCCCGTAGCTCAGTTGGTTAGAGCGTTGGACTCCGCGTGGTGAGAGCACGCGTTCCCGGTTATGACAGTCCGGGTTCGAAGCGCGACGGGCGCTCGACATTTATGGGCCTCCTGACAGGTATGGTTGCGGTTGGTGGCAGGCCGTAGCCAGGTGAAGTCAGCGAGGGGACCGGCCGTGCGCGGCTTTGTGCGCACGTTAAACTTTGGACTCTAAATTCTGCCATAGAATCGGAATTGCGCGATCGGAGGGTAGAGGTCAGGGTCATCGCAACAAGCTTTGCTTAGCGGTGGCTCTGTCCTTGTGAATCCTTCCCATCAAAAGGTTCGGACCAAATTTTAAAAAAAAAAATCTCCCAGCTGATCGGTATGGACATTTCACCGATCTCCAGCCAGCCGCCGATCGGTCGGTTGGTTTTCCACTCATGACGTCATCAGGCAGCGTCACAGGACCGGAGAGCCGGCCTGGCGGCGGTCCACAGAACATTCGGGTCTATTCTCCGGGCGCGGCTGGCCAATTCAATCCGCCAAGATGCCGTAAACGAAATGAGGAAAGGCAGGCCAAACTTGGACCAGCATTCGAATGATCGGGGATATTTGTATTGAAGCCAGTCTAGTGGTTCTCTGTGCATTCATACAAACGTTGCATCAACTGAAATAACGCTGTTTTACAAACATGATACTCGGACGACTCGCAGTATCATATCTTATCGGTCAAAGGAATTCATTGCATCATGCTGTAATGCTTGTAAGAACAACGTTAGGCTTACGTTGCCTGCGGCTTGCACCTGATAGACGGCTTAGTTTTTATGAACTTAAAGCAAAGTACGTCATCAACCTTCATGGAATTTTACCTTGAACCGAAAAAGTATCGCCTTATTTGGAGCGATGATGATGTAAATATAGGTGAGAGGGAACTTATACACTCAATGGTTTTCTGGGACACGATCCAAAACTTCCTAGAGATACCTAGGGAATCGGACCTTCAGAGAACCAGGCAAAGGCAGCATCATCGTTCCTAAGGGGAAACTAAAACGGTCTTTGATCCATAAACATGCTCCAGTGTTGCCTTTTGACCTTTCTGCCTCTGGGAAACCTGGGCTACCGGTCGGTGGAACTTGGTGCCTCTGAGAGACTGTGTCTGGCCGTGTCCCCTTGGTCTCGCTAGCTGCACCAGTCAGAGTTTTCCATCCCGACCAGAGAACCACACGGCTGTAACAGTTGGTGACGCCTCCATATGCCAGATATGTGATAACCATCCCGGCTGGAACAGTCGGTGGCTCCCGTAGTCAGGCAGCCAAATGGTTGCATGGGGTTCTGTCCAGGCTGAAAACGATCTTACATCTATCTCGTATCAGTAGCTGTGTAAGTCGGTAATTTCCGTCCTAACCTTACCACCAGCCGTCTGCACCAATCTTACATGTTTCATGAGCGATGTATGGGGTGCCATTGCCGAAGGCAAACAAACTGATGTTATTTATACCGACTTCTCTTCCGCTTTTACTAGTGTTAATCACGAACTTTTACTCTATAAGCTAAACAAGTCTTTCAACGTAACGGGTCTTGCATACAACTGGCTTCATTCATACCTTAGTGAACGTAAACAGCGTGTTGTTGTCAACGGGAAGCAGTCAACATGGACACCTGTGCTGTCGGGCGTGCCGGAGGGAAGTGTGTGCAGTAGTTTGTTGTTCGCGTGCTACACAGCTGACATCCCGCTTCATGTCAAGCACGGGTGCACGATGTATGCGGATGATATCAAACTGCACAAAATGGTTCGCTGTGAAGATGATGCTCATACATTGCAAGCTGACATCAATGCATTGGTAGACTGGTCTCGCGCTTGGAACTTGCACCTGAACCCTGTGAAATATCATGTGATAACTTTTACTTTGCGCACCTCACCTGTATTAGCATCATACAAGATAGGTGACGCCGCACTGGAACGATGTACGCAGGTGCGCGATTTAGGAGTTGTGCTTGACAGCAAACTGACCTTTGCTGGTCACGTAGATGCCACGGTCGCCAAAGCGAAACGCATGGTCGGTCTGCTGATCAGAAGCATGCAGCGATCGGCCGTCCCGCGCCGCGCCAGGGTCAGTTTTAAGCCTTTACTGTATGTTTTTTACGCTCATGTTCGCTCCATCATCGAATACGGCAGTGTGGTCTGGTCTGGTGCAGCTGTGACTCACCTCAAAAGACTCGAACGTATTCAGCACATATTTCTCATCTGGCTGGCCTGTTCTAGTAACACTTGCTCACAAAATCTTAGCTATGATCACCTACTTCAGCATTTTAACGTTCCCTCGATCAAATCACGTCTCATGCAACATGACCTGATGTTCCTTTACGGTGTGTTTCACGGCCACATTGACTGTCCTCAGCTGCTACATCAGTTTCAGCTGTCGACACCTGTCAGACGCAACAGGTCCCCAGCTCTTTGGCATGTGCCGTTTGCTCGAGTGGCAACGATAAAAAACAATACCTTCTGCCGTATCCCATCGAGGTGCAATGAGCTTTTAAGAGACAACACATCTCTAGATTTCTTTTATTCTCCGATATCAGTGTACAAGGCCTCTGTAAGGCTCCATGCTGCACGAGCTGGCTTTTATTGAGCTTTTGTCCGTCCGAAGGGTTGCGTGTATTTATATAGATTTATCTTATATTTATCCATGACTTCACCTGTAACCGGGTTTTATCTGTACCTGTTGGTGATGAGCAAATAAACATAAACATAAACATAAACCAGCAGCCAGTCGCTCCCGTTCCGACCATCCCGCCGCTCCAGCCAGCTCTGTCGGTAGAGGCCGTTTCACACCGGCCGACAGCCGGCCGCTGGCCAGCCGCTCACACATGCACTCAGCGGTGTAAACATGCCGCTAGCAGCTCGGACAGCCCTGAATGCAGGCGGCCAGAGGATGTCCGAGCGAAAGGGGGAATATTGTGCCTCAGACAGAGCGATATATGGGGCGAGGCTGACAGAACAATGACGAGGAAGTGGCCGATAATGTGTGGGAATGGGCTGTCGGCGGGAAGGGAACAGAGAGGCTCCATGTGGATGTAAAAATGAAAAAAGATACGCGTATTGGGTGCACGGGCATACAGCCAGTGAATGACTGACTATGTTTTAAGCATGTGGGGAGTGTTAGAGCAGGTAATATAATTACATGTTGAATGACAGGCTCAGCCTGTCCCTGCCACCCATAATGATGTAGCGATTGTAAGTACTACACCGCACGGCGTGTTTACACATTGGTTTCTGTGTTTTGTGATTCTACCCGCATTTATCTCTTATTCCCAACGACGCACTTGTAGTTGTCTGGTATTTCCCTTATGCCGTATGTGACTCTTATTGCCCATTAATGCAAATCAATGCAAGGCAATCAATGCAATGATGCGGTGCTACCGTCGACAACTGAACCAATGAGTCGACCACTTTGAACTTTTGCGAATGCAGGTACTTTCTGGCTGCAAGGTAATTGCAAGTAGTTGTTGATTAAAGGCTAAGTGACGAAACTTTCTAAAAGTAATTGCGAACTTAATAGGATTCTCTTTGCGCTTTAACCAGGAACAAAGCGGGTTTTAGCAAAAAGAAATAACATTAAGGATACGTTGCATGATGTACGCACGTTAGCAAATCCGGGAAACACTATGGACATCTTTAACATGGGTTATGAAGTACTGCGACTGAATTATATTACGGAGCCGTGTGTTCAGACACAGAAATAACAAAACCATCTAGCAACCGCACTCCAAGCTCGGGAGGGCGAAATTTAATCGGCGAGCGGTTCGATCAATTCTGTCCGGATTGTCTGCTTCCCAATTTGCCGGTGAATTTATCGCGTAGCCACCGCACACTGCTCCCCATAGATCACCGACCACTCTGTGGTGAGATCAGGCCGATCCCGTCTCCCGCATCTGATTTGGCGGCGCCGCCAGGAGGGCCTCTCATGCGGGCCGGCCCACGCAGCCGGCGCCGTATTCATGTCGCGCGCTGGCGGCGGTCATTAGAAGTCGTATACACGGTGATGACTGGCCGTTGAGCAGGAGCCGCCCGATGATGGGTGCTGGGGCCGTCTGACCAGCCGGGCCGCGCCGATATGAGGTTCCCCTGGCCCCGGAGGACCGTCCGGCGCATGATACACGAGCGCAGACTCCAGCGGGAGCACTATGTTCTCGAATCATACCGTCTTCAGCCGACAACAGAGTAATGCTATCAGTCGAAATGGAGCACCGCCCGCGCCGTCTTCCATGAAATTTGAATAAATCGATCGGCACTGGGCGCGCAGCGGCGTAACGCGGCCCGTGTGGCGCCGCTAACCTTCTGACGGCCGGCGCCGCTGAACCACGGCCGCCCTCTCCGCCGAGATTTGTAGCCCTTCAACGGGTAAAGAGTGCCTCTCGTTCGGTATCTAAATTCTGCCGGCGACCGGAGAGCTCCGCTCAACGAGCCGGCCACATTTTCAACAGGGCGGAAATCTTAAATATGGGCTCCATGCATTTCTCAATAAGAGTGCATATGACGCGTGATATGAACGAGAGGAAACGGCATATAAGAGCACATCCACGGGGAGCATATTGCTTTGGAAGTGTCGTAAAGACTAACGCAATTGATACAGTTCACTTACAGCTAGTTATTAGCGGATCCACATTCCCTGCTTTCTTGAGACTCTGAAGTAATATGTAGCGACGTAAGCCATTTTCTGAACGGTAGGTAGGCACGAGTATGTGGTGCTTATTTGGGTGTTTAAACGTTACTTAGGTGTACCAACATTTGGAGCTTATATGGTAGCCTAAAAGATATAGCCGGAGCTCAACTCCTCACATTTGAATGATACCAACCAGTCCAAGCATTTCTGCTGATGCTGTCTCCAGCCCAATTCCAAAGAGGTAGGAAAATCCATACAATTCGAGCATCTATAACTAACAAAAACGAGTCACTGCACAGTGCTGCCCCATCTCTCGCCGATGACGCCACCCACTGGCGTCATCAGATGACGTCACACACACTCACCTGGCGACCACCAGGACGGTGGAATGGGTGTCGGGCCGGACGGTCACCCCCTGGCGTCATCATATGACGTCACACACACACTCACCTGGTGACCACCAGAACGGTGGGGTGGGTTTCGGGCCGGACGGCGGCCGCCTGCCGCAGCAGATACTGACGAACACCGCCCGCCGGGCTGCTGGTGTCCAACAGGACGTACCGCACCTCCTGTCGGCTCCGGCCCGCGCAGCAGGCGCATAACGTGTTCTGTGGAGGGGGGGGGGGGCGTCAAATATTGACAGGACGTATCGCACCTCCTGTCGGCTCCGGCCCGCGCAGCAGGCGCATAACGTGCTCTGTGGGGAGAAGGGGCCATCTGAATTTCGAGGATGATAAGTCGTCCTAAGGTCGGCTTCAAGTGCCAGCGAATTAGTATCCCGGCTAGTTCGATAACTGCAAGTTAATGAAGGCATTGGTATACATATGTAGAGAACTAAAAAAGACACACAAGCCAACAACGATTGCGATCGGGTTTCAAGTCCCTGATCGCCCCGCTTGTCCCCCTCCCCCCTCCGCCGTGACCCGATCTGGCCTCGGCCTCTCCCACAGACCTCGTCGGTCCATCGGCCACACCATCTCGGCACCGACGGCCGCCGGATACGGGCCGATTTCAGCGCTCCGTCGCCTCCGACGGTCGCCGATCGCCGCCAGTGTGGCCACCGAGCCGCGCGGCCCGCCGGCGGCCCGGCTAATGCCCTTTGTCCCCAGTGGACTGGAGGTGCTCCCCGGCCCAGTCGGACTGTCAGAGCGGGATGATGGCTGATGCTGCCGGGCTTAGAGGGCGGCAGGATCACTGAGACGGAGTTACAGGAAGCGTCATCGGGGTGAGGTATTGGTTTGATAGTTTGAGATAGGTTTCCTTTTTCATGAGGTTGATGTGATGATACACATACACCTTTGTATACCTATGTAAAGGTATTCAGGGGACATGTATTAGGTAGGGATGTTATGATGTCTCTCAGTTGAGCTCACTGTGACTTTTGAAATATTGGACGGCAGCGTCACATATTCATGGGCAGAAATTTCAGAAATGAGCATGTCGTGGACGTAAGGTGGGCGTAATGTGAACGTAAGGTGACCGTAAGGTGAACGTTAGGCGGGCTCATAACCGGTGTCGGGCGGTCGGCGGCGGCGCGCCCGTATCGTTAGCGCTGTCGGTGGCCGGCAGAGAGCCCCGCCATCGTTCAGAATGACGCCCTAAGCCGGCCGGGCGGCGCCGAGCCGCCGCGGCCGCTGAGCGATGGACGATAAAAACACGATCACCGCGCCGCGGGCCACGCCCGACCGGAAACGGCAGCTCTCAAACGTCCCCCCGCCGCCGCCGAGAGAGCGGAGAAAGACGCGAGAAAGACAGCCGCCACAGGCGAGACATGTTTGGAATTCGGGAGACCGCTGATGGTCGGAAGAAACGGTGTTTCTGAGAAGTGAAAAGGCGGTTGTGATGCTCCGTTGATGGTGATTTAGTGCCCGTCACTGGTTGTTTTAGCCCCCGATGAGAACGTAACAGTCAGGCTGATATGAAATTGTTCTTAGTTAATGAATAGAATATTGAATACACCTAATCTTTACTTAGAATGTCTGGGTTCAGTAAATGGATGAGTAATAAATTTCTGCGCTGGAATAAACACAAAATGATTCAAGTTTTTGGTCGGCCAGGCTACTTGGTTTTGATAGAGCTAAATGGGTACGGACGCTGCTACTTACATAAGTGCTACCTTCAGCATAATGGGGTCGCGCCATGATGAAGACCACACCGTTGATTCGCGTTTCATGTTTTAGTTGTCCCCGGGCTCTCGGTTGCCGGGGCCGGGGCCACATATTTTGTTTGTGGGAGTCCATAACTCGCCGCTGACAGCGGCAGACGATCGTCAGGGGAGGAGAACGACATCAGTGCCGCCAGCTCGGACTCTCCTGCATTGACCTATGGCTGCTGCTAGGGCCAGGGATTACACTGACCTGACCGCAGCAGCAACAATCATTTAGATATATTGGTTATATGCGCTACCGGACTTGTTTTCGTTGGACCATAGACCAAGTGATCATGAAACGACATTCTGTCTACCATGCATGCATAGTTCACATAGTTAGCATAGGCAGCACACCTAGGGTCGAAGATCATATGTAAAACATGCGGGTTTATCGTAAATAATCTAAGTGATTTCATATGATGCTATCAGCATTAACTTATCGAATGTCTCCACTAAACGGGCGACAGTGTGAGCCCTCATAAAATGTCATCAGCTTCACTGTTTGCCTCATGCTTCAGCCAGTTGGAATATTGAGGAACTTCAGTCGCCTGACACTTTAAATCGGCAAAGTTAGCAACTAATCGCTCTCGCTCCAGTGGCCATTGATATAATGTTTCATGACAGCGCTGGATGATAAGAATATCTTTCGTTATGTGATGTTAACCCCTGACCTTTTGTCTTACCTCGTCAGTCTACCAGACGCGAGAGGAGATTCAGACGTATATTTTAGTGAGGCGACAACAGGTATATACGGACCGCACATACAGTATAACTCTATTTAGACAAACGTGGACTCACCGTGATTCTGTGCGCGGGTGACGGCGGCGGCAGCAGCAGCAGACCGCCGGCGGAGTCGGATCGCTGCTGGACCTGACACCCGGCCAGAGGCGCTGGCCACTCGCCCGGGGGACTAGTGCCGTACTCCACCTGTGGGATAACAGGGCGGCGGTCAGCGGGACGGCAGGTCACGGGTCACTCACCAGTGACCGGTCACGGGCCCCAGCTGTGGGGCAGGGAGGGATCAGGGTCAGCGGGACTGCTGGCCATGGGCCACACACCAGTGCCGGACTCTACCTGTGGGACAGGGAGGGACCAGGGTCAGAAGGACTGCAGGTCACAGATCACTCAGCAGATCCGTATCTTGGGGATGGGGCAACGCGGAGGCTAACAACGGGAGCACACAGGTCATGGACATGGTGCGGGAAGATGAGAAAGAACGAAAACTTCGCAGTAGCCCTGTGATGAGAGCGAGTTCGGTGAGCACCTGGTATCGGGAGTCACCTAAACACCAAGAATGCTGGCATGGCCAGTCCAGGATGAACAATGAATATCCTGCAATTGTTCAATCGGGAGTTACACCCACTCGAATGTTTTTCTGACACGAAAAAAAAACTAATCGGGCGCCCACTGCTCTAAACACAGCTGTCTCAGGTTCTGACGGATTACCGCCACGTCAGATTGGGCCATCAGGATAAGTAATTTACGCTAACTTCGACTGGCGCTGCAAGTTAGAGCGGCGGCTAATTTCTCAATTGGTCGTCGGATGCGGCGCGGAGGGCAGACTGGAGGCGAATCTGCCGGAGCTCATCTCCGCCCTCGGATAGTGGACAGTCCCGCGGGGGCGTCACACGGGAAGAGAGAGGGAGGGATGGAGAGAGAGAGAGAGAGAGAGAGAGAGAGAGAGAGAGAGAGAGAGAGAGAGAGAGAGAGAGAGAGAGAGAGAGAGAGAGAGAGAGAGAGAGAGAGAGAGAGAGGAAGGGGAGTATCTGTACGCCATCTCCGCTGGACTGAAAGTCTCCCGATATACCAGCCTGAACGGTTCCCTCTGAACGGAATCTAATCAAGCTCAAATATCGCTCAAATTGGATCACCATTTATCCATCTACTAGGTCGTTCAATAAGTAAGGTAAAATCACACGTATTTCAGTCCACATTTGATGCAACGACACAAAACTAGCAACATATGTTCATTGACATATCGTCTACAAATTGGCTATAAGCATTTGTTAGCAGGTCTCTTCGGACAGCCTCCCAAGCCTTCGGAACTGGCACCTACATCCAATCACCGTTCAGGCGCACGCGCTTATCCCAGCACTCCGCCCGGCGTTGAAATCCTGCTTGGAAAACTCCTTATTGCTATTCCAAAGCCATGTCTTGATTATTTTATCGATTGCCTGATCAGTTAAGATTCCGGTGATCCAAACAGGTTCAAGTGGGACGGCGCCAGATCACGGCTGTACTTCAGCTTTCCTGTACTGCTAAAGCAAAGCCGATCCCACACTGATGGCTGATGTCTCGCTGGGCGTCCTTCTGTTGTTCAGTGAGCTCTTTGGCTTTATTAACCTCGTGATGACCTTGTAAATATCAAGCATATCAGATGATGCCTAGAACTGTTGCGAGATAACACTTCACCCTGCTAATGAAAGCAGTCACACAGATGCTTCGGGTCTCCATAATCAGCTCCCCGACTTTACAGATTGTGCCAAGTCCAGAGAGGCCTGCGGGTAAAAGTCTACCCTGCTCTAGAACTTTGTCTCTTACACTGCTGTGTTCTTGTTGAAATTGTACCAGCTGTTCACCAGCAAGCATTGCTAATGGCAATAGCGTCATCTGCAGGGTCAACTCACTCATTTTGAGGTGAATTTTGCCTCGCGTGACAAACCGGGGATTTTTAGAACGGAACTCTGCTGCATCAATGTATTCACATCGACCGTGTTCGGACAATGAGCCAAACTCCCAAAAACAGTTTCGAAGGTTGTGTAGAAAATTGTTCAAAGATTCAGATGGCATATTTGATTTTGCTTGAATTCCTCATATAAATGAACTATGGTACATTTTACCTTACTTATTGAACGACCTAGTACATGCCATCATTATGTGATCTGAGCTGCCCAGAATAATAAGCCACAGCTTAGACATGGTTTAGCTTAATTCTAACATTTGTAGCAATACGACACCAATGCAGCTTCATAAACATTGGGATTATACTTCTTTAGTTTGGTAAACGCCGCTGGCAATAGCTGTTTTTCCACTGCTGAGGAGCAGAAGTCTACATAAGTGGACAATTGGTCCATTGCATGGGTAGGTCCAGGGCAACAACATTAAACGATGATCCATTATAACCATTAGCCAGCCCTCAATTTGAAAGTCCGGTGGAGCAGCGGGGAATTACATTTAGGTTAAGTTCTATAGACTGTCGCCCTCCTTTGCATCATCTGAAAGACAGATTGCATACGGTCGCACATACACAAACTCCGAAGCGCGGGTGCATTTCTCCCTCATTCGCAGTAGCGCCTGCTGTCAGCCAGTCGAGTGACCGGGCGGCCGGTCAGTCGGGAAAATTGAACACTGCCGAGGTCTCCACAGAGAGCGACCCGGTCACACCTCCTCGGCAGAGGGAGAGGAAAGGGGAGAGGGGGAGGGGAGCGATCGCGGCTCGTTTCTCGCAAGGCGCCGCCGCTGAATATTGCACGTTTCACTCTTGCGGTCTGGTGATTCTGGCGCGTCGCCGGTTAATAATGCAGCTCAGAATGGTCATCGAACGTCGGTCGGCGCCCGCGATGGTCCTCAGGTCAGCGCCCTGTGACCGGTCAGCGCGCTCCGTGAGGAGCCAGGCTAGGTTTGAAAGTTGAAACGGTCGGAGACTGACGCTGTCACCGACCACGGTTACCGCATAAAAACAAATCTAACTGCTTGTGTTTGAAGGAGCAAAAATAATTATAGTTACTTTATTGGTCGTGCCACATTAGTGATGTGGACTTTATAAGTATGATACGCCGGATTAAGACCAGTAAGATGCATTCAAAATAATAACTAGCGCCGACAAAGGAATACAAAATAATAAGCCGGATACAACACAACTAAATAGATACCAAAACGGAAAACACAGTTCATTCCTGCCAGTCGTTGTAAGATTCCTAATTAGTTCGAACAAAATTAATCCACTGAAGTGGCTCAGAGGACGACGCTTTCTTGTGAACTTTTGAGTCAGTCGACATCAAAGCGAAAGAGACTGAAAAATGTCGGATGGAGGGTCGACGCGTCGTGACTGTGGAAACCAGTGCTGTCCTCCACGCATATCTGAGGAACCTATCTGATATGAATATGTAATTTCACTGTCATTTCAAATTATTTTATATGAGTGTCGTTGAAGTTAATTCGTTTCATAAAATTTCCAAAAGCTCAAGCTTTTTTTTTGCAATAAAATCAGAGTTAAATCATAGTTTAGTCAACCATTTCCGCAGCAGAAAACATCTTAACTGTTCCCAGCTGCTCCTTCAGGCAGTTGGATCTCAATAAATGGTTCCATTTTTCACGCCATCGATGGAAAGCGATTTCTAATGCCGTGGCACGCCAGCATCGTTTGCGCCAGAAGACGGATTATGCTAACAGTGCGCCATAAATCGTAACAAACGGGCCGCTACAAAAACAAACACCTTAACTCAGTCACCCTAGAGCACCGATCGACGTCTGTGGCCTCAGACGGTGAGCTGACTGCAACCTGTTGACACGTGGGGGCCACCATAAACAGTCAATAAAGCTGCCGGGATTACCCGCACGTACCTTTCCGTTAGTGAAGCGCACTATGGTGTCCACTCGGTGTTTCCTGACGATCTGCCAGAAGTGTGCCGAAGAGTCGTCCTCTTGGAGAAGGTAGGTGGAGTTAAAGCCCGCCACTGTGGTTGGCTCGACACTTGCTGCGTTGCCTGGCGGAGTCAGTGCAGTGAATGTTTAATATCAACTTTCGCTAAGCTTTGTACAGTGTACACTTACATATACGTAAAATGCAAAACTAAAACACATATCATTCGCTCAGGTAACTGATCAGAACTTTCGCCAGAGTATAAGGAAACAGTTGAAGAGTTAACATAACATTTTAGTGAAAGTTTCTCTGCCTTTTAGGCATTTACATGACCTTTTGCCTTTCTTTGTCCATCTTTCCTGCTAGTTTCCATGGAATCATCACTAACGCAACAGTAAGACCCCGCAGTGCTGACAAAGACTCCACACCCAGACGCGACTGAGCGCCCGTCACTAACCGTTGGTTTTTGAGCAGCCGTTGGTGCCGGCGTGGTGCCCATTAGTGCCGGCGTGGTGCCCATTTACCGCAACTGCACCGTTCTTCTCCGCGGCACCGTCCACCGCCGCCATCTCCTTCCAGAAGCCGGCATCGGCGCCGCGCTGCAGGTCCATCACGTACCCGGCGAACATGTGCGCCGGAATCGCCTCCTGGCGCCAGTCGGGCTGCGCCGCCTTCGCCACCAGTGGCGGCCGGCCGCGTCGCGAGCGTCGTCTAGAAACAAACCACCCTGGCAGTGAGCAGTAATCGTTCCCAGAAGTGAGACGATGTTTTTAGTCCGTAAGATTCTACAGGACATCCGTCGTCGACATCCAATGAATCCGGATTACGAGAACTGGCTTATGAGGTACATATAATATTTTAGGCACATGTTGGCTTTCGAGTTGCAGTTCGCTCGAATGTTCAAGATAAATACGAATTTGAGCTTCTTCTAGGATACATTAGCCTTAAATGTCGGCGTTCCGGCACAGAGGAGCTCCTCCCGGGAGTCTCCCGAGTCCTGACATCACGTCCGAAGAACATGAGCCGGTCCCACATCGCCCCAATCGTGCCATCGCCAGCGGCCATTCCAAAGATCACCCGTTCACCGGAAATCACCAGATCAATCTCTAGTTCATATCAGAGGAACTCCAGCTGCTGCAGCCGGTAATAGAAGCCCCAGTGACGTCATTACACAAAGGCGCGTTGCCAGCGGCTCTGGACACACACTCTGTGGTCAGCTAATCAGTGGCTCGAGCTGCGGGCGCGTCTGACGTCCACAGGCCCGTCCTCGCGTGACGCGTGACGCGTGATACTGTGATGACGTGACGCCGCGCCGGCGACCTAACACGCAGGGCCGGGGGGCGGCAGACGGGCCGTGATTTCCCCGGGAAATGCCGAGAGTCGAGCTGTGCTGGAGACCAGTGCAGACAGACTGGTCGATTTGACGGCCCCGCCGGGGATTATTGGCCGATTAAGGGGTTGCGTCATTGCCTATGCAATGTCATCATAGCGATAAGCTAAGTAGGCAGAGCCGATCAGGTACGAAATATGGTTTGCACTAATTATTTTGTAGACGGAGTTGATTTACGGTGTCTTCCGGAGACATTACATGCTCATTGCGCATTGAAAATTTTGAATTAGCTAGTATGGTTTATTTTGTGACTTTATACTCGTGTCTCGTTTGGTCGTCTCGAGTGGTTTGACTTTGAATGTTTTTTTTTTCTGGACCGGTAATTATTTACGGCTGTTAACTCCCTATATCAGGGCCCAGGGGACTGATATGGCGATATTTACCCTGATTTCTGTTACATCAGCGTCTCTCTCTTGGTCCAATGACGTCCGAGCTCACCTGCAGAGGAAGATGACGATGCCGGCGACGAGGACGGAGACCACGACGACCCCGGCCAGCACGCCGATACCGATGGCGACGCTGGAGTCGTCCTGAACCGGGTGGATCAGACGGAACTCGGAACAGTCTAAACAGAGAGCATCAATGGGTCAACGGGTAGATAGCGCGAGGAAAGGTTTGCAGTTATAATACGGAACTAGACCTTATTTTCATTCTTTTTGATCACTAATTTACCTCTCTGGTGTCGACTGACATAGGCGGCGAAACGGGGAGGGCAACGGGGCACCATGCCCCCCTTTGATTTTGGCATTTTAACATTAGCCCTATGGGCGTTGCATGGAAAGAATGGGACCAAAGTCGGCAGTGCCCCCCTTATTTGAAGGTGTTCCGCCGCTACTGTCGACTGACCTGAGTTTCTGCGGGGCAGCAGGACGCTCCATGGCTCAGTGAACTCCCCGCGGTACACGTCCGACTGACTGTACCGGCTTTTGCGTACCGCCTGGATCTTGAAATAGGTCATCCCCGGGTCCAGGTGACGCATCAGAATCTGAAACAGCGACCGGAGACAATGTAAATCGAGCCTCAGAATTCAGCGGAGTAAATAGACTGCTTACTAGCCAGTAATCAACTAGTTTTGTCCAAGATAAACGAGCTATAACAATAAATTAAGCCCATTATGTGCAATGGGAGCCTCTTCCTCAGTCGCAACCATTTTTGATAAACAACTCGCATCCAAGAAGTCAGGAAGTTATGATGGTGTCCTAATCCAGCACAAGCGAGGTTCGTTTTCCGGCGGCGCTGGCGCCCCGGGGCGTTACATATAAATGGCGCCCGGCCGGAGCTGGCTGCAGCGGCACCACGAGCCAGTCCGGGGCGTTCATCAGCCGCGCGCTCGCAGGTCACTGGCTTTATCTGCCATCTGAGGACCGTTAGTGATGCCGGAATCGCGGCCCAGACAACGGACAAATTACTCTGGCCGGCCGGCCAGGACGGCTGAGCCGAGAACTCAGCCGGACCCAGGTGCACGGTGGTTGGGGTCAAAGGTTGACCAGCGCCACGAAACAGCGGGGCATGACTGATTGTTAGGTTACGACGGATCTTACGGCTCTGTTACACTTGGGGTCAGCCAATGTCAATCACAGAGCCCCTATTGGCTGGAACTTGGATGCATGCAAATTAACCCTCGCATGTGTAGGGGGGTCGGATGGACCCCCCCATGGTTTTTCGCAAATAACTCGCGTAAAAAGCGGCCGATCGCGACGAAACTTTCAGTACCCTCACATTGATCAATTTTACACCTACCCTGAAAATTTCATGACCCTGACCCAAATGACCTTTGACCTGTGACCTCTTTTCCGAGACCATGTTTGGCCGGAATCGCGATTCTGCGTATGTCGGCTCGCATTAGCCGCGCGTTTGCAAGCTTTTAGTGGTTTCAAACGTTCAAACATGTGATTTGATGTTGCTTCCATGCATTAGGGTGGGTGTCAAGGTCACCTGAAGGTCAGGTCAGGTCATTGACCTTTGGTGACCTCGGGTGACCTCGGCTCACTTTTTCGAGCTGTACATGTTTCTAGGCTAGTTTTTGGAGCTGAATTCGAATTTAGCAACCATTTGAACATTTACGAAGTAGTTTTGGTGCCTTCGTAACATGTTACGAAGCTGTCAGAGGCGGTTGACACGTACTACGAATACCCGTCACGATGCCTACTGGTTGACCTGACCTGACCTGACTCGACCTGGTCTAAATGCTTAAAGACATCATCTGTGATCAAAACTAACACGATATTCGTGATCAGCACCCCGAAAAACCCCTTAGCAACCACACTTTACGACTTTCTAACAGGTCCCGATTTTCCCGACTTTGGGTCATTGACCTGACCTGGAAGGTCACCCAATGACCTAGGACCTCCTTAAAATTGGGTATCATCGGCTTCCTCTCGTCACGGGCAACACGCTCGTTTTTTCCGCGAAGCTCTAGCTCGATCAGGGGCCAAACGGCAAGGGGGGGGGGGGTTCAACCGACCCCCCCCCCCCTACACATTAGAAGCTGGCAAACGCCGCACACATGCGAGGGTTAAGAAACTGTACGAATCGTAATACACTACATTAAAAACTTTAGTCCACCTGAGGCTGCTTTACTGTTTCAGTGAGCAATTTCAGTATCTCGTTTACAGTGTAGCTATCTAAAATAAACAAACTTGTTGGAGTAAAAATCCCATTAACATCAAAAGTCCCATTAACATCAAAAGTAAAAAGTTTCCCGACATTTTTCGTCAGTTCTACTTCTCAGCTAAATCTCCAAGTGTCAGTAACTGCGCAATACCGTGATAGCATATCTGTCGTTCACTGTGAAAACCCAAACAGTGACTTCACGTCCCTAGCTAGATCGACGCTGATGACATTTCCCGGCGGCCTATATAACCATCCAACGGCCTCCGCTTTTCACCGTCGCCGTCCTACGGCCCTCCCACGGCCGCCCATCTTGATACTATCGTCAGGCGCCTCACTCTGTCGTCACGCTCCGCGCCTCGTCGAAACGACGCCGACGCGACCGCGGCAACTTGTTGAGAGAGCGGGCCGTCGACGGTGCGCGGCCCGGCGTTTAGGAGCGCACAGTGGCTGGCGGCGCTGGTTAACGACCTCATCTCGGGCTTACAGCGCCGCGACCACCCTGTTTTTGCGGCATAGCCTCGCAAACCGGCTCGCTGACAAATAAAAAGATGTTTTAGTGGCGATATTTCTGACATGCCAGCTGCGGCGGCTGGTGTGTTGGAGGAATTTTGGCCAGTGCGCATCTGTACTGGTCGATCGTAGTACAACGGTTGTAAAAGGGAATGTTACTCTAGAGACAGAACATAATTGGTTTTGTTCGTTCGCATCTGTTGGTAAAGCTTGTAACTGAGGGTAATGAAACTGTTGTAAAAGTTTTCTGTCAAAGTCCATCATAATATTAAATAAAAGTAGCCATGAAAGAGATCAACGAAGTTGCTGCATTGTTGTAACCTGTAAATATCATGTTTTCCTGCATTGTTGTTAAAACTGCAAAGGCCCACCGTACCGGGATGACTGGATGAATTTGAGGCATACAAAGACAGTTCCTGACGGTCAGCCCTCTGAATTCAGAACTATATAGAGCTCATAGCTCTCACCCCATTGCGTGATAGCGCGCAGTCAGATGTTGTTTGCACCGACTTTGAAAGCAGGGTGTTGTCGCTGGCAGACTTTGTTCTAGGTCTGAACACGCGAGCCTCCAATGAAAAAGAAAGAAAGCCCAATCGTTTTCGAAATGAAAATGGATACATTTAACCCGCGCCCCACTGGGGGGGCTATTTATAGCCCCCCTCCCGTTTTTCTGCAATAACTTCCAAACCGCTTGACGTATCAACGCCAAACTTTCAGTACCTTTGGCTGCATCAATTTGACACCTTGTGTCAAAATTTGAACTTCGTACCTACCATAAGTTGGCCGGAAATGACGTCAGAGTGACGTCATGTTCGGCCGATTTCGACGCAAAACATTGAACCACGGCAATCGCTCCCAAGAGCTCAGTTTTTAAGCTAGATCCAATTTCTTTGCATGAGAGGACTCAGAATAGACTGCGCTATCAAACTGCTATCTCAGATTTTCGAAATTTTGAAAATTTCGAAAATTTTATATAATAAAATTCAAAATTTATATTTTTACATTTTTTTCAAAAACTTTTTGACTTTTCGAAAAAACCGGAATATATGTGATAGAACGCATTATTATGACTAACTCTAGCAAGTTTTAGCTAAATATCTTCAAAAATGGCCAAGTTATACGCATTATTGCAAAAAAATTAACAATTATTATTTTTCAAATCAATTTTTCAGCACGAATTTGACATCGTACGCCAATATAAATAGCACCATCGTGTTCCTGAGCTCAAATTGCATCCAATAGACACCTTTTTTGTTGCTAAATTTTAACTTCAAAATTTGACCTTTTTTGACCTGAAAGTGACCTGACCTAAGCGAAATTTGACTCAAAATGACCTCGAATGACACAGACGACATCAAATTCGAAATGTTTGGCCTAAATGGACCATAAAACATGTGTAACGTGACCGACGCATGATATAATATTTTCGTGACTTGTGATGACCTGACCTTGACCTGAAAATCAAAGTACAAGTTTGGTACCCTCAGAGTATCTAGAGCATCTGTTCACGAATGTGTGAACCAAAAATGAGCCTGCTCTGACTTGTAAGACGGCGGCCAGAGCCCAAAATGTGAAGAAGCCAAAATGCTAATAATTTTTACTTTGACCTGACCTGTGGCGTCATCAGTGACCTCGACGTCAATGAAATTAGGTTTCGCTCGACAGTTTTTCCGGGGCTATCAGACGCCGTTGAATTTTGACGATCGGCCCAGTAGTTTCGGAGTTAGCAGGGGGGGGCTATGAATAGCCCCCCCCCCCCCCCCCAGTAGGGCGTGTTATACGCAGACCCCAGTGGGGCGCGGGTTAATCCATAGTGTTTTGCATCTATAACATCTACATGCATGTTGAACATACTCGTGTCTTTTTCATCTATTGGCATGGCCTTGTTCTGTGGTGGTTTTGGTAATTAAATTCCTAGTTTACGCTCGTAGGTAATGTGAATGGTATGAGCAATGTATATATCGTCGTTATGAATCTTGTTTCTTTATCCGATTGAAATCTGTTTGACTATTCATTAAACTTCATAGCTCTGCAAATGCCCAGCAACAGTCAGTAAACCAATCCATTTAGTCTAGTAAGGGCCCAAGCAGCCTTAAAGGGACCCTCCCACCTTCAAAAAAGTTAATGAATTGGCATAAAAGTGATGTAGCGTGAATCACAAAGAGCGAAAATGAACATCTACCAAATTTTACCGGAAAATATTCAACCGTTTTCGAGATATAAGACTTTTATTTTTGTTTACTTTTTGGGAACTCCGCTGTTTCTATGACGTCACATAAAGGTTTTCTTTACGTCGGCATTTGGAAGCAATAGTTTGGTATCAAAGTGCGACAAATATTGCGCGAATGATGCGTTTATCTTATCAAGGTCAATATATGATGGCCAATAAAGGATTCCAGGACAATTCTTCTTATGGCATTTCTTCGTATCGCAATTCTTCGTCTGCAAATCTTCGTCAGGGCATTTATTCGTATCGCATTACTTTGTCTCGCATCAGGGTATATGAAAATCGGCTCGCATTTCTTCTTCAACGCAAATATATGCAAGAGTAAGCATTGATGGACAAATAAATGCACCGACGAAGATTTGTAGACGAAGAAATGCGGACGAAGAAATGTCATGCGAGGATTCGTTCGGGTACCATGACATTTATGTGATTTCAAAGTCAAGGTTCACAGCTGATCTGCTAAATCAAGCCAAGAATCCAAACTATCAAAAAACTATAAATATTTGTTTGTCTGTCACAGAGGTCTCAAGCAATATAAGGTTGACATATGTTGAATCAAAAATCTACTGCCACAACTCACATCTCCTGCCTTAGTTTATCATTGTTGTTTTAACTTGCTTTCAAGAGAAACAGAAGCCAGTATCTGATATCAGTAGGCGGAACTATGGTCATGAGTACCCAAATATAGGAACGTTCCCATTTTTGGGAACGGAGTTCCCAAATATGGGAACGGGCGTTCCCATTTATGAGAACGGAAGGCAATTTTTCGGCCGTTCGCCCACTAAAACTCAAAAGTGCATCACGTCTCAAAAAAGTGCACGCTGATTTAAGTATCTACTAAATCTCCATAAAGTTATCTTTAATCTGACCGTGGAACAAGGAAATTGACCGTGGAATGATATTTTTAATGATTTTTTAAAAATGACAGAATGGTGGAAATATGGGTTATACGACATTTAACATGCAATTTTAAGGAAAATTAAGCATTTTTACATTTTGAGGTCAAGTATAATAATTTTCGCCTGGTTATGAAGTTTCATTCTAGCGACACCAGATGCTGACATATGCAAGCGAACACGCGGACAGTCCCGAGGTAATATTGTTGACTTTTGGTGTCGGGGCGATCGACCGCGTGGAACGTAAGTGATTTTACCGAACTACTGTTGTAAACTCAGTTTCAGTGGTTTAAAATCATTCAGCTGTATTTTATCAGCCCTGAAAGACATATTTTATTTGGATGCTAGCTGTTTAGCGTTGTTTTATAAGCAGCGTCATGAGCGTGGTTTTTGTCTTCGGCGTTTCTAAGCATGATCGTTTGGGGGGAATTTCTCTGATATAGGTCGCTCTGTGTGGCTTATTTATAATTTTTATGCTGATTTCGATCATTCCTCGTGCCCATCCTACCAGGCCTTTTGCCACTTACACTCATTAAGAAAGGAAAAAACTAGATTTTCATTGGGACTAGGTGTTTTGAGGGTGTAACATATTCAGCGTTCCCATTTTTGGATACTTCTTGTGCTCGTCAACTCTCGGTGATTAGCAGACAGGTGCTTGACATGTCTCCACCCTCGGCGCGGACGGTGGATATAGGTATGGAAGACCTTGTTGAACATCGCTGAGCGTTGTGGATTACGTAATCCTGCAGAGGGGGGCGTGCCCGCTGCGAGATCGACGGGAATAAAAGCGCAGAAGACCGGGCGAAACATGCAACGGTCTTGCCGGAAAGGTCATCTGATGATTGTTGCGTTAACAATAATTTGCGGCGTTGGACGTGATGCTTGTTAATGAAAAGAGCCCCTGAAAGGCGTCTGTGAAATCGTTCCCAATTTTGGGTACGCCGTTCCCATAATAAGGAACGCTTGCAGCGCCAGTGTACGAGAGCGTTCCCAAATTTGGGCTCGCGGCCCGGGTGATGGACTGCTTTAGAAATAGGGGAACGATTTGAAACTACGATGGGCCTTACAATATCAAACTCTTTCCCAACAATATTGAGACAACTATCAGGCGGTTCACGATCGTTTTATATTTTTTTGACGTCATTTAACGGTTCTTTTTCTTGTTTTAAATAATGCCTACATGGCGTTCCCATATTTGGGTTTATCGTTCCCAAACATGGGAACGAAAATGCGTTCCCGAAAATGGGTACGCTTGACCATAGTTCCGCCTACTGATATCACTTCAGATGATTGTTTCAAGATCTGAGTTCAAATGGAATTAAAAGCAAGATCAAGATGAAACAGGGATTATTGCTGTTAAAGTAGTTTGGCCATGATACAACAGGCACATAAATCATTAGCCAAATCAAATACTGGTTGGTTTGTCAAGATGTTTGTTGTCTGTCGTCTGTCGAGCTGCTATGAACACTGAACGCTCTCACTCTTACTTTAAAGAGAGTAGTTTAAGTTGAATGGTAGTGAGCTGTAATTAGACAAAGCAGCTATTCAGTGCTCACATCAAGCCAGGCTAGGAAATGGCATCAACTGTGGTGGGAGGAAGCAGGTTCGGCAGGCCTATGTTGTAAACTTCTGTTGTGTCTTGTGTTTGATCAACTGATGTTTTCTGCTCTGTTTTGTGCAGTGATAGTAGCAGGTAACTGCATGCTTGTCAAATTATGTGAATAAACAAATTCATAACATTGCATTTTTCTCTCCATGCGAGGAACAAGTAAGATGTTGTAGAAAATGTAATAGAGGGCTGCATTGCTGATTTCATGCACTTTATCAGAGCTTTATTTAGAATTGCTTTCCATATGGCTCATTTCCTAGTCCGGCTCGATGTGAGCATTGTATAGACCTAGTCTACTACAGCTCACTAATGCTCAACTTCAACTTCAACTTCCTGAAAGCTACACACAGGCCACAGCACTGAAATTCACAATCTCATAGCTTTTGGCAGAAAAAAAGAAAAGACTTGCCTAGGTAAAATTGGCTGAAAGTATGGCAGAGCAGGTCTTGATGCGTATGCCCATCCGTGTGCTTGCCGAAGCCGAACTGACTGCAACACATTAACTCTGACCCACCATGGTGGCTGGCATATCCTGAACTTTCACCACTCTAAACAAGACAACTTTCAGCCCTCAGCATTGTATTAAAACACTGTGCATGGCAGTTGACACTCAAAGTTTGTTTCAGTGCCATCCACAGACAACATCAGTCGCCATTCACCAGGCCAGTAAAAACAGAATAGATAATAGCTTCAAACCCATGTAGTCAGAGTTACTAGGTCTGCACCTCAAAACAAAATCCAGGTGACATTCACCACGCCAGTAAAAAAAAACAGGTAGGTACCTACTTAGGTAACGTAACAGCTTCAAATTTGGTAACATGTTGGTCGGGCGTAACACTACCATATGTACATGGAATAATATGATACCAAACAATAGTGCAACCATTCTGGACAACAAAACTGTATGATAAAATTAATTTAGAATACTTTGGCAGCATGATTTACGAGCACAGGCAGGTGTTACCTACCAGCCTTCTCAATGCTCGTAAAACCAACATTGTAGTTTTGATTTTACCTTACATGATAACACACTTGGCTGCAATGGCACATTTAATTTAACACTGTGAAAAGACCAGTTATAACCACTTCACAAGCACAATTGCACCTCATGCCGACATCCTTTTCCAAGGACAGTCAGCAGCGTCTTTCGTCAAAACTGGAAGATCAATCCCCTTTCAACTGTTAACATCAAAAATATTTCTTCATGGTGTGATCTCCTATGGAAACCTTGCGGGAAAAGAATTAATGTCAATTGTCAGCTCTTCAAATTTCTTTGGACTTAAACTTGCAGTACCATATCCAGTTTGCTTTGATATTTTGTTTTTCATTCCATGTTGAAGTTGAACACCAAGCTCCAGATATAGCAGGCAGCTTGATCATCTTCGGTCTTGGTATAATATCAGTCCAAGTTCCAGTGGTGGGTATCTTCTAATATTCAAATTACAATGAAAAGCAATAGGCTTTCTCAGCGCCGACGACGGATTTCACGTTGATATAAAAGGGAGCTCAAGGTCAGCAAAACTCGGGTTCAAGGAATGGCGGGCGTTGAAATGACTGCTGACGTCATCAACAAACCGCTAATGGTTAAGAGATAGGGACTAAGCTGGTCCCACCCTGCAAGTAAAGGGAAGAAATTTCTTGAACACCATAAAGCTGCGGGGGTTGCGACCAGGATAAATGGTGGTTTCTGAGCCTGGCCGCAAACTTGGCTATCTCAACTCAAAACTAATGTTAAGGTGGGATGGTCCCTTTAATTGATGGGAACCACTCTCATGCAGCCCTATTCACCGTCATGACACATGGCATACACAGCGCCGAATGCATAAGCCGAGCTCATAGCACGACATTCAACAATGCACTTAGCCCTGATATAAATCTGAAGTTCTTAACCCGTTCAGCCGGGACCGGGGTCAGCTCCCATATATCCTCAACACACAGGCACGGCCGGTGGTCAGGGGCTACCTCAGGATCAGCTCCGTAAGGCGGCCGCCCAGACGCCATTATCACACGACGGAAATTAGGGGAGAGTGGGGCAAAGCGGCCACCCTAACGCTTCTCACGATGCCAACGCCTGATTTTTAAACTTGGAAAGATTCTTTCTATACCAATGTGATCCCTAGTAAGTTGCCTTTTATTTCAACTGCGTTTTATTTCCAAAGGCGTTCACATACGAAAGATATTGACAAAACTTTAAACCTATGCATATTGGCCACTTTGCCCCATACCCTGGGGCAAAGCGGCCACCGGCGTCTTCTCAAGTCCCGATATGAGAAACAAAATAGTTGCCTCGTGTACGACTAGGGTATTTGATGGTGACAAGGTTAAGCGAGTATGGATGTTTACTTTATCATCTTCCACCTGTAGGTAAACAAAGAAAGGGTTTTCATGAAAATAAACATTTAATTGCATTATTTGGTAACTCATGCAACTGAAAAGTGGCCAAGATGAATGCATGACGACACATTTGAATATAAATAATGTTTTTTATCCAGATGGAAGCAACTTATGGCCAATTGGGGGGTGGCCACTTTGCCCCGGCCACTTTGCCCCGCGCATACCGTCTGAGACAAAAGTATTCCAGCTTAGCTATTAGTGGGGTAAAAAACATTAAAATTGGTAGAATACATGTACGATAACCATGCAATGCATGGACAAGAACGCTTATAAAAATTCCAAACGGTTATGGAATAACATAACATTTAAAAATTGTAAACATAGTTGGTAACCTGGCAAGAAATGCTTTTCCGTGTTTCACAGAACAATGGTGATGGGCCTGAAACCCCGGTCTGGCTCATTCGAACGACCGTGAAGAGAAGTATAATTGGAAACCATAAATTGGAACTGACGCCAGCTATAAAGGGCTAAAACGATGGGTGGCCGCTTTGCCCCGGGTGGCCGCTTTGCCCCACTCTCCCCTACATCTGGCCGCGGCTTTAACCCACCGTGTGCTCGCCGACGCCGGCCGGCGTTCCTGTCAGTGTGTACTTGGGGTGGCGCGCGTTCCTGTAGCCAATCGTGAAGAAGCTGACGGGCGGCGGGTCGGACTCGGTCGGGCCCCGCCAGCGCACCTGGGTGGCCCCGCTGTGCACACAGGTGATGCTGAGGATGACGGGCCGGCCGGGCGCCGAGGTATCGGTCCGCAGTCGGACCAGACGCTGTCGGCCGGAGCCCACCTCTGTGGCGGCGGACACCCCCACCGTGTACTGGGTGTACGGGCCTGTAACGGACGACGGAGGGAGTTAGGGGGAGGTCTGGAGAACACTCCGGCACCGTGTACTGGGTGTACGCCCGACGCCTGTAACGGACAATGGAGGCCGTCAGAGAGAAGGGAACGGGACGGAGAATATTCCCCAATAGGCGCAAAAGAGGGATTTTTGTCACTGTCGAGCACTCGCTCCTCTCATAGGAGCCGTGTGCGTGACAGATCCAAAGGCTTCTCTACACACACGATCACCGACTGGTCCGATCAACCTTCTACTTGTCACATATACGCTTGCTTCTATTTCATTTAACTTCAATGTATTTACTTTGACAGATACGTGTATTTACTATAACTAGAAAGCAAAGCAGTATAGGTAAATCTTCGCTAACAATGCAAAATAAATATTCCGTAAAAAAAATAATCAAATGGCCTAAGGACGATACGCTACTTTCGAATTTGCAGTTCCTCGGGCGTGGTCGATTATTGGTCGTCGGCACAGAGGCTAAATTAACTAATATGTAACTGTGCGGATAACTGCCGTGTCATTAATAAACCTAATTACTATGTCGCCCCGGCCCGCTACGTCCCTTGACAATGTCATCCGGAAGTTAGACGGCACTGACCGGCTACGAGCATTAATGGGTCGATGCGTCAGAAAAGGTTCTGGCACTCGGCACCACTTTCGCTGCCATTTAACTACTATTTGATTAATTATCACCAAAAATGGTAGTCTTGAACGTTTGGAAGATAGCATAGGTACTGCAGGGGTATCATTTAAGAATCATTGAATTAATATACAATCAAAATAATTCGCTGAAATGGCAATCGTCTCCAGCACGGATATTATTTCAATCAGCTTGTAGAATTGGTGTTGACTATTCGCAATAACATAGAAGAGAAATATATATCTCGGTATTAGGACTTCTATTGTCACCATGTAAGATGAACCTAAGAACTGGAGCATTTTTCCGGCCACGCGGTAGATAAAGGGCTGATTTATCCGATAACATGCCAGGCCAACACAGTCACTGATTCCGATGCTGGAAAGGTGGCCGGTATCCGTTTAGCTTTAGTGCTCCAGTGACATTTGGAAATTAGGACCCCTAGTGTGACTATAATCTCATAATTAGCTAATTGTATATGGGGACTAACAAATCGTGCGTGACCCATAATCTCTCAGCAGAAAAGTTCACGATGGAAGTCTGTGTTTCAAATCAGCAAAGTTTGCTACCAACTTGAAGTGTGCTGGGTTTTCCGTCGGCCAGTCAGTTCGCGACGATCGGCCAGCGCTCCGGTTTACTGGGCCAGAGCTGTGCCTATAGTTACACCGCATCGCGCAGCTGCTGAGCTGGTCACTTGGTCGTCCTCTTACCTACAGCTTTGGAAGCCAAGAAAGTGCGCTGTCTGTACTTGTATCATTGGTTATCTGGGCACTATATCAAGTGCAGGTCGACAGGTTATTCACCCTTCAATTCAACTTCAAGTGTCCACAGAACACCGTCACATCAGTACCACCTCTCATCGGCGATCTGTTGTCCTCTCCTCTCAATATTACGTCTCATTGATCATATCTAAATAACATTCGCCGTGCTAGGTGACGGCCGATGCCGGCACCTTTGGCGATATGTCGTGTCGCCGAGCCATTAAGGTGGGGGTGGCTGATGACTCGACATTTGTCCATTCCTGGAGAAGTCACGCCAATCGTCAGCCACACCGCAACCACGGCGGCAAGGAAAGGTTAGGGGAGGGATATCAACAACACTTTCGTTCGTATGAGTATTCCCCTGTCGGTCAGGCCGAGATGCGGAAAAATACTGAGGTCAAAACTACGAGGTTTCGCCATGCACCAGGAACAGATGCTTCTGACCTCAACAAGCAAATGAATGAATGAATGAATGAATGAATGAATAAATGAATGAATGAATGAATAAATGAATGAATGAATAAATGAATGAATGAATGAATAAATGAATGAATGAATGAAAATGTGTACATTGTGGATGTGTGACGTAATTGCATTTACACTAGATCATGCCCATTTCTGTGTTTACTGAATCCAATGTTTTAGAAGGTTGAGCTTGCAAGTCGAAGGCATGCACTAGTTCAAATCCCACTCTAGGATACACACGAAGCACGCTTCCGCAATCCGCTTCCGGTCAATGTTTTGTGATGACATTCGGTCACTGATGCAGCTGAATGTGTTTATTAGGCCAATTCATGGTGTGAATGGCCTGTTAATATCCTTCATAAAAACGTCATGCTGTACACTGTAAACTCATTTTGACAAGGGGCTGTCGTACAACGACGAGCGTTTGTCAAAAATACTAATAAAGGTTATGTCGAACGACGAATATCTTGTCATAGTTGGTTGAATCAACAGGGCAAATATTAGTATCAGCCCCAGCACCCAGTCGACCATTCATAAAATTGACGAGGATTATGGAGGCTATTGTGAAAACTACCAGGGTCTTATTCGTAATATGGAACATAGATTTGCTTATGATTTGTAATTTATATCCTTGTCGAAAGAACCAGCTACACCATTGCAACAATACTGATACATACTTATGTAATCTATGTCCTTGTCAAAGGTATCAGCTACACCTTTGCAACACGGACTTAGTTACGCTAGTTAGACGTGTTAGTAGTAACATATACAAAGCTGTTACTTGTTATATAGGTGGCGCCAAAAACGTTTCCGGCCGTTTCATTTTGAAAGGTTCAGTTGCGCGCCAACCGCCGTGCAGTGATGTGGCCTCCTGCGCACTTCCGTGAAAATGGTAGGTGATAACAGTGTTCGGTCGTTTTTGTCATTTTTTAATGAAATGTATGTCTTTCAACTGATAGTAATGCAGATTGAATCAGAGAAATTTGCTAAATAAGTGCGTGATGTATGGAAGCAAGCACAATGTGTTCTGCTCCAGGCCATATTGTTCTGCATATGCTATAATATGTATAGCGATGCTTTCTTTCAGGCTTTCATCAGGAGCGAAAGCTCCAGCTTGCAAGCAAGGGTCGCTACACTGAAGACAGCAAACTGCAGAAACTCAAGAATTCTAAAAATGAAAAAGCACCTGAATTCCAACGGGCTAATGAATTTGAATGCCCCTTAGATTTGAATGGGTACAGTGTACTCGGTAAGTGATGACGCTCATTGCTTTTTCGCATGCGTTATTGCCCTTGCCCCTTGGGTCATGAGTGTTATCACCATTGTGTGTGTAATGTGTATGTACCATTTTAAATACATGACCTACTTTCAGTAATGCTGTTTTGCTGTAATAATGAGACTGCAGAGCGGCGACCTGCGATTTGTGGAGAAAACTGACGAATACAAGGGAGGTCTTTGTAAAACGTTACAAACCTGAGACTAGTAGATTGCTTACAAGTACAGATTTGCTGCACGTAGACATTACTATGCTAACTAAGATTTTCATTGATTTGACTTAACAAGTACACGGCTCAGCCCTGTTAAATGCAAACATGCGCAGGTCTTTACCTGGTAGCCGCATGATTATAACTAGGAAAACAGTCGTTCACACAACAATGACAAAGCAAACTTTGGTAGCTAGTCTAACGAACTACATGTGAGTGGGTTGTAAGAAAAACTACCATGACAAACAATAGGGTCGTTCGATGACATGGCAAAGGGTGCGGGGATTTGCGCTAAATAATTTTCCTTGTAAAAGTAACAAACGTTTGTTGAAATGAGTTTACAGTGTAGCAAATTTCATAAGCACATTGCTAATATCCACAACAGCACAATTGTCAGAATCCCGTAAGTGATAACGATTTTTGTGCTTATACTGTACTGTACTGAGTTGGTAAAAAAGATTCAGAAAGCGCACCTTCAGCCTAAAACGTAACCATTCTGGACAAGTAGATATAACATCGATAACCCGATTACATATTGCCCACCTCTGTCTTACTGCAGAGTTTATACTGTTTGCTCGTAGTGCATATAGCAAGCCTGAAATGCAGAGTAAATTTCCGTTCCATTCAAGTTTGTACTCACCTACATAGTCGCGTAACTAAAAGAAGCCTTCTCACTGAGTTCGGCACTGCGCCCGACACATTATCGTACTGACGGACTCCGTCACTGCGCGTCCTCGCTACTTACGGAGTCTGTCCACCCGGTACTGGACCCAGGTCTCCTCGGTGGCCGGCACCCGGCGCAGGTCAGACTCGCCGCCGGCGTCCCGTGTAATGTTCACCGTGTAGTAGAGCAGCACCCCGTTCCTCTCGGCAGGAGGGGTCCATATCAGGGCCGCCCACGTACTGCCCACACTGGAGTAGCGCACCGTGGCAGGCGGGCCCGGCGCTGGCGAGAGAGGGAGGGCAGAGTCAGAGTCAGAGTCAGAGTCAGAGAGATGAAGACAGGGCAAGGGCTTGGAGATGGGTAAATCCCTGCACTAGAGCTTCAGCGTCTGCTGCTATTTTGCAAAAGAGACTGGGTTAACTATCATCTGCGTGACAAAGTCCCATAAAATAAGCAATATATTTAAAAGTAAGCCTACTCGAATGCATCAAAGGCCCTGCCGCTGTCCAGGCATTCTATCACGTACATACTGACTAAATCAAACTGCTGAACTAGACAATTAAGCCAAAGCTGCGCTAAATAGTCATTTGTATCAGCCATGCCCTCTGCATTGTGACATGAGATTAGCAGAAATTAGCCTAAACCTAGAAATTAACAACCTGCCTCGTCCGGTGATCCAACTCGATTCGCGTTTCACGCTCCAGCCAACTCTTATCTCATATCCTAATGAGACCCTCTCGGGCCCAGCCACCTCCATGCAAAGCGGGGCTAATCTTGGCCACCCAGCCGATTGCCAGTGAGGCTTTATTAAATCTTTAGCAGCTGACTGAATGCGACCGAGGTTTTAGGAAATGGCCTGGCGCCGCTGGCTGCTGGGGCTGCCTTGCGCGCGTGAATTATTCAGCGGGCCATTGACAGTCTGAAAAGTCGTGCCCCGGTCCCGGCTCTGCTGGCCCGGGTGGGGGCTCACTCGGTGCACCAGCCACCCGCCGCGTCACGACTGTGACGGCTCGTGATGGGTTCGTGACAGACCGTGACGGTACCACGTGTCAGACGGACGGATACGAGCGGTGACGGGCGCTGGCTCCGCGCCGCTCCGCGAGGCGCGCCCAGAGCCCGTGAGGCTGTCGACGGACGGAGCGCCGCTCCGGGGCGCGCCCAGAGCCCGTGAGGCTGTCGACGGACGCAGTGTTCCGCGGTGGGTCGGTGATGTCAGGCGTCACTATAAAGCTGATGAAGCTGATGATAAAGCTGATGACAGATATCAATAGATCAGACCTCAGCAATCACGTAATGGGCTGTAGGGCAACCGAGACGTAGAGCGTGTCATAAATCGGCAAAAGATGCTGAATAGATATTTGTATCGTGGTTTGAGCACAGCATCGCTATTGCATTCGGGTAAAAACACCCTGCTTGACATATTTCTTTAGCATGTCTGCTAGCACACTGGAAGGTGTCACTGTGCCATACATACATAGGCGCATCCGCAACGACGGAGCATCTTTGAATTATGGACATCAGCTTCATGCTCCATGACATAAGGGAAGTTCTAGTAGCGTTCATTTCATCTCCGACATACCAAGTTAACATTCAGTGGTATAATTCACGTGTTACCGTTATTTGTCCCGGAGGAAATAAATGTTGGAAATAGAACTGTGAATGTATGTAGTCCATTTACTAGACGAGCAGGGGCAAGCAAGAGCAACCATTCACCGTCTTTACTAGTATATAACTCAGGATGTTCTCCCGCTAGTTCGAATAATTAAATTCAAGAAGCGAGTTCTCCAAGTTCGATGAAACTCCTATGCTACTTAAACGGCATTTTATTTGGCACTTTTTGTCATTACTCCCTACAAGTTGGCACGATTGCCGTCTGGCCGGCCGCGGGGCTGTCCGAGCCGGTCCCCGGCCGCGGACAATCCACCAATTACCCAACTTGGCCGCGCTAGTGGGGGCGACACAGCTCCGGCCGCCGGCGCTGTAACCGACGGCACGATCAGACGGCCCGGCGGCAGCTCAAATGACCGACGACACGGCCATTCACCGACGATGGTGAGCCGCTCTAGCTCCGCTCGAGATGGAGCCGGCTCGGTGGCGGAGGGCCGAGCGGAGCGGCTGGGACGCAGCGGGCGCGACACAGCGTTTGCATTGCGATGAATTGGCCAAAGTTCTGCCATTTTGTTTTCGGTCACCTGCCCTGTGTGGCTGCAAAACTCACATACGTCCGCGGATTGAAAATTCATTGGGCAAGTTGTCAAACTGTCCCACACAAAGTCGGCGTCAGTCGTATTAATTATTACAGCGCTGGAGCGAGGTGTGTGCGCTCTAAATGGCTAAAGTTGGTGCTCTCCGCTGGTAAATGGTGTCATCAAGGGTTATGAAATGTCCATTGGCCTTCCAGCTTCGACAGTGTAGTGATGCAGTACTTGGGCACGGCTGTTGGAAACTTTTTTCACGGGAAACATCAAGTTATAACGTGTTGATGTTTAGTCATGAGATTGAGTCATTAAGTCATCTTATTTAGTGATGAAGTTATTTATTAAAAAGGTAATGTTCCAATCTTCCTCGTAGAAACCACATTCTTTACAAAAGCTATCTTGCTCTTTCATAATTTCAGGAGTTTGCTTTTGAATAAGTAAGATGACCTCTGGCTCTGACCCTTCCCACTGACTTTTGACCCCTGTTCTCTAACCTCTGACCCCTTCTTACTGACCTTTCACCCCTTCCCGCTGACCTCTGACTCCTGTTCGCTGACCTCTGACCTACCTGCCTGCTGGGTTCGACCTGTGACCCGGGCGACCGGCCCCAGTCCGCGCGGGTTCCTTATGGACAGACTGAAGAGGTACTCGGTGAACGGCTCCAAACCCGTCACCACCAGCGTCTGGAACGATACAGAAACATAGTCTAACGTCCGAGTCTCACCGCTTGTCAACATCGGACAATCATGAGACACATATGAGTAGCTTCCGACCTATGATGAGGCGAAAAAGAATGAAAATTCGTATTGCACTGCGATAATGTAGCAATTAAGACCACTCATCTCCATTAATATCTAATAACTCATCTCCTCGTCTCTATTCATCTCCATCTCATAAAATAAAGCTGTAAGCAAGCATTCTGCATCCTGCGGACTCCATGCCCATGTTTACGAATCGTTATTTAACAATGTCAAACAATTTATCACATAAAGAACAGCCTGCTTACTGCTTAGCATCATTTCTCTGAAGCAAGATCTACTTTGAATGCGTACTTGTACTCGTACGTTCCTCAGATTTCGTAGCAACTATATCCTCAGGAGCCGGATGGGCTCACATCTGCATTTCAAAGCACATAATGATGTAAGGAAAATTAGCAAAGAAACCCGTCTAATGCAAACCCGTGCTGATTGTCTCTTGAACTGGCACTGAAGGGCCATCGAGAAGAGCCAGTTGCAGAAGACAAAGGTGAGTCATTTTATAAGACGAGGCCATTGCTCTAGGAAGTTGTGAAAATTAGCCCCATCAATATATGTGCTTGTTAGTTTGTTACATTTGTAAAGCTTCAAAAGTAAGGTAGGCTTAAAGGGACTATACCACCTTTAACATGGGGTTTGAGTTGAGATAGCCAAGTTTGCGGCGAGGTTCAGAAACCACTATCTATCTAGGTTGCAACCCCCGTGGCCTCTTTGTGTTGAAGAAATTTGTTCCCTTCATTTGAAAATGGGCCTTGTGCAAGGCCCTATCTTCAACATGGAGCGACCGTTAGTGTGACGTCACATCGTTAAGTCATTCTGATTTAAATGGGTTTGTTCGTTGAAAAATCGCTTAAAACTTGGTCTGAACTTTGTTGTGGTGCCTACAGAGTAAAAAGAATCAGCTTTATGAGAGTAATGTGGCCTGGGGAAGGAGGTAATTTTGGGCTGTGACGTCACATATTTGAAAGTTTGTGTTTGGAATATGGGAAGCCTAAGATGTTTAATGAAAAATAAATGCCAGAACCGTGTTCCTGGTCATCCAATCTATAAAGTTGGGCACAATTTAACTGGTTTTAACAACATTTTAGAAGGTGGGATAGTCCCTTTAATAACGATGAGGATCGTACTTGCGTACTAATAATCATCATAGATCGCAATTGCGTACGGCGAGATCGCTTCAAAGGAAGGCTGCACTGATCCACCCTGGTATCTCTCCATATTGTTAGGTATAACCCTGCCGGACGAGCCGCCGGCTGCTTACCTCTGTGATGAACAGAGTGTGGTTGGTGATGACTGCTTACCGTGACGTTCTGCTCTGTGATGAACAGAGTGTGGTTGGTGCCGACTGCTTACCGTGGCGTTCTGCTCCATGTGATGAACAGAGTGTGGTTGGTGCCGACTGCTTACCGTGACGTTCCGCTCTGTGATGAACAGAGTGTGGTTGGTGCCGACTGCTTACCGTGACGTTCTGCTCTGTGATGAACAGAGTGCGGTTGGTGCCGACTGCTTACCGTGACGTTCTGCTCTGTGATGAACAGAGTGTGGTTGGTGCCGACTGCTTACCGTGACGTTCTGCTCTGTAATGAACAGAGTGTGGTTGGTGCCGACTGCTTACCGTGACGTTCTGCTCTGTAATGAACAGAGTGTGGTTGGGGCCGACTGCTTACCGTGACGATTCTGCTCTGTAATGAACAGAGTGTGGTCGGTTGGTGCTGACTGCTTACCGTGACGTTCTGCTCTGTAATGAACAGAGTGTGGTTGGTGCCAACTGCTTACCGTGACGTTCTGCTCTGTGATGAACAGAGTGTGGTTGGTGCCGACTGCTTACCGTGACGTTCTGCTCTGTGATGAACAGAGTGTGGTTGGTGCCGACTGCTTACCGTGACGTTCTGCTCTGTGATGAACAGAGTGCGGTTGGTGCCGACTGCTTACCGTGGCGTTCTGCTCTGTGATGAACAGAGTGTGGTTGGTGCCGACTGCTTACCGTGACGTTCTGTTCCATGATGACCAGCGTATGGTTAGCACCGGTGGCCGGCGCCCGGTAGGTCAGCTGGTAGCCGAGAAACTCTCCGTGCAGCGTGCTGGGATCGGCCTGCATCCACGAGAGCTGCACCGAGGTGGGGCCGCGACTGACGGCGCGCAGGTCACCCACCGTGCCGCTCGGAGCTGCGACACAGAGAGGGCACCCAGTGTTACGGGCCGCCAGAGGTTAGACAGGGTTAGTGGGCAGCAGAGGGGTCACTGGAGGTCAAAGAGGGCCAGTAAAGGACATCGGAGATCGGAAGCTTGGAAGAAGTTACTGGAGGTCAGAAAGTCAAAAGTATTCACTCTACAAGTCAAAATGCTAAAAAAAGATAAAATGCTGAGGTCGCCCGTACAGGCACTAGGTGGTCGGCTACCACCAAACATTTTCTTGGCTTTCGTGGTTCACTTTTGTGTTGCAGCATCTTTGGTTGGAATTGTTTGTCTAGTAAGACAGTCAGCTTGTCAGTTGGATGCCAGATTTGTGCCAATTCCTTACCCGGAAACTGAGACGAATAGAACGAAAAATAACTTTCAGGGCCTGAAAACCCTGTCCAACATGCTAGGAATGTGAAAGAAACATTGTTACTCAACGTGACGAATATCTAAGCTTTATGGTTTCTCGGAATCTAAAAATTATTTCTAAAGCTTTTTTACAAAGCCTTCTAATAGGTTTAATTAAGTTCAAATACGACATTATCCAACAATGCATATTGCAATAAGTAAAAAGTTACAAACACCCTTTTAATGACCTAAATTTGCTCGTGTGCCGGTCTCAGTATGAGGTTTCAGTAGTACGTGACCCCGTTGACCGCTCAGACGGCGGCGCCCGGCCCGTATGTATGCGCTGTATGTGTGTGCGCGCGCTGTGTGTGTGCCTTGTGTGCCATTGTGGCGCGGCAATTGATTCGGGCGACGGCCAAAGAGCGGCGACCGCCCGCCCGTTGTTGGTGTGTCACCTGATGGATGACCGGCTGGTGCTCGGCGCCGCCTCGTCAGGTCACTTCGTGGCCACAGCACACGACAGGCGGGCCAACAAACGGGGGCAGTCAGGCGCGACCAGCAAGTTATCCAGGCGGGACCAGTCAGTCATTCATTCATTCAGTCAGTCAGTCAGTCAGTCAGTCAGTCAGTCAGCCAGTCAGTTAGTTGAGACCAGCAACTTAATAACAAGTCAGTCAGCCATACGGCCAGGTGGGAGATCGGGGAGTCATGCGGGCGATGCGAACAAATAAACGTGACGAGTACGGACGGGTGGACGGACATCCCGTGTGTCAAACAGCATTATCCGAGTCTAACGACCCAATCCACCGGCTCACACGTCAAAAACGTAGCATGTCACGCCTCGCCAATCGAGTCTACCCGTGCCTGTCGGGGCCCGTCGACTGCAGTTAACCGCTCGCCGTCGACTGCAGTGGCTGCTTGCCGAGCCCACCACACGCCAGCCTGTACCCCGTTTCTCCATATCGCCGGCTCGGTCCATGCGTACACGGAACCCATTCACCATTACCAAGCCGGCAGTGCCCCAAAGTGCGCTGCACTTGGCACGGTCGATGCGAGGGCTGTTATTCATCAGTAAAGTGCCATTCGACGGCAGTGGCCATCGCACCATTGTGTCTGTAGCGTCCCACTGACTGCATAGTGCATAGCTCTAAGGTCGACACCGAACGACGTCGTGCTCGGTGTAAGGCAGCCCCACCCCCGCGCATTCTATTTGTGTCGACAATAGCAAACTCACCTTTCGCGACGGAAGTTTAACAAACAAACTGATCATAGCTAGCACGGTAATTGAAAGAAAGTGTTTGAACACGTGAAGGGCGGTGTTTCGTTTCATTTTTAAAATGTAGGTGTGTTTGACTGATGCACTGTCATTCGCTCACATTCAGAAAACATGCCTAGCAAGTCAATCAGAGTTTGTTTGGGACACACAGTCAGCCGAGTTAAAAAGTTACTCTGACCAGCCAGTAGGATCATACAAGCTATCAATAAAAATGTGCGGTGGTTTTTCTTTGCTGATGTTGAACTATAGTGCTGGCGCTGGCCCATAATGCCAACTAAAGAAGCTAATGAATCGATGATACAAGCTTATTACAGTGAACCCACTAGGTAGGCACTGAATGTTGCAAATAATAATGCTACGTATAGTTCGTATGCATGTCTATTGTCTAGATTGCGTTACATCTGCATTATTTCATAGATACTCATCACAAGAAAGCCAGCGAAGGAAAATCGCAGGTAAACGTCACAAAGAGCCATTCTAAAGCGCTGGTAAGCGTTGGGTACAGGGTCTAACATTCAAAACAAAGCCTGTAGCTGATGTCCTTCAGTAGCCTGTGAGAAGCTGTCAGCTGTCGTGTTATCTTCACAATCACAAACTTCGATAGCTGCTGCGCGAGGACACCATAGAACAGTGGCTGGGAATGATAGCGACACACCTATAAGCATTCAGCCATTAGGTGCATGCTTTTGTTCCACATAAACGCAGCTAAATATGTGTAGGGGAGAGTGGGGCAAAGCGGCCACCCGGGGCAAAGCGGCCACCCATCGTTTTAGCCCTTCATAGCTGGCGTCAGTTCAAATTTATGGTTTCCAATTATGCTTCTCTTCACGGTCGTTCGAATGAGCCAGACCGGGGTTTCAGGCCCATCACCATTGTTCTGTGAAACACGGAAAAGCATTTCTTGCCAGGTTACCAACTATGTTTACAATTTTTAAATGTTATGTTATTCCACAACCGTTTGGAATTTTTATAAGCGTTCTTGTCCGTGCATTGCATGGTTATCGTACATGTATTCTACCAATTTTAATGTCTTTTACCCCACCAATAGCTAAGCTGGAATATTTTTGTCTCGGACGGTATGCGCGGGGCAAAGTGGCCGGGGCAAAGTGGCCACCCCCCAATTGGCCATAAGTTGCTTCCATCTGGATAAAAAACATTATTGATCTTCAAATGTGTCGTCATGCATTCACCTTGGCCACTTTTCAGTTGCATGAGTTACCAAATAATGCAATTAAATGTTTATTTTCATGAAAATCCTTTCTTTGTTTACCTACAGGTGGAAGATGATAAAGTAAACATCCATCCTCGCTTAACCTTATCACCATCAAATACCCTAGTCGTACACGAGGCAACTATTTTGTTTCTCATATCGGGACTTGAGAAAACGCCGGTGGCCGCTTTGCCCCAGGGTATGGGGCAAAGTGGCCAATATGCATAGGTTTAAAGTTTTGTCAATATCTTTCATATGTGAACGCCTTTGGAAATAAAACGCAGTTGAAATAAAAGGCAACTTAATAGGGATCACATTGGTATAGAAAGAATCTTTCCAAGTTTAAAAATCAAGCGTTGGCATCGTGAGAAGCGTTAGGGTGGCCGCTTTGCCCCACTCTCCCCTACATAGTTGGGCAACCAGCATTCATGACATCTGATTGAGGGAGATAGTCGTTCGGCTCGTCCGCCCCTGGTGGGTAAAATACTTCATAGAATGTTATTTCATATATGATAGAAAATGGATAATTTTTCTTCTCCTTAATTTTATCGTTCTTATTCAGCCGGGATTTTAATCAGCTACAACAGCAAAGGACAGCGAAAATGATTTCTCCAAACCATCAAACAGTGACATTCCTGTTGATCTGATCGATCTGAGCATTTTTGGCGAGGACCTAGCCCACCAAGCGATGACTGACGGTGGAAAACAGACAGCTGTTTTATGTCAATGGGGCGCTAACTCGACCCCAATTACGCAACAGGACGGATCCACCCTGGCATCAGAGATGGGATGGATGACATGTGATTAAAACTCCATGCAACAAAAAGGTGTTAAGGGGCTGGGGATTGAGGAACTAAAGGAGGAGGACACGCCTCAAGACACAACCAGATGGACCAGATGAACAAAACTAACCATGCTCCGACTGCTCAATATAAAAAAGGTGGTGGAACTAGCGGAGTACGCCGCAAAGTTTGCAAGCTTCAAACGCATACAAAGACAGTACAGGAACTTGAGTAATATTCTGAAAGTTTGGGCGTCAGTTGCATTAGATTACGTTATAATTCATGCTGGTCCATTCAACAATATATGATGTGAAAATGCTTCCTTCCATCCCGGACAACTAATCACCACCACGCCGGGCAAATTAAGCTCCAGCTAAGCTCGTTGACAGATATTTGACATTCCCGTCGGAAAATGTCGTTGCTGAGTCAAATGAATGTCAATTTAATAAAAATGGCTTCTGGTGGAAACATTGTTGACATAGCGGAAATAAGTTTATCAAAGAGGAGTTTCACACAACACAAAAAAGAGGCAACATAGAGGTACGATATGCAAAAAGTGTAGCATGTATGGTAATAATGCGCCTGCAGTACCTACATAGCCTGAAAATGATGCACCGAGATGGAATAAAACACGTGTTGCCTTAGCTTTCCCTTTCACCAACGGTGTTATGGCCTCCGCGATTACAACGAATCATGCGGGTGGAGCTAACTGCTAAATAATCTGAATGTAGGTCGTCCGTCCGGGGCAAGAAAAAATGAAATAATAAAATAACAGCATGCCACTGGAATAATTAAAATCCTTCCCGTGTGTCATCCAAGGTCCATCCGTTAATTTCTTTACCTGCATTACTAAAGATCATCTGTTACGCTGTACTTATCTGTGCGTGTATAAAAACTATCACATAAAAGTCATAAAACCCATTGACACCCACAAAGTGACGATGAATGCACACACGGCAGACACATAAACTTAACGTGACAGGCGGCGCCTTGCGACTGAAGCACGGTGGCAAACGAGGAGCTATGCGGTGGCACCATGGACATAGACGCTAAATGATGACTGGTCACGGAAAGTAAGGACTGTTTGAATACCCGTTGCGGCACACTTAACTGCCCAAAGGGCAATGAGTATGAGACGGCAAAGAGATGCAAAAGACCAACCATTTTGACAGTGTGAACTTATCAGCATATGCTGATGAAATAATAATATTATTTCACTTGATAAAAGTGTCTTACTTGTGATGATGACACTCTCAATTCTATTAAATGGTTCATTTGAATTAAAGGGTAACATGTGTGGACTATTCAGGGTAGAATTAATAACTATCAACAAACCACAAAACGTTCCATTGCCGAACCCTTTATGGTGTAAGAAGGACAAGAGCACCAGCTGCTGCCAACAGGGCGCACTGGGCGCGGTCCAGTTCCCACCCTGACAGTGTCACCTCCCCTCCGATACGTTCGCCTCCCCCTAGCCCGTTTGTAAAGTGATCCCATGGAATTGGAACGTCGCTGCAATGGATGGGATCGGTACGTTGCGGTCACGACATTTGCATCGGAAATACGGGCGATTTGGACTTTGTCCCACTCTGACCAACTTGGCTGGTCCGCCTCCTCAGTGCTATTTGTCCAGCGGTCTGAAGCCGCCCCGGATGGAGCACTAGTCCCCAATCCAGGCCCCTGATCGTAGCTTCACGGCCGGCGACGGGTCAGCTCTCCGCGAGCGCTGCGTCGATGCGTATGTGCGCCGGCACGGTGAGGGGACGATTTTGGGAGAGGTGTCCACGATGTGGTCTTGGTGTCAATATGTCTTGCATGGATACCTTCTCAGACTACTGTACTTGTGAAGCACACACCTATGAAGGTAGTCCAAAAAGCGTAGCGAAATATTCGTGCAATTGATGCTAAGGCCGTGATTCAGTAAAAATGAAGGCAATTGCTGAGTTTGAAAGCTGGCAAAAATAGGCAGACTCTTTCCCTTTCTTCCTTTCTCGTCCCTTCCTATTTCCCCCTCCCTCCCTCTGTCCCTCCCTCCCTCTGTCCCTCCCTCCCTCTGTCCCTCTCCCTCTCCCTCTCCCTCTCCCCTCTCACCTTCTCGTAGCGTGTTGACCGGGTAGGAGGAGGGTCCCGGCCGGCCGGCGCCCACTGCGTTCACCGCTGTCAGACGGAAACTGTAGACCGTGAACGGACGCAGCCCCGTTACCTGGTACATGGTGCGGTTACTGGCCGTGCGCAGAGAGCGGTCCCACGGGCCGCGCTCCGTCTCCCTGTCCGAGAGCAGAGAGACGTGGGTAAAAGAGACAGATGAGACATAACTGACAGAAGGAGACACACGAAAACGTACCGAGGAGTGGATACATGAATCATTTGAAAACGGAAAGGACCACAGTCGGCAAGCATCGCCGTCTATCCGATCCAAAAGACGGCAGGGAGGGTGAAGCGAAAGGCATTACAGTTTAGACTGTACGATACAGGGGCGGATCCAGGAAAACTCCAAGGGGAGGGTCATGAATCGAAGTGGTGCCCCTACCTATACCCAAAATTAAAAACTCAACGGATTTCGTCCACTTCATTTTGGTGGTGCCCCCATTTTCAGTTTTTTTTTTTTTGTCAGTATCTTAACTCTTAGCCACAACCACATTTACCAATTGTAAGCAAGTATATATGAATGTGCTATGTGTATATTTGTTGTGGACGCTGAGTAATGAGTACTTACCAGGAACGTTATCAGGTAAGCAAATCGTTGTCAGTCCGACGAACTTGACCCTGGCGTCTAAAGGGTCTGTCCTTGACACTTCAGGCTTGTCAGGGGCACCAAAGTCCTTCCAGGGACACCACAAACCTGCCAGGGGCACCTACGGTCTTGTAGGGGCACCACAGGCCTGCCAGGAAGCAGGGGCACCGCAGGTCTAGCAAGTATACACGACAGGCCTGTCTGGGGCACAACGGGCCTGTTGGGCCCATCAGCACCCCTAGGGGCAGGGACACCACAGTCCTTCCAGGGGCACCGCAGGCCTGTGAGGGGCACCAGCGGCCTAGCAAGGGCACCAGTCAACACAGGCCTGCCAGGGGCACCACAGACCTGCCAGGGGCACCAGAGGTCTGCCAGGAGCACCACCGACCTCGCAGGGGTAACTTGGGCCTGTCAAGGCCCAGGGGCACCACGGGCCTGTCGAGAGGCACTTCAGGCTTTTCAGGGGCACCATAGTCCTCTCCGGGCGCAGGGGTAGCAGGGGCACCAGAGGCCTGCCAGGGGCACTGCAGGCCTAGCAAGGGCACCACTGGTCTATCAGGGGCACCACGAGCCTGTCATAGCCAGGCATCTCAGGCTTATCAAGGCCCAGGGGCACCACAGGTCTGTGAGGGGCACCAGCGACCTAGCAGGGGCACCAGTCAACACAGGTCTGCCAGGGGCGCCACAGACCTGCCAGGGGCACCACAGACCTGCCAGGGGCACCAGAGGTCTGCTAGGGGCACCAACGGCCTCGCAGGGGCACCTTGGGCCTGTCAGGGGCACCACGGGCCTGCCGAGGGGCACTTCAGACTTTTCAGGGGCACCAGTCCTCTCCGGGCGTAGGGGTACCAGCGGCCTAGCAAGGGCACCAGAGGTCTGCCAGGGGCACCAGCGGCCTAGCAAGGGCACCAGAGGCCTGCCAGGGGCACCACAGGCCTAACAAGGGCACCACGGGCCTGTCAGGGGCACCTCAGGCTTGTCAGGGCCCAGGGGCACCACAGTCCTTCCAAGGGCACCGCAAGCCTGTCAGGGGCACCAGAGGCCTGCCAGGGGCACCACAGGCCTAGCAAGGGCACCACTGGCCTGTCAGGGGCACCTCAGGCTTGTCAGGGCCCAGGGGCACCACAGTCCTTCCAGGGGCATTACAAGCCTGTCAGGGGCACCAGAGGCCTAGCAAGGGCACCACAGGCCTGCCATGGACACCACAGGCCTGCCAGGGGCACCACCGGCCTTGCAGGGGCGCCTCAGGCCTGTCAGGGGCACCACGTGCCTGCCGGGGACACTTCAGGCTTGTCAGGGGCGTTACAGTCCTGTCAGGGCCCAGGGGCACCAGGCCCGTGGTGTCCCTGCTAGGCCTGTGGTGCCCCTGGCGGTCCTGTGGTGCCCCTGTCAGGACTGTGATAGTGTGATACCCCTGATAGGCCGGTGGTGCCCCTGGCAGGTCTTTGGGCCCCCGGGCCTCAAGGGGGGGCCATGACCCATGTGACCCCCCCTTGGATCCGCCCCTGGTACGATATAATACATGACCGTGGCTATTGCTATTTATTTAGTCGCGTTTTTAAATTTCAGGGTCAAGTTAGTGAGGCATATGGCTTTCTGCATTACAGACCCATTTCATCTTGCATGTAGCATGCTCGAGGGCATTTTTTAAATGCAATTGGCCCTTTGATCTTGACTCGACCTTTCATATTGTTGTTCTCGTGTGTTCATAAATATGCATTTTTCAATTTAAAATCACTTGGGTTCTCAAGAGCAGAGTTAACAAGCCTCTCTCGGATTAATCAGGGCCACTGTAAAATTATTTGTAAGTCGGAATCAGCCAGTCAGCTGTAACAGCGTCCAACTCGACAGAAGATGCTCGTTCGGTTTAGCCCATTGAAGGAATCACTACCTACTAACATCACTCTAGCTCCGACTTGAACTGCAACGTATACATATGAGGTTGCATATGAATTTAGTGTCATAGTGCAGCCGAGCTCCGTAAGTTAGATTATATCGCACTGCAGCCGAACGCTGTGAGATAGACTGTACCGCAGTACAGCCGAACGCCGTAAATTAGACCGTACCGCAGTGCAGTCGAGCGCCTGTTTGTTAGACTGTACCGCAGTGCAGCCGAGCGCCGTGAGATAGACTGTGCCGCAATACAGCCGAGCGCCGCGAGATAGCCTGTGCCGCAGTGCAGCTAAACGCCGTGAGACGGACTGTGCCGCAGTACAGCTAAACGCTTCCGTCGGCCCGAGATTCAAAGCACATGTTGCCAGCCTTTCCTTGTTTGGGACCGAATAAACATGCCACAGGATCTAATCAGTCGATGTGCATTGGTCTTTTTCTATCAAATAATGCTGCCCTGTTCTCATTCCGTCCTGATTCTCCAGCTGTGATTGTTGTACGGCTGATGGTGGCCTGTGGCGAAATGAAAGTGTAACAGAACCCACGGAAGGCGGGTGGGTGACACAAGAAGGACATCCGGTACAGAAACGGAGCCGGCTGCCTAAAAAATACTTCGCTCTGAGGCAGCGATTATTTAATAGCTGTAACGTCGTTCATGCCAAACGTTCTGTTATAGAAGTCTCGTCCTCTCACTAGACACCGTCCTTTCTATGCTCATTTCCTTTTTCAGCTTATACTCTACCTCTGTTTCTCAGACCGGTGCCTTCACCATCAGCTCAACAACACTGAGCCTCTGCCTTCTCTTTCAGTCCCCTTCTGGCATCTATTATCAGTCCCTTCCAACCCTCTCCAACCTCTCCTTTTCTCTCTACCAGCCCCTTCTCCGCCTCTATCCGCCTATCGCTACTAGGCCCTCTCCACTTCTCTCTGTACCTCACCAGCCCCTCTCTATCAGCCCCTCTTCACCCCTCTCTATCAGCCTCTCTCAGCCCCTCTCTGCCCCTCACCAGCCCCTCTCTATCAGCCCCGATCGGGGGCCAGATCAGGCGGCATCACACTCCGGCCGGCCGCTTCATAACCTGGCACGGCCTGCCAAGTGGTCGTATAATTAAAGCGCTCCGCATATAATAAGGCGCCGGCGTGAGTAGGGCGGCGAAGGAGGCGGTGACGCCGGCGACGTAATCCGCCGCGCCGGATTCGCCGCCTGACGGACGAGCGCCGCGCCGCGAGTGTCTCGTCAGCGTGCCGCGGCCGGTAATGGGACGCAGCGCAGACAAATGCGCCATGTCAAGTCCGTTGTTGGCGCGTCGCAGCGTATGAGTTAGAGAACAATAACAGGGAATTTCATTTATGGAGATAATCCTCTTGTTTGGAGTTGGAGAGAAAAGAATGGTGGTATAAGAATATGTGAGTCTGCTTTTGAGTTACATTTCAACGCGGCTTAGAAAGAACGGATTTTGCGACATCCCAAAGGGCGCATAGTAATTGGAAAATGGGAGAATGGGCTTGTTGCCGAGCTTGTTTATTACGAAGTAGGACATAAACAAATTAAAGCAAAAGGAAGGCTTCCGTGATTTCCTGACCTTCCTGGGGCGGACTTCACATTCGCGTCGTATTTTTGGAGAGTGTTTTGCATTAAGGACGTTGGTATAAATCTGTCGCCAGGATTCCACTAATTGAAATAAAAGCTTCCTTATTCGGTGCGGGTGCGCAGTTTATCTTCGTGACAGATGACTGAACTCGGAGTGGTAAGTCATTTCCTTCCTGTGAGGAGGGAGACGGCACTAGCGCAAAAGTGATAGCGACAATGCGGCGACCAGGATGAATGTGAATCAGGAGGGTGATAAAGTACGAGGGTAGAAGGCCATCATGAACAGGCTCGTTATTGTGTAATCAGCTATTCTGTTGTCACGGATTCGTTTTCTTTTTCGAATTTTCGCTAAATGTTAATTAGTCATGACGGATTGATAAAAATTGACAGTAAGAAAGCTTCAGGGAGCGTTCCAATGAATAATTGACACAGTGCGTTACGGCTTTGAATACAATTTTCCCTCCAGACAAGTGTGATCTATGACAAGATAGGTGTGATCTCCACATTAACTGTTCCTGATCGGAAGTGACAATGACAACGGGATCACCGTCAAACGGTGATCGAAATCACATCGACCTGATCAACTGCATTCTCCTCTCCCTTTCCATGCCTCATCTTCCATTCACTCTTTGGCACATTCTCACGTCAGGCCACTACACCCTTCGACGCAAACCTGCAGTTCACTATCGGTTCAATTCCGCCTTAACGCGCACTTGTCCATGCAAACGCGCCTGCCTATCAGAATTCCAGCGGCTCGGCCGGGAGCGCCGACGATCCTCGGATCGTCCTCAGCCCTCGGTCGTCAGCTAAAGACCTGCGCGTGGGCCACCGGCCGCGCCGGCCGGTCGGCCGTCATCGGGTTTTAATATCGGCTCACTGCGACCGACCGACACTGAGCGCAGTTTAGTGAGTGTCGCCGTGGCGTCGAGACATGACAGAGTCGGAATGATGGTGATTGTTTCTAGAGGAGAGAGTTACTGGAATCGGAACGAGCATCGAACTCCCAGGTCTTGAGGATACATTGATGAGCTGTCATGAAATCCATGAAGATCGGGTACTTACATACTTACATAATAAACTAGCGACTAATAATTAAATGTCTACTCACCTGACGTGGATCAGGTAGTGCAGCACTGGGGAGAAGTTTGTGCGACGAGGGTGTGTCCATGAGATGTTGACTGTTCGTGACGAAAACGATTGAATCAAGGGACGGCCGGGGGCATCCGGCGCGTCTGCAATAAAAACATAAACTTAAAACAGCGCCACACAAAATGGAGAGTCATCATTTGCATGTAGATGTAGGTACATATCTGGATATGTGGAAATAGCGAACGCATGAAGTATGCGTTTAATGCTTACCTTGGGCATCAAAAGCAGAAAACACAGTTGCGTTATATTTGTTCAGATTCCAAAATATCTAGTTCTAACCATAGAATGGTTACTGAATGAATTTTCCATCAAACCAATCATATTTTAGGTTCTGGAAGCAAAAAGATGCGAGACATTCGACCACACTCTAGAATATAATCTTTCCGTTCTCTCTAGGGTCAGGGTTGCCGTAACGGTAAGCGTTCCGATCATATTAGCTGGGAGAGGCAGGCTTACAATGACTTCGTAACGTCGCGACTCACGAGACAGTTAGCTGGTCTACAACACCCACCGGGCGCCTGCCATCTGCCCAGTTCATGCCAGTTTCTTTTGCACAATGCAAGAGCAACCCTAGCCATTCTTCTCTACACTCGGGTGTAGAGAGGGGTGCACCCCTATATATGGCCTTGTTTATATAGATATCTTATTCCGAGCCCTTCTCTTCAACACCAGCCGTCTCAGTTCCGGGTGGTTCCCCGCGGTGTGTGACCTTTAACCTTCCCCTCGCCATTGAGCAGCACCACTCACCTTTGACCTCTAGTCTCACGGCTCCCTTAGGCTGTTGTCGACTGTTGACCAAGCAAAAGTAGTCGCCAGTGTCAGAGGCGCGGGTGGCGTCAATGAGCAGCGCGTACGTCGTCTCGTCCAGCCGGAGCCGCGGTTTGTCCGGCGTCACCTCCTCTGCTGTCCTGTCTCCGAGCCCGGCGTAGGGCCTCGTCTCCGCGCCGCGCTCCGAGGCCCCCGACCGCCCGCCGGCGGCGGCGGGGGCGGGGGCGGCGGCGGCGGCCTGGACGCGACCGTCCCGGTACACGATCAGCTTATGTGGTGATCCGTCAGCACCGACACTGGGTCCGCAGCGGCGACACAGCCACGTCAACGAAACGACGAACGGCGACTGGCCTAGCCCGGGACAGGGCAGCGTCACCGGGTCACCGGCCAGCGTCTGCACAGTGCTGCTCTCCAGATCCCGGCTGTCTGCGGCACAGAACGACGGACAGGAGAGTCAGACATGGACGCCGGACAGGATAGTCAGACATGGACACCGGACAGGAGAGTCAGACACGGACACCGGGGGACCCTGGACAGGGCTGGCAGACGCGGACACCGGACAGGAGAGTCAGACACGGACACCGGGGGACCCTGGACAGGGCTGGCAGACGCGGACACCGGACAGGAGAGTCAGACACGGACACCGGGGGACCCTGGACAGGGCTGGCAGACGCGGACACCGGACAGGAGAGTCACTGACACGGACACCGGGGGACCCTGGACAGGGCTGGCAGACGCGGACACCGGACAGGAGAGTCACTGACACGGACACCGGGGGACCCTGGACAGGGCTGGCAGACGCGGACACCGGACAGGAGAGTCACTGACACGGACACCGGGGGACCCTGGACAGGGCTGGCAGACGCGGACACCGGACAGGAGAGTCACTGACACGGACACCGGGGGACCCTGGACAGGGCTGGCAGACGCGGACACCGGACAGGAGAGTCACTGACACGGACACCGGGGGACCCTGGACAGGGCTGGCAGACGCGGACACCGGACAGGAGAGTCAGACACGGACACCGGGGGACCCTGGACAGGGCTGGCAGACGCGGACACCGGATGTGAAGGTCAGGCGGCCATCGGACGGAACTCGGACGGAACAGTGTGTCATTCATGAAGCTTACGAATGAGGTTTATGTATATAGCCAAGCCAACTTTACCCATTGCTCAGGGCTTTCAGATAGACAGACACCTCACACCACCGTGATCTTGGCTTCCTTCGTTCTTTTTTTTTAAATCATGAGAAGAGAAAATCGTTGGACATAGTAACCTCGGAAATGGAGTTCAATGTCGGGCAGTTGTTCCAATGAGCGGCCGTCTTGGGCGGATTTTCGTTCATATCTGGCTTGCAGCTGCGACGCACCAGTGCTCATCGTCGCTCCCGCGGCGGATCGTCACTCAAATCCTACCAGATATTGGATCTCATCTGAACTAAAGTCTTTCCCTCCTATCCGATTATTTATTCTAATTCGGATTGTTCTTTAGTCGGATTATCTATTTTTTTACGTTTTGTTAGTGATGATAGAATAAGAATAGCCTCTTTGACTTCGGTCATAGATAGAGGACGGCCACTACGAAGTAAATAAATAAATAATGAATAAATGATCTTTTACGTTCTAGACGTCCTTAAATAATATGAAGCATACATATTGAGATTGCATAAAAACAGAATATTTAATTTTTCCATGCAAATTAAATGTTAATTCATTTCCATGGAACTTGTGTCATAAAGCTAGCACAAACTTTTAATGGCAGCTCGGAAAATGGTTTAATGGCAGCACAGAAATTCGATTCGTCATGCTAAGGGAAAGCGATTTCATACAGATGACAATCAGAAATATAGAGTAACTTGAAAATACGGCATGAAATCAATCAGGATCGTCCTTTTTTCAGCCCATACCTTAAGCTCACCATGACTACATAATCAAACATTGCACAGCAAGTGCACGGTGAAGAGCTATCAACATGCACGAGCTATCAAAGTCTTCTTAACCTAGAATCAACAGCATGAGATCCTTACTGAGAATGTGTATGTGCAATCATATACGCAGCTACAGGCCGGTCGTGGGTGCCATGCAGCTGCTGGGCCGTGGTCGTCATAAAAGGGTCTGGACCGCCACGGCTGCCAGTGAGTGGAGGACACATACCCTCGGAAGACGAACCACCGCAGCTGCAGCCATGGACCGCACACTGGCTTTGACGATTGTTCTGCTGTCGATAAGCGCCTTGTTGAGTACGTGAATGCCTCAGTGTACGAATATAGAAAATGGTGATAGTGAATTTGCTTTTTGAATGTGATGCAAGTGAATATCTTATATTTTTGTGATTGATCTACTGAGACGGTTTACATTAATCAGGGAGATACCGTTACACTCTTACATGCTCGTTGTTGAACTTATCTTATGTTCAATCTAAAGTCACTCTCAAAATATCTCTTTGCGTGTATTTTCGCTTATTTTGGCACGGCAGGCATTCTTGTAAACCATCACTTAGTCTTCCTATTTCGACTGTATCCAGGTGCACTGAGGGGCCAGCCGACCACAGAGAGCCCGTTTCAATGCACCGCCAAAGATGGACTGTTCCCTGACCCCGATGACTGCCACGGGTTCTACGAGTGCAACGATTACATTCCGTGGCACTTTGACTGTCCCAGCGGCCTGGCCTGGAACGACGCCGCCCACCAATGCGACTACGACGCGTGAGTAGCTATGAAGCAGCATCAACACCGGCGACTGACTATTTACTTTGCTTTGAATTGCGATAAAAACAAAATATCAAAATAATGAGATATTAATCGTTCAGATGATTTCAGATCACCTCGCGAATCATTCACCTATAATGCGTATGAATAATAAGCTGATAAATTTACATTCAGACCACGTTTTTAGCTCGATCTGAGTTGCCGGTGTCGCTGTGTGTGACGGTGCACTGTCAGCCACCTGCGACTGTCCCACGGGAGGCCGCGGCTGAGACGCTCTGCTATCTGTTCCGCAGAAGCTGTCCATAGCAGGGCCAGCCTGCTGGGGAGGGGCCCAGCTGGGGTCACCTCCGGACTATCTGCCTTCTGGGGCGGCCGGCCGAGACGGTCAGGGGCACCTACAGGGACAAATGTCGGTGGAAAAGCACCAATCGACGGATCGTGATCAGATGACGTCTCAGGCTGGTGTGTTTATGCCTGATGTTTTGTAAATATGACTTTAATGCAAACTACATCGCATAATGATGGTGCTGTTGACAAAAAGCTGAAAACCAATGTGGCGATGTGTTGATATGTGAATATACATAAAATTATGTAATGTCTAATATATGACGTCTGTGGTTTGGATGAGCTCTCGAATAACTCGCGCCGTGCTGGTGGTCTGAGTTTTCGCATGGCGTGCTGGGGGAGGAGCGCTTTTCTTTACCACTTTTCCCGTCTAAATCGGCTCCTCGGCCACGTAGCGACACACGGTAAGCGGCAATCGAAAGAGTGTCAAAAACAATGAGGGAAACACTACATCTCCTTTTAGTTCATGTCGAAGGTCAGGTCGCCAGAGGTCATCAAAGGTCAAATTTGGTCTATTGCAACATTTTTCAAAACACCGACGCCTAACTCGGGAACCAATGAAGCTGCAGCGCCGCGGAAAAGCACATTCGATAGCTCTTTAAAGGCCTTTCTCAGTAATGTTTCTGATTTGAACCCAGCTCAACGGTTTAGCCTCCAGAGAGCAAAAACTAAAAATATCCGTTTAAAAAATATGTAATAACTTTTCTCTCAAGAGAGTCACGACATTCATTTTGCCAGCATCATGTTCCTCTTGCCAAAACGCGTCGATTGAACTGTAACTTGACCTTGAAAGGTCATTTTGGAAAATTTGACCTCAGGTCAAGGTCATGACCTGACCGGAAAGGGTCATGCTGCATATCAGTCGATCTGTATCGTTGAGCTGAACACGTCTGAGGTGTTTCCACCACTCTAACGCGTCTCTATCAAAGTTTAAGAACTGCTGCTGACCTTCATTGACCTGAGATGACCTCAGGTCACAGGTATACACAGAGGGGCCACAGGTGCAATTTTCATATCATTGTGTCATTGTTACCCTTAAAATGATGTTTGAGAGTGTTTAGAACGACATTCTTCCAAAAGAAGCGCAGTTCATTTTTCTCTCATTAAAAGGAGAGGTCGCAAAATTGACCGGATCTTAAAGTGACCATGCCACCTTAACATTAGTTTTGAGTTGAGATAGCCAAATTGGTGGCCATGGCCTGCAAATACCGGTTTGGGCACTCACAACATCGAAAAATGCTTTAATTCGGAGATATGGAATTTCAAATTTGCAGTTTTCGGATTCTCAGGGGCTAATGATTGGAATGCCCCCTTAGAATTTGTGACGTCAGCAGAGATCTAACGATTTTTAAATCTTAGACTAAAACCATCGTTAAAGGGACCCTCCCACCTTAACATTAGATTTGAGTTGAGATAGCCAAAATGGGGTCCCTGGCTCACAATTACCGGTTTCGGCACTCACAACATCGAGAAATGCCTTAAATCGGAAATATTGAATTTCAAAATTGCAGCATTTTGATTCAGAGGGGCTAATGCTTAGGAATACCCCTCTGAATGTGTGACGTCAGCGCAGATATCTAACGATTTTTAAATGTTTGACTAAAACGTTTTGTAGCACGCGGTGGTATATACTATTTGCGCGCAACATCTGCCGCAAACGCCGCACTTCTAAAATAAAGTCGCTAGAAACAGCGGAGATCCCAAAAAAGTAAACAAAAGTAAAAGTCTAATATCTTGAAAACTGGTGAATATTTTTCGGTGAAATTTGGTAGATATTCGTTTTCGCTCTTTCTGAACCGAGCGACATCACTTTCATGCCAATTCATAAACTTTTTTGAAGGTGGGAGGGTCCCTTTAACACGTAGTGGTATACACTGCTTTTTTTTAAAATAAATTTAGTCCGAATCTTTTGATGGGAAGGATTCACAAGGACAGAGCCACCGCTAAGCGAAGCTTGTTGCGATGACCCTGCCCTCTACCCTCCGATCGCGCAATTCCAGTTCTATGGCAGAATTTAGAGTCCAAAGTTTAACGTGCGCACATAGCCGTGCACGGCCGGTCCCCTCACTGACTTCGCCTGGCTACGGCCTGCCACCAACCGCAACCATACCTGTCAGGAGGCCCATAAATGTCAAGCGCCCGCCGCGCTTTGAACCCGGACTGTTATAACCAGGAACGCGTGCTCTCACCACGCGGAGTCCAACGCTCTACCAACTGAGAGCTACGGGACCGGCTTTGCGCGCAACGTCTGCCGCACTTCGAGGCTGCCAATTATTGCTTCCAAATAAGTCGCTAGGAACAGCGAGATTCCAAAAAGTAAACAAAAAAAGCCTAATATCTTGAAAACCAGTGAATATTTTTGTCGGTGAAATTTGGTAGATATTCATTTTTGATCTTTCCAAACCAAGGGACATCACTTTTATGCCAATGCATTAACTTTTTTGAAGGTGGGAGGGTCCCTTTAATTAAGTCACAACTCACAGATATCAAACTTCGGAGATATACATGTTATGCATACCTATCGCTGAAACTAACCAATCTACTAACCAAGTCTAACCAATCGCTGAAAGTTTCAAAGCGATTGCTCCGTCGGTGTAGCAACAGCGAGCATTGCAACTTTTCTGCGGTAAGATCACTTGACGTGACCTGGTCACCTGACCTTGAACGACCTAGTTCTGAAATTTTCACACGTGCGGAAAAGATGTATGAAATTGAACAGGTGTGCCTAAAATAGCGGCGCGTATAGCCGCCGGTTTTGAGATATTTGCGAAAGGTCTGAGGGAGGCGTGAACCCCTTCCCCCCCGCACAGCGCGGTTAACAAAGCAGTTTCGATCTATGCATATAGGGTTGGGGTTACAGGGGGTGTAGAAAACGGGTAGACTTTTCTTACTATTGTCGGCTAAGTACCAATAGTAGTAGTAGGTATAGTTGACAATGAAATACGCATGTGGGAAGACATGTGAAGACATAAATGACAAGCATCACCGCATGGACACTTTCATTGCTGAAATAAGCGACAACATATGCAAAGCAGCTGTGTTTGTTAAATTCAGCAGCCTCTTCTACATATGACACTGATTAAGAGCTTCATCACAGGGACAGCGACGCTTCATAAGCAGGACATTAGCAGCTGCTCACAAAGTCCAGCAGTGTGCATGTGTCTCAAAATGACAACAACAAATCTCAAATGACAACAGCTTTAGGGACGATACTGACTAGGAGCAGTCTATTTTATAAATGAAATGCTGAAGAAGCCCCATGTTACTTACATATCGATCATGATCACGCACCAATGCACCAGGGCGAGCTGCTGGTCCATAGTTCAATGGGAGCTGACAACATATACCTCACTCTTTATACGGCTACTCTGGGCGCAGTGACCACATCCGTTCTTTTGTCCAGATGATGCTTGTAGGATTGATAATACGAGTATACGATATCGTATACAGTTTAAAAGACCACGCAGCGTTCCGACAGTTTACAGCTTGATGCCAAATGGATTTGTTGAACGAAATAGATAATGGCATGTCTATTGCGGGGTTGTGAATTACGATAGTAATCTTGCAATATCAGTGAGATGACTTCTGCTTAACTGGCCAGAATAAGGTCGAAAATGATCAGCCGGGCTACAAATGATCATGCCTCGTAGTCCTAACGTCATTTTTGGGATGAGTACTGGTAGGAGGTGGAATCCCTCGGCTCATTTGAGACAGTCAAAGACGATTCACTTATCTTTCTGAACCTGGCGTCATCCATACATCTACATAGTTAAATAGCCACAAAAAAGATAATTAAGGTCTTGCCAACACGAAAATATGACTTTCAAAACGATGCCAAATGCTCTGAGAAAACGATTATGTGGATAGCTGGGCAGCATCTGGAGTCCCACAAACAGCAGATTTTTTGTTGTCAACCGTCATGAGAACCCGGATGCTGCAGCCTGATGCAGATTGCAATGGTTGAGCACGTCGTCCGTGGGTGAATCGCAGGTGGCCAGACGCTAGTGGAGCACACACACATACAGACGGAGGGTATAAAGGATGATATCGCTGTGCCGTCGGCAGTGCGCCGGCCAGAACTGCAGCTCGCAGCGTCACCACACAAACTGCCAAAATGTGGAAGACTCTGCTCTTGGTGATTGGCGCCCTTTTCGTCTGTGTGGCCTCAGGTGCGTGGATTTTATGCCTTTACTTGAATTTAACATTCATGTGTTTTGTAGGGTGGCTTTGGATATTTGTTTTGCCTTTTGTTATGAGGTCTTACAAGGCTTCAATTTATTTAGTACAATTGCATCATTGGCTGCTGGCTTATAGTCTAAATCAAGTGTTGAGCTGTTAACTGTTTTATTGATGCTTAAACAAAATAATAATAATACATGGTTGGATATATAGTTTAAGCTATTACTGTAGCCACGTTCATCTACAGGTAAAGGCAACTTGCTATACGAGTAAAAGGCTTTATTTATTGCTTGCCAAATGGCATAGCATGAGTCACGAGGTTGCTGTCATCCGCATGTATACCTATGTGTGTTTTTTTTTTCTTGTAGGTAATTGTCACAGACGGAGGGTAAATTACCAGCTAATAAATCATGTCAAAATTATTGATGCATAACATTGCTTCTTATTCTCATTGTATTCCAAATTACCATATCAAGCTGAATAATGAATATACTGAACTTCAAAGCTGCCGCTTTCTTGAGCAGACGACCATATTCAAGGCATCATTACCGGTCTCATTAAGGTTAATTATCCGAGTTATGAGAACAGAATTCATCAGTCGCCAGCCTCGGCTGAAAGTGAGCGACATTTTGTATCAAGTAACTATGCTTCTGATTCAGACCTTCTTCGTCTGTCAGAAATTACAAATGCAATTCAATTAAACGGTTGATTTTGCAACAACCAAATCATCAAAAGGAAAAAATAGAATTTTTGACATGTCGTTTATCATGTTCGAATCTATCTAGTCTTTGCTATGCTTCGTTGAAAAAAAAAATGCAATTCAATGTCAAGCTAAACGATTAAATCGTCACACAACAACATAGCCAATTATGCAATAAACGCAATACGCAAACGCAAACGCAATAAACATGATGTCAAGACAAAGCATTCCCATCAACAACAAAAAATCCCATTGATTACATGCATGTTGATCAAACGCATACCGCAAAAGAAGTTCTAAGAACAAAATGTAGGTACGCACTGGTAATAATGACATGTGTTCCACACACGCTCCATTCACCAATATAATGTATTTCACCCCTACTGTTTGTTTCAGGTGCCAAGATTTCGGCCACGTCGCCGTTCCCCGACTTTGACTGTCCCTCCGAGTACGGCTGGTTCCCGGACCCCGACGACTGTCACAGCTTCTTCGAGTGCAACTACAACTATCCCTTCCACTTCACGTGCCCGGACGGCCTCGCCTGGAACGACGCCGCGCACCAGTGCGACCGCGACGAGTACGTTACAACGCAGTCGGAGTACTTACATCGCACAAGACTAGCCGGTCCCGACCCGCAGAAGCCGGTCCCGTAGCTCAGTCGGTAAAGCGTTGGACTCCGCGTGGTCAGAGCCGCGTCTCGTTTATAAAAGTCCCGGTTCGAGGCGCGACGAGCGCTCGGTGTTCATGAGCCTCCTGATAAGTATGAATGCGGTTCGTGGCAGGCCGTAGCCAGCCAATGTCAGTGAGGGGACCGGCCGTTCGCGGCTATGTGCGGCTACGTTACGTTGCGGCTACGTTAAACTTCGGACTCTAAATTCTACCACAGACCCGGCATTGTGCGATCGGAAGGTAGAGGGCATGGGGCCAGCACAACAAGCTCCACTTAGCGGGGGCTCTGTCCTTATGAATCCTCCCATTCAAGAGGTTCGGACTAAATTTATAAAAAGACAAATGTGAAAAAATGTCTTATTAAAATTCGATGATTTATTTATGTATTAGCTATCATTCTTTATGTTTTGTTACGTTTAAATTTTGTCGGACTGACTTTTATTTGCAAAATGCCAATGATCGATACACTACACAGATCGATGCATCAACCAGCACATTGATAGTTTTTGTTTTCAGATAAAACGTAAAATAATCCTTTACAACTTTAAAACGACACTATCTACAATAATATAATGGCCGAGTATCTCATTTTCAATTACTTTTATCAATATGCTCCTCGCCGGAGTATTGGGTAACAATGCCGTAGAAAAGCTTTGGAATAACATGATTAATTTTCCACCCGTCCTTGCCCTCACTGACTTTGGTTGAGGCAGGACACTCGGGTCACCCGCTGTCAACATGACTATCTCCCTACGTGTTTGATCTCTGACTTGCTTCCGCTTTCTTTTCCCGACAGATCTTGCAAATGAGAAAAGGACAAGACCATGAAAGACCCGACGCCGGAAGTATTGCCTACAATGTATGATGCCTTTGCAGAGGCCATCAGCTCCAGAGACGATCGGAGGCAAGAGACTGCGCCAGCATTCAGATCGATGGAGATCGTGTTTGAACACATTGTTGAAGTTATAACTGATGTAACAGCTTTATAAATAAATTCTTCGAAAGAAATGATGGAGTAAAATCACCAAAATACACGGAACATACCACAAGCATGAGGTAAAATGTTTCAGAAAGTATGAGCCCAAACAAGAGCCCAAACAATAAGAAAAAAGTAAAACGTTATTTAATAAAAAGCGATAGTATGTCACCGTCTAGCAAGATAGTGATCATAATTAGCCATGTGGTGCGACTGAGTCCGTCATATCAGTCGAGAGCTCAGCAGCCACCAATTGGTGCCAGCAGGCACCGGCAGGCACCAGCGGTCTCCTGACATAGTGACACCCATAAATCTCCCAACAGGGACATGGACAATGGGTAATATTCCATGCAGTTCTTTTGCCACAGCAAAAAGATAAAAAAACTAACCTGAAGGCAGATGGGATAATAGCCGTTCTCACGACGGGCTATCTGACGAATGAACGTAATTTGGCCACTAATTTGTACCTAATCTCTTTTATAACAAAATCTTCATATCATTAATTTATTTTAGTGTTTTAATCGAAAACTTGATAATTTAAAAAATGAGGTTAAGGAACATCTGTGCAACCCAAATGAATAACTAGAATCACAATGAACCTAATTTGACCAAATCTACACCAAATCTGCACCAAATGTGTACAAGATGGCCGTCGCGAAAACGGCTAACATTCGTTACGAGAACGATGTCGGCTGCCCACTTAGAAGGGTGCATCCCGAAATAAGGTTTACCCATAAAAATTTCCATAAAACATTAACTCTGGAATCAATCCATTCAATTTTCACAGTGCTATCCCAAGGTAGTGAGAAGTAAATAGCGTAATTGGGAGCAAAATTGGATCATTCCTGTCATTACAGGTGCATGTATGGTTACTTTTCGGATTATTCTCCGGAATAATAATATCTAACTCAGTTAGATACTCAGTTAGATATGGACTTCTGAGTTAGATATTATTATCCCAGAGAATAATCCGAAAAATAGCCATACATAGCTAATTTCCTGGAAGAAAATGACTTAAAAACAACACATTACAGGTGCACTTCAAAAAAGTGACCAAAAACGCTTAAAACCGCGATGTTGCGCTCGTAAGAAGAATAAAACCACCAAAACGAAGAGTTTTTTTTTCTTCTGAAGATAAACCTGCACCTTATGCTTCAGAGCAACAGCAAAAAACGATACATCAGTAGTGCTTTGCAGCAGTGCGTCACTGTTGTTCAGTGCCTGGTGTGCTTGAATTGCTGTCCACATTTGTTCAGGCGGTCGTCGTTTTTCCTTAACACAAATAATTTTTCCTTCATTCGTCCTCGGCATTGCTATTAACAAGCTTAACTAAAACTCCGATCTCCGATGAACATTGCAGTATTTGTGGACACCCATTTTGGTTCCATAGGCTTTTTGCGCAGCTTGCAAATCGTCAACCGGGTCAAATATAGGTGCTATAGGTGAGATGAGGGCTGTACATACATTGGTTTGAATTTGATCATACATTATCTAGAGACGAGCTTTTATAACATGCAAAAAAACACACACACACACCAACCGAACTTCACCTTGGAATAGCACACAGATGTTAAGAGATAGCAACATAATGCAAATAAGGCAATAATTTTCTTTTCAAAATCAAATAGCGAACATAATCGATTACTGATAGCAAGCCATTGGTGTCAGCCGCTGGCCAAATTCTCTTGCACACCACAGCCATGCATTTATCGCCCCACTCGGGGGTGAAACAGTCTGTGGCGCGGGAGCCGTTTCCTAATGTTTCCCACGGTAGCTGGGCGGACAGTGGCACGTTTCCTAGAGCCGATGTACGCACAGGGGGTGCGTCCGGCCGGCGGGCGGGGCGGGGGGGAGGGCAGCGATATATTGGCCGCCGGCCCAGAGACGTCCTCAGTGGTCTCACAGTGGTGGTCAGACGACAGAGCGGTGTCCAAGACTACACGATGGCGGCGAGACGGGCTCTCCTTGTGTGCGCGCTGCTGGCGATCGTCAGCTCCAGCCTCGGTACGGAATACACAGACGGAGTGTGTACGGGATTCACAGACGGACTGTGTACGGGATTCACAGACGGAGTGTGTACGGGATTCACAGACGCGGACCTCGCCGGCATTGTGTTGTGACGGAGATCTTACCATTTAACAGGCAGCCGTATACTGCTAGATTCATTGCAGGCAGTATACGAACGACTCTATAAGAGCACTGGAATCTAAGGCCACGGAAGACCAAGGGCAGCCCACAGATGCCCGGATGGGCTGCCCTTGGTTTGGCAGTGCAGGGAGTGGAATGGAGATCCAATATTCGCGATCAATGTGGCCCATCTTGGGGAATGTCTCTCGGTTCCCTCCCTCTTTTTTAACCCGCCTGAGCCGCCAGTGTAAAAGCAAACCACAAATCCGCCAGTTTCATTGACGGATTTCAATGCTGGCTTCTGCTTCCCATTTCCCATTCTCTGCCCAAGACGTTAGCATTCTTTTTAAGATAGACATCTGAAATTGATCATATTAATGGCGCGCACATGCAGCAGACAAGGTCTTGCAGTCACTTTTTCAGTAATATATAATATTCTTCAAAGTTTCGAATTGTAATAGGACTTAGGAGTGGAAAGCCTTGACATTGCAACAGCACACAACAAACCTATTGTAGTATTACCTGCAAATTATTCCGTGCAACAAAGCAGCCACACATGTGCTAGTAGATGATAAATTTGTTCCAAAGGCTGGTTGTGCATGGCACTTCACAGAAAATTATGATCAATGCAGGTGGCGGCAGTCTCAACGAGTCAATTTTTTTATATAGTGTTGTTTTGTTATTTGTAGAAAAAGGCATGCAAGGTTAAGTACATGGTGTCTATTAGTAGGGTGGGGGAAAAACTAAAAGACGATAACCCGTAATAGCTTATGTATGTAGTTATCCTGAGTGATTTTGACGAAATAAGTTTTCTTGTCGACCTTGTGTAACTTTTGAGGGACAAGTGTATTTTTGTGTTGAAAATGTGATAAAGGAATAAAATTACCACTGTCTCATCTAATTACTTATAAAACTTTGGCTTATCGTTGCGTCTTATGTTCGCTGATTTGAAAGAAAGCGAGGGTTTGACCCATAAAGTTTACATTTTACAACCGTAGGTATAAGAAAGCGTTCCGGGCAAATTTGGGCAAAACTGTAGCTGCCAATGTGGCTTCTAAGATAGCTGCAGAGCATAATCAAATAAATATCGCATCCTATCGTGTATCTAATTGCCTGTACATACCGCGGTGCAGTTCCCGATTGGTGAGCTTTGCAAGTGTCAGCTAAGCATTTTTATAGCTAAGCGTTACGAAGCCAAAAAGTCTAAAGAAGTTTGTAGCTGATCGTTCAGGCGATGAAGCGCTTAGTCGTCAATCTATGCAATAATACCTAATCACATTTTCAAGCTCGCTAGCATTTACCCAGAAATTACACACACGCAGAATGAAACAATTTAGTTAAGCATGACTCGGCCTTATCGCACTGGCATGGTATATAAAAACTTGACTACAACAAAACTATATTAGCAAAGCTTTTATGAACGTGCTGTCTCGGCAGAATTACGATGCGGTGTTTCGGAGCAGACACACCTTCGTATCACCCCTCTATTGACACCAGATCTGGTCACCGCTCCTCAGGCTCTCAGTTCGGATCTGTGGATGGGACGACCACTGAGCCTCCGTCGTTCCAATGCAACTCCGAGTACGGCCTGTTTCCCGACCCGGACAACTGCCACGCCTTCTACGAGTGCAACGAGTTCATCCCGTTCCACTTCGACTGTCCGGACAACCTGGCCTGGAACGACGCCGCGCACATGTGCGACTACGACCCGTGAGTACTAACCGTGGCTACAAAGACAGCTTACAGACAGCAGATAATATAAAGAGTAGGTGTGGATTAGAGTTGCAAAGTTTTCCCAATGGGCTGCTACCGGCACCGCCCCGCCCCACAAAAATTTTCTGGGATACCGGCATGCTACCACGCCCCAAGCAAAAAAAACCGCCAAATTACCGGCATACCGGTAATTTGGCGGTAATTTTAATACGGCATATGGAACTTTTACCACAAAATGTATTTTGCAGTGGCTAAGATTGTTGTTATTACAATTCAATAGCCTCTTAGTATCCAAAGTTTGAATCATATGCTGATAATTTTTTTTTGTGTGCAAAATAGAAAATACCGGCATGCTACCGGCAAGACATGCCAGATACCACGAAAAAACCTGCGGTAGTGAAAAATTACCGGCATGCCGGTAGTGCGGTAGGGAAATTTTGCAACTCTAGTGTGGATGTCAGTTTCGTAGTAAGTAACAAATGGATCTTACAAATGTTTCGATTGATAGCAAGGAAAATTGGCCGAGTTAACGTACACATCTGTACCAAAGTTATCCATCTACTATAAAATATATTTTCCGAACAAGAGAAAATGCATAAATATGCATAGCTTCGTAACAAGCTGGTCTTGTGGACAAATAGCCGACGATGTCATTTCTATTTAGGTCTGAACAAATTCATATGTTCTTTCAGGACTTGCAAGTAGATGACTGAAAACGAAGAACGGAAGATCGCCTGACTTTACTGGATCATCAGCAACTTTGTGTGAATGACACACAGCCGTCGCCTGCTTTAAACGGCTTTGGTTATAGCGGCTGACGCTGAATTGTCAGCTCGCGTATTTATAGCTCCGTGAGGCAGAACGGCTCTGTTTCTTAGAGTCAGACGATATTATTGTGAAAATAAGCGGTTTTGTGCTGAAGAGCCCTTTGAAAACCCAAAGTTTCAGCGTGATAAAGGCAGGCATGTAACTACGACGACGACATAATAAACTTTTACATATATCGATACGTTTATCTAAGCACTTTGATCTGTTTTGAGGATGACGGTTTTCCCTGTCACTTTGCGAGGCAGTTGAATCGATTGAAAGGTGACACGACATTATGTCGATTGAAAGGACGAACGTCGCGGGCTGTGTAAAAAGCAGCGGAACGCCCAGTCGTGGCTCGAATGCGAATGGGCTCGCCAAATGCTCGACAGTCCCCAGAGTGTTTCGTGTCAATCCGACGGAGACGCGGCAAATAAAACTGCCGAATGTGGTCTCGTAAACTAACACCTTGCAGAACAGAGGATGAATAAATGTGTGTGTGTGGGGGGGGGGGGGAATAAGTAGGACGAAGAGTAGGAGGTAGTATAGGGAGTGTGCGTAGACGCAAGGTGTGAAATCTGCGAGTTCAGATCTGACGCGAGCTCCATAGACACCATCCCTATTCCCAAGCACCATTGCCACGCAACCTATTCGTCGGCACTTGCATGATCGAAAACATACTCAGAACGGCCACTGCTACCACTTAGCGCTAAATATACATTTTCAAGAAAACGGATCAAATCATGTCACATGTTCCGTTGGCTAATATTGCGCAATCGTGTTTAGGAAATGTACGATTAGCACGTTATGCATTTAATGTACGTCAGCCAAGATGACCACTGTTCATCTCTTTCCTTGGCTCGTTTCTTAGGAAATTAACGTAGGTACTTACCTAATACGAATCCGGTTGTGATGTGCCTGGTTACGAAGATGAGGAGCATACACAGCAGTCTGTCCATCATTGCTGGTCTCCAGCGGTCGTCGGACACAATCCGCCTTTGGACACCAAACAGCCCTTCGAAGACTTGAGCGACGGTCACGGCGCCGGTGGGCGCTGGAGACGCAACACCATGTGACAGCTGGCTGTCCTCAGATGCCGTCACTCCTGGATAACGTCACACCGCCGGCCGACCGGCCCAGTCGAGATGGCCTGGGGGCAGCGACACGAGCCATGCATGAATAAAGACGAGAGGCAAGAAGAACGGCGAATACTCCTATTGCAGCGTGAAGGAAAAATACATTATGGATCCCTTTATGAGATTAACTTGTTGTTGCACACTTTTCTCACTTTCATTAGCTGTTCACATTTGTTGCACACTTTCGTGACGGATTTTTTTCTTCTTTTTTTTTGTCAGCAATGTTCATATATTACTGCTGCTGAGCTGCAGAGCACCGTGCAATTCTAATTTAGCAATTAAAATAAGGATAGGGATTTTAATAATGATCTTAAGAATAAAACCTTTCATATTTTGACAATGATTTAAAGATTCTTATAGCAATGAAATCTTCGCAATTACGTTCAATTGCAAAGAAATTATACATACCATTATAACAACATGTAACATTATAATCGTTTTCTGTTCCACATCAACATTGAACTGTAACGCTTGCGCCATAAATGTATGAAAAATTAATATAAGTTCCGGTCCAAGCGCTCAATATTAAGCAGCCCTGTGGGCAAGTATATGTGCCAAATTTCACCGTTCATTCTATCAAAATAAATGATATGTTCGAATGCTGCTTTCGTCGTTTGCTAAACATCACGAAGCGATAAATCATCAATTCACTCGTCAAACAGACTCCTCTGTGGATGACTTCAGTCTGCATGGACAGCGCTAATTACGGAGCGAGCGAAGCGAGCGTAGTCTTTGCTTAGATTAACGGAAATTTCTGAGTATGGCCGTGGTCACGCTTTTGCGAGGCTTATATCTCAGCAACCACTTGACCGATTTACACGCGGTAATTTTTGTAGGGAAGCTTCATTCCTTCTACCAAGTATTGGACTATTCCTGATGCATGTGGGTGACCCCTTATGCACGTGCCACGTGCAAAACGAAGAGGTGTCCGTTTTGTAATTGTTGCAATATCTCGGTAACTACTTGGCCGATTGCGCTGAAAGTTGGCATGTAGGTAGGCACCCACTAGGCACTGCATATACATGTGCCAGAGTTGGGGCGCTGCTGTACGTGCGCACGTGCAGGGGTCGTTTCCAGATCTCGAGAACGGCTCGACCAATTACCCTCAAATTTGGTACACAGTTAGGGACCGGTTAGTAGGGTGCCGTGCACAAGTCAGTTGGGACCCATTTTGCACGTGCGCACGTGTAGGGTGCCGCTTCCAGATCTCGAGAACGGCTGTGCCGATTGTGCCCAAATTTGGCACATCGCTAGAGACCGGTTAGTAGGGTGCCATGCACAAGTCAGTTGGAGGTACCCCCTCGCAATTTCGCACGTGCAAGGCCCACCCTCTTGCTCGCTCCGTTAGTCGCCCCAAAAGGCGTTATACTGGTTTCATTAAATGAGCCACTCGTAGCTACACCGGTGTCAACAATCCAACAGTAAATCGTGGTCAATAGCTATTTAAGTTAACCAGTTCTCTGTGTTTAATGCGCTGCGGTCACCATTATCGCTGTCGAGTGCCAACCTGATCACCCTGCAGCCCGGTCCCGCGACCCCGGTGTGTCTGGGACTCGGCTCCGAGTCTGGCGAGACGACACAAATGATGGTAAGGTGGCTCTGACCCTAGCGGCGACCATCATCCACAGCTTTTACCCAGGCGGACGAGCGAGAGAGAGAGAGAGAGAGAGAGAGAGAGAGAGAGAGAGAGAGAGGGGGGGGGTCAGGTCAGGTCAGATCCGTGCGTCCACAGCGCATCCCACATGGTCCGACATCGCAGCTGTGGCAATCGCACTCCAATGGGAAAGACACGCTAATGCAACTCGCGCAACTGGCCGTCCCATTTTCCGTTCAGCCGCGGGCCGAGCCGAGCCACAACAGCGGTCTGTGGTATATACGACCACTCCGCGGTCCACCCGGCCCAGGTCACACAATTCAACACTTACAGGCACCTGAAGACTGCACCACGACGAGCGTTATTGTTAAGCGCGCCGTTCAGGTGGGGTCCGTCAGATGTCTGGCTGTCTTCAGAGCCTGACCGCGTGTGCCTCCGCCTAGATCTCCTGCAGACGGATGTGTAATGCCCTTTGATGCCGCATGATCGGCACGTGGTGCCTCTGGCAGGGCAGGAGGCTAGCTGCTCCTTGGTGTGCCATGGTCCGTCGCAGTAGCCACATCGCCTGCCACGGCTGGCAGATCGGTAGTCCCGTCGGTCGTTATCATAGCCTCTCTCCCGGTTGTCCTGGCCGTCCCGTCCGTATCGGCCTTCTCGGTACGTGTATCGGGCGTCTGGACCGTGACTCCGGCCGGCTCTGCTGTCCCGGCTTCTTCGCTGCCGGTAGGCGGACACGGGGCGAGCGTGACTACCCCGGATCGCTTCACTGTCCTGCGTCGCGTTTTCTCTTGCCCGACAGATGTCGATCGTTTTTTGCAGTGTCAATGACGATTCGGCGAGGAGGAGTCGCACTGTTTCCTCACATCTGATGCCCGTCACGATCCTGTCTCGGAGCCGGTCGTCTGCGCAGTGGACGCAGAAGTTGCAGAACTCTGCCAGTTCCTTTAAGGCCATTACATACTCGTCGAATGGCTCGCCGTCTGCTTGCTGTCTGGTATGGAACTCTTTTCTGTCGACGATGACGTTCCTTTGGCTCCTGAGGTGACTTTCCATCTTTGTTAGCAGAGTGTCGATAGGTGTGGCGTCTGTCACGTCCAGCGAGTAGCGTATTACACGCGTCCATTCGTCGTCAAGGAGTGTTAATAAGGCCGCCCGCTGTTCAGGGATGTCGAGGGAGTCGAGGCCAGTGAGAAGACGGTAGCCTTTATACTTCTCACGCCATGACGAGAACTCTCTGAGGCTGGCCGAACAGACCAGACGCGGCGCTGGAGTGGCTGACGGCGGCAGGCGGGGTCTGCTGTTCGTGGTGTCCGATGTCTGGGAGTCGTCACCGTCTCCCGATGCGCTCCCTTGCCTGCCTCGTAGAGCCTGGGTGACGAGATCGGCCATCCGCTGCTCCCGCTGGTTGGCGGCCTCAGCCTGGTCCTTCAGCAGGCTGGTGAGACTGGCGATTGCAGCGGCGAATTCTTCTCCTGCAGACATCACGCTAAAAAATTACTGCCTCCCCGAGATTCGAACTCGGTACTCACGCGTGAAAGCCGGGTACGCTAACCGCTAGAAGGTCGACCCGGAGCTGAAGACCTACCGGTCGACCCGGGGGGAGATGTGAGGTTTCCTAGTTAGTCGGGAGACGTTATTGTATTGGCATTTGCCATGGTGTTGGACCCCGCATGGTATTTCACGTGTTTACCGTTTCCATGGTTACGACTTTGGATTTGTATGAATGAACAGGGTCGATGGATTGATTCTGGCCGGGCTGAGTCCGAACATGTCTGTGCTCCTTCTTTTGTTTATATTGTGAACCGCCAATACACGTAGCCGGTTCCATGTGGCATTTCTCAACACCAAGAAGACCTAACAGTTAGCACCAGCTGCACCACATAGTGGCGATCTGCCCGCCCGGCGGCTGGTGCCGGGACGCACTGAGTGTCTGCCGGTCACCGCCGGTCGCTAAATACTGGTGACCTCCGGCTCCCCTGGGGGCTACACCAGTCACACTGGTGATGTCGGCGCCGGTTCTGACTGGTACGGCGTCACGAACTGTTCGGAAAAACAGCCTGATCATCCAATACCAGCAACGACTTGTCCGAAAAGGTCAGTTTATGCCGAAAACAAGGTGTATATTCATATGGTTAAACACATCGATAATGTCTGGCGCCAGCTTGGCTGGAATGTGTACGGAGCGGGTTGTGCGCATCCGCTCGGCTGCATTCTTCGCGGGTCAGCTAGCCGGCAAGAGCGTAGCCTGCTTCGAGTCAGCGCTCAGATAAACTAGTGATGTCAATTACGGAAAATCGGAATACCGATACCAAACCAAATACCAACCAAAACCACGGGAAAATGCCAAAACCGAACCAACTTGGGAACATGAGGGAAATACCAACTTTTTACCGATTTTTTAGCCTCTTATACATTAGTGGGGGTTCATGATACCAACAAAATACCAAACACATAAGGATTGAAATACCAAATACCAAGTTGGTATCGGTTTGGTATCGGTATACCAAAAAGTCGGTATCCGATTTACATCTCTAATGCCTACCTACCTACCAACTTTCAGCGCAATCGGCCCAGTAGTTGCCGAGATACAACTATTGCAAAACTGACACCTCTTCGTTTTGCACGTGGCACGTGCATAAGGGGTCACCCACATGCATCAGGAATAGTCCAATACTTGGTAGAAGGAATGAAGCTACCCTACAAAAATTACCGCGTGTAAATCGGTCAAGTGGTTGCTGAGATATAAGCTTCGCAAAAGCGCCCGCACGGCAGGCCGGCCGGCCGGCCGCTCATACTCAGAAATTTCCGTTAATCTAAGGAAAGACTCCGCTCGCTTCGCTCGCTCCGTAATTATGTCACTTGGTGCTTCTTTGTTTGGTGTGCTTATCCATGGGTCAGGTCAAATGAGGTCAACTGAGTTCAAATGACGTTTGTGCCAATAACTTGTCGCTTAATAAAGATAGGTACACTTTTCAAAATGGTATCATTCTGTTCCTCTTCAAAAGCCGAGTCGAATGATATGCAACATTGAGCATTTCGGCCATTCGTAAGACTTAAGTTGTACTTAAGATGTGCTTAACTTTTTAAGTACACTTAAGCAAGCAAAAAAGTATATCATTCGACGCGCCTTGACGTGCTGAGTTCACTGGTGCTTGCTCTATCTTAATTAGATCAAAAGTTATAAGCGAAAAACTTTTGACCTGTTTAGCGAAATTTTTACATTCATACCCCCAAACCCTCCCCTAAATATTGACCTAGAGCAACCAAATTTGCACAGGGGTGAGAACCCCAGAGGGCCCACCTACCTACCAAATTTGGTGTTTCTAGGTGCCATAGGAGCCAATCGCGAAGGGGGTCGCATCGACCCCCCCCCCCCCAGGCCGTGTTATGAAAAATGCCCTGCCAGGGCGAGGGTTAACTATGTCACTTGTTTTTTCTTTGCAGATGAGGGGAACAATACCTCATGATCAAAACGTGTCAACAGACGTCTCTGACCCCAGCGCTCGGTCATTCTGCGTGCTATGCCGCAGTCTGGCTCTGTCGCGGAGATGCCGTCAGCCGTGGTAGGCTGTCCCGCCGTACACTGATGTGTTGCGGTACAGTCTACCCGCCAGTGCACCGCTCGGACGACGAACGGCGCGGACTGCTCAATGCTCATCATCCTATACAAACAAACGATAAACGAATGTTTTATACATTATAAATGCACGTTTTAAGTTCCTAGGGAGCATAGAAAATAAAACCGTTACTAGAACTGCGTTCAATGACCCACGCCAGTCCGGACATTCCTTTTACAAATAGCCGTGCGTCCAGTTAAACACTCCATAAATCCAGCTGTACTGCTAGTTTGGAGCCGGCACGTGTTTCAGGCCGCCGACCTGCCTCTCAGCGGCGCTCTGGGATGCTTGCCGACGAGCCCTGTTCCGAGTAACTCACCGGCCTGCAGCCATTCTGCTATCAAGCTCACGATTCATAGCCCCAATCCGGCAAACTGGTGTGGCCCGATAACACGGCACTGCAACTGCCACGTGGCGGCCTGTTATTGGAGTGCCCGGCTCAGGCTGCACGGGCGGAGACTGTCCTGTCACACTCGGACCACACCGGACAGCGCGTCCCACCCGGCCCAGCCGACTCGCCGGCCCTGGAGCGTGTGTCGGGGCCGTGAGAAACCGGAGGAACCTCTGAGCGCTTGGCCGAGACCCTGACCCTTCTGGAGTCTTACCTAATTTCAAGGGCCTTCTATTCAGTGTTGGACGAGTGATGTTGATTAGTAGTCAGTGGATATCTAATTATTCCAGGTACAGGCGGGGCCCGCTGCGCCGATTACCGGTGCCGCCGCGCCGATCCGCTGGGGCAGTGCACAGGGTCACCCTCGAACCACGCCGAATGGCGTACCCCACCCTCGGCCAAACCAACTCAATGATTACATGATGGCCATCCACTTGGACCTCGCCCATTTGTAATCCGCTTCAAAGGGGGATATATCAGCCTAATGGCATCGGGCCGGTTAGTGGTAGTTTCGTTCCGACTGCCGGACGTAACTGACTCGAGTGGGACATAGGACAACCATTTGGATGCATTTCCGATTAAGCCGCGTCCACGATATGACAGAGACCTTTGCTACTTGATTAAATGTGGCCATGTCGGCGCGGCGATGCCCACTCAGTGTTACTTTAATTGGCTGCTTTATGCAACCATAACAACAGGTGCGATATAGTGACGAGGGTGCCCGATTTCCAAGCAACATACAAGACAGAAACGACGTTAACTATGCTTATGAGCTACTATCAGGTTCATCGCAACAAAATTGGACTATGCTTTGCATAAAGATCACCGGTGAACCGGGCGCGGGCAAGGTCGGGTGGTGGTCGCTGGGTCCGTACAGTGTCATTCGCAACAAGCACCAAAAAGCGTGGCAAGCGGGACCACAGCCACCAATTCATCCATTTGGACTGATTTTTCTTTAATAATAGTTATGGATTCTGGAAGGAATATTCCATCGGCAAAATATTACATATTTAGGCAATAGTTCACGATTCAGCTCTAGCTAGCTAGCAGTACTAGGTAAATATGCAACGCTAAGCCAAACGTCAAATCTCTCACGCAGCACTTTAAATCATCAAATATGTCACATTGACAAAATCACGCAAGATATTGAAGATGAAGCTGGTGATTTCAATTCAGTCCTAGGCCACCATCAACGACAACACAGAACCATAATTCATGAATCAGAATCCTCCGTCATTTCGACCCTTCTCTTATCGTCATAATAGGCAAACGTCCTTCCCCAGATGTTACAACAGATGATTAAAACGAAGATAGGCTCGCTTGCTTGCCTCGCTCACCATAAGTGGAGAATTGTGCCGAGCTGTGGGTGCTCGGGCTCAGCCAATCGACAGCCGCCCTAGCGGTGACCTCGACCCGCGTGGTCCGTCGTGGCTCCAAAGCCAAGCCGGCGCGGAATTGGGAGCGGCCGAGCACCCATAGTCCAGCACAATTCTCTATCTATGTCGCTCACCTGCTCGTGAATGATGACGGGTACCGACTAACTATTCAAGTCGTCATGCTTTCCATTCTGAATTTACAGTCTTCCGCGGTCCCTTCTTTCGTTCCCACAGCCAGCATTACGATCTGAACAACTCGAGCCCATAACAGCCTCATAACAGTTTCACGATCTTATAACCCGTATGTACTACCTAACACGTAACTAAAAATCATCTTGTAAGGAATATTTTACGTCTGAATTCTTAATTAACCATATAGCTCCACCATTCATTAGTTATCAGTCTTAACCTCACCAATTACCAGCCCAGCTCTCCCACATTAACTAGAGTACATCCCTATTCTGTCTCACCAGTCAGAACTATTCTGTCAGTCTCATCCTCACATATCTCCCAAGTCCAAACCTCCCATATTACCCCCAGTTCAGCCCTCAGCCCCTCACCTGTCCCTCCATTTAAGCTATTCTCCTAGTACATGTAGCCATTACCTCTGTCTCACCATTCCAACCTTCCCAAATCGTCAGTCCGCCCTCACCTGCCCTCCAGTCCAGCTCTCACGCCCGCGTGCCGCCGACGCAGGCCGCCCCGTGTCGCACCTCCCGTCGGCGCCGGCACCGGTCGACTGACGGCCGTCGGAGTCGACGGGACGGTCGTCGCTGCGCCGCCGCCGCCGCCTCGGGCAACAGGCCGACGCGACGGTGCCGATACAGCCCCGGCGGTCGGTCGCGACCGGGGCGGCTCCGCATGTCGGGGCATCAGGTGACAACGAGATCGGCCGGCCGGCGACTCGAGCTGGCTCAGATGCTTGAGGTGTAATCCGTTGGTGAAGTGACATTCTTAGGTTGTGCATGCTTCTTAAATTGAGCTGCTGGTGCTATTACAACTGCGACGTATTACCTTCCTTAGAAAACGAGACTTGCTTAATTGTAAAATATTTATCTTGATTAACCATTCGCAAAATGAGCCCAAAGCTTGGCAGTCAAGATTGTCAAAGAAAGCCGGTTTGGCGTAATATCATTGCATTTACACGGCAGAGACTCGCAATTCAGGCTGATTCATTGTGTGTTTTGGCTTTCGTTGTGAGCTGATCAGCGATTTTTAACGCAGCTGCAAAATACTGGAGCGGGATATGAGGAAAGTTTGGCGGTCCTTAGGGTGCGCTGCGCTCCACCTTAGTGAACAATAAAACGACTGCGAGCAGTGGGCTAATTAATTTAACTGCCGCAAATAACAGCTCTCTCTGGACTTGGATTCGGTAATGAATCAACGACTATAAAACAGGCACCTGGTCCCGCTAATTTCCGTGGCGAGTTAGCGCTTGAACCAGGCAAACAAGCAGCTTTTAGAGGCGCAGAGGATGCGTCCATTGTCAGTGAGGACTGAACGTGCAAGTAGGCAAGTAGGCACCCTAATAGTAGGCACGCAGTAAGCCTTTTAGTAGTCAGGTTATCCCTTTGAGATAGTCGTGTAGTAATCTTGAGGTAATCATGTAGTCCATCTTGTGACAGTAATGTAGGTAGTCACCGTTTAGATCCAGTCACGATTAGATACATGCATCCTGCATTTTTCGGACTAATCTCAGGCAGCTTCTGCCAAATTGTCAGGGAACTCAGATTTGTTTTTCAATAGCAAAACACAATTCTAAAGAATAGTGTTTTAACTATTGACAACAAACCTTCGGTTACGATCAATCAACACATGTTGTTAACATGTATCAGACATATGTATATCCGAGCCCAATAAAAAACTTCAAACATGGCTCCAGTGAGCAGTTCAGTCGCTGAGACTGAGCGGAAAACCGGATGATGTTTCAGTTTCACCAGCATTGAGACAGGATACACACAACGCTGAACGCACAGTGTTGTATTTTGTTTGTTTATTGAGGCTTTAGGGCGCGCCGACTACTAAGGTCATTTTGCGCCCATAACGTCACACTAATAAAACAAGTGTGTCAAAAGAAAGAAACTTCTAGATACGAAGGCTAAAAAGTAAAAGACTCGATATAAGAGCAAGGTAAGAAAACAAAACAGCGCAAAAGTGTCGTCCTAGATATCTGACTAGATGTAAGGAGTAAGGACTAGAGAGGATTAGTTGGATTGGGGTCAAGTCGAGTCAATCACTTATGTAGAAGTTGGAAGTCGATGTTGTGTGTATTCGCACATTTCTTAACACGTATTGATTATCAGGTGAATCAGTATCGATTTGAGAAATTATGCTCCTATCAAAACAGACCCATTTGGACACTTGGAGGGTACTAGATATGGACTAATTAAAAAAAATGTATTATTACCTTCCCCCACCCGCTTCTTGATGGGAAAACGAGCCCTTTTTCCGCTGTTTCAAATACATATGTTCTCTTTAGTAATTCCATCAAACTTTGTGCATTAGGTATTCCTTCAACCGGTTTCACACACTAACGAAAACAACGCCAAATTCACTGTGAAATAATCAGCTTGATTGGTATCTGAAAACTTGTCTAATGAGATGGTTTTCCAACAACGCTCTAGTTTGCTTCCGATACGCCCACAAATTTACTCAAGAGCTTGCTACTGTTTATGAGCGAGACCAATTCATACTTTCTGTATAAGGATTAGATATTGGAACACTCTACCCGGTGAGACCGGCATTTTCCTGTAAACGGACTTGGCCGCGTCCCGAGGAGTTCAGATTGCGTGTCGGCTTCTCGAGAAGCGACTTAGTGACCCAAGTTTGGCTCTGCATCGAGACCGATTTTCATTAGAACTTCTTCCCGCCCCATCGACGCGACTGTTTCCAATATCTGGCGCCAACTTTTCTCCAGGGCCTCGCTCCATCTCATCAAGGCTGTTAAGCACACTTAAAAATGTTGCAATTGATGTATTTTGCAGCAACAAATAGGCCATTTGGTAGTTAGAGCCCAATGTACAAATGTCACAGGAGCAGAAATGTATGCGACTATTGTACTTACGCGAGTAACGGTACTTGAACGTACCATGCAACCATCACTTGAGATCCATTACTGTTTAGACATGACTCCCCAGCAAACACTATTACGGTTGGGGAGAAAAGTAAAAAACACACTACGGCGCACCATCCGTAAGAACACTCATACATGAGGCACCAATATTTCCACACATCATCCGGACCACGGATTGATCCACATCCGCCTGAGTTACGATCCATCCAACAGACAGGTCTCAGCTGGCCCTGTTGAGGCACACCCTACAAACTGGCCCAGGTCATAGGCCCGTCAGAAGCCGTCCTTACCAGGGACACTTGCATCCACCACAACACGCTGCAGTATGAGTTCTAGCGCCGGTCAGGGTACACCCTGGCATCAAGAGCCAGCAGCAATGACACACAATGGGATACAAACCAAAAGCACTCGCGCATCCTCGGACATTGATTCGCAATGCATGTCAGGACCAGGAGCCAGCAGCCATGACACGCCCCTGGCCATGAGGCGGCCGCTGCATGCGGCCAGGTCAGTCGGTGACCCAGTGGTAGCTGCCGCTGACTTGGGTGATCACCACAGTGACGCAGCTTCTCGAGTAGTCAGCAACCGAGTAACCGACGGAGACTCACACCAGTGAACGGTGTCATAGGTAGAAAACCGATCTGGTCCACCCTTCCACGGGCCACGTGCCACGTCCCGGTCGTAAAGCCACGTACCAAGACATGGCCATGACAGCCACGTGCCATGTTTGGCCCAGGAGCGTGCAGCAGTGAGCTGCTAGCCTCCCATAGAGGGCAGCTGTCAGTCGTCCGGCAGTTCTGACCACCCACCGATCTGAGGAGAGAAACAAAAACTTCAGCAACGGTGGCCATCTAAACGGGGCACAAAGTCGGCGGCGGGCATGAGACAAGCGCTTGTGGGTCGCTGAATACCCATTAAAAGGTGGTCATTCAGCTTCATCATGAGCGTCGATGTTCAGCAAAAACAGTTCCTTGTCCTTACTTCCTTATCCAACGAACAGAGCTAATTTAATTTACTGCAAACCTCTTACGAAAAAAAAGACATCTTCCGGGAACCACTAAACTGCGCAAAAGAACTGTTGCAAACTGCTGGGAACATCGCTATATCAACTTCCTCCACCAGACAAATCACCGGGAAAACCATCATCTCCACTCTCTAGCATTCATCATCCCACCTCCCCCGCTGACAATCCAAGTGAAACCGCTCGGCAAGAAATATGTTCGGAGGCGGGCGGACAGGCAGACTGACAGACTGACAGACAGACGGACAGACAGACAGAGACAGACGGACAGAAGGCAGCGGGCGGACAGAAGGACAGACAGACGGACAGACTGACAGACGGACAGGCGGACAGACGGCAGCAGACGGACAGACGGACGGAGGAGCGACGGACAGACGGACAGACGGACAGACGGACAGACGGCAGCGGGCGGACAGAAGGACGGAGGAGCGACGGACAGACGGACAGACAGACAGACAGACAGACAGACAGACAGACAGACAGACAGACAGACAGACAGACAGACGGACGGACGGACGGACGGACGGACGGACGGACAGACGGCAGCGGACAGACGGACGGAGGAGCGACGGACAGACGGACAGACGGCAGCGGGCGGAGGGCCGCCCAGAGGCGGAGGGACAGAGTGCGGCAGCAGGCGCTCGTTGTTGACACCGGACCACCGGTCGGCCGACCACCTGGCTCCGCCGCTCCTCGCCAAACGACCAATTTGGCCAAGTTGGCGGCGGAGCGGGCGCCGCCGGCCGGGCCGCCAAGTTGGCTCGTTGGCCGCCGGTCCGTGTTCATCTGTCTCCGAGTATTTTACTGTTTAGCCATCAGCTCAGGGCAGGATGGAGCGAGGCAGAAGGGTGGCCGGGTTCATCCAGGGCAGAGGACGGGAGGGGCAGAGGAGCGGAGAGTTCCGTGTTGTCCACAGAGAGGCGACGAGTTTGACATAGTTACAGCCGAAAACAGCCCGGTTCTTCGGCGGCGGAATTCCACGAAGGAGCTGCAAAAAGTCTTCAGTTACCTTAATTTGAATGACTATGCATTATGCAAGAAAGTTTGGTCCTATGAAGGGACTGTGAATTACAACTTCGAGTTATTTAGATGATTCTCATGGCCCTCCAGCTGTGTTGAACCTGGTAAAATCGTCCTAAAACCAGACTGGTTTTTTATTCACCTTTTTTGGATCGATTCAATCATTGATTCATTTGATTTTTGTTTGATTCAATCACCGTTTGATTCCTTCAAAAAATTTGGTGAATCGATTCCTTTTGATTCAGAGAATCAAAAAACAATAAAAGGAATGATTCACGTTTGATTCAGCCATTTTTTTTAATGATTCTTTTTTTATTCAATTAAAAAATAAAATATACAAAATATCAGGGATAGTATTGTACTTGTTGTGTTCTTTTTGTTGTCATGTAATGGCAGTAGTGTTAATATTTGTTGATAATGAACTATGTTTGTGCGCTTCATTTTTTTTTTTAAGTTCATGAATCATTAATTTTTTTGATTCAATCAACCCTGATTCCCAATGCGTTTGATTCAATCATGGCTTGTGATTTGTGAATCAAACAATCCTGACGGTGAATCAAACCTTTTTGATTCAACAAATTTTGTTTGATTCAATCCAATCGATTCAATCACAGATGAATCAAACACCAGTCTGCCTAAAACATACTAATTTCGTTTCTATTGCAATCCGGGAATATCAGAATAATTTACACACAAAAAATGGTCCTGAAAAACCAGCATTCTTCAACGGCAAAACCCAAACCAGCCTTTCACAAAGACACTGAAGGCGATTCTAATGCACTCGACCAGTCAATCTTTATGAACGAGCGCAAGGAGCAGCCAAATGCCTTGGCACTCTAAACAGCGCAGGTAAATCGTGTCGTAGGACATGGCTGTCTCTGTTCGACGCGCTAATGGAAGTAGTGACGGGACACTTGGGCCGTCCTGTTCGAATTACGCTGCACCCCGACACAATGCATCCTCAGAAGTGGCCGTTTCACAGGCCGAGTACTTGACGCCCCCCCCCCCTTCACCCCACTACCGTTCCGACTCGGACACCCACAGTGACCCGCCGCCCTAGGTCGATCAAAATCATGCTTCCATTTGTCAACGTCATGCGGTGATATTGAATGCATCATGCGATGCAGCATGCATCAAATTTCCATCGGCGCGATTTAGTGCATGACTGGCCGTCGGAGAGATACGTGGGATTATGCCGAGAGATGAATCGACACCGGGGTCAGTTTTATGGGGCGGCGCCGACGCTGCCCGACCGGCCAATAGGCGAACACAACGGGACGGATATCTCCACTTTTGAGGGTGAGGTAGAACATATCAAAGGCAAATCTAACATACCGTGCTTTTGTACATAAGACATTCGGCATGGATTGACAAATTGTCAGCCCAGTAAATTAAGCCCGGTTCCGACTACGGTCACTTCAGGCCCAATCAGGCCAGATCAGGCCCAATAATTCCCAAAAAGGCTGGAAAAGGCTTACGGCCTGACGGCATGCTAGTGCGAACCGGAGCAACTGATCCGGCCTGAACTGGCCTGATCAGACCTTCAGGCCAGATCAGGCCGAAGTTAACTTCAAGTCAACTTTTTGCGCCTGATCCGGCCTGATCTGGCCTGACGCTGCGCCCGCCATTTTGAATTTGCATTGGCGCATTTGCGACGTGACAATGCGTGGTATTCGAAATCGTGCCCTTTTTGACACTGCAAAATAAAAGTGCCTATTTATATAAATGCACATAAAAAACAGACCCAGTATGAATTAGGCACGAGACGTTGCGCATGGTTCTTTTTTATTTGATTTTTATTGTGGCCTAATTTGTGTCATTTCGGGCTTTGAAGGATGAATAACTCCCATGGTTGCTACTGATTGCTGTTTTGTTTAAATTAATTATGAACGTTTGTTTCGACAAGTCCAACATTATTTCAACCAAATTAGCGTTTCTTTTAAAATTGATTCCAAAAAATAATGTGCTACTCATCAATATCGTAGCAAGATAACCATTCAAGCTTACGAGAAATAAATCGGGCTATGGTGGAAGATCCAGGTTCAAGACAGCCTTTACAGCCGCCTGACCTGTCGCGCATAAGAAATCCAGCTCGTCCACCTTCCCCGTCTGAGCTCCCGGGCCGGGAGGCCTAGCTTAGAACAGTAACGGATGGCTGCGCCTGATATGAGCCGCTCCAGCAAACACCAGGGAGGGATGAAAGTGAACTTTTGGAAAGTTTGCTCGAGAAGGACACTCGCTCTCGATCGCCCTCGATGCCACGAACCTCTGCCGAGCTGTTGCGGTGTCTTCTGCGGCAGCTAAACTCATCGTCGCCGGCACCGAACAGGCTCCCGCTACCTCTCCTAGATCCCGTGACTCTCTGTCATGACTCGGACTGAATGGAACCAATCGCTACTCCATTCGCCCCCCTGGACCCCACGGCACAAAAGGACCTTTCCTATATCGAATGGCAGCTTGGCCGGGGAGACTCATTTCCAGACCAAAGAAATTTGACGGGAAGACAAGAAACTAAACTCTTAAGTCGACATGTTCCATGTGCAAGATAAATTTGTGGCGGGAAACCACAGCGGGTACCATGTGTGAGCAAAAAAGCAAACCTTGTTTAGGTCAAGCTAATCGAGACCCTACATGATGACATGAAAAGTGTCATAAACAACGGGCTCTTATTTCTCGGAGTTGAGTTGCGTCAATGCTTATATCTTTGTTAGTGTGGTAATTGTCTGCAAAGCACATAAGAACCTACAACATAAGAACATGCATGTCTTTTCTGTTTTCTTTTAGCCACTTCTTAGATTTTCGATAAAAATCATGTTTTTATTACTTAAAACCACATTAAAAATGTTACGCAGTATGATTAAGATTATCGGTTTCAGGTTTTCATTATATAGAGCGATTATACCAGTAAAACGTCTTTGGAGCTGACAAACGGGCGAGCACGAGAGTTGAGCTCATCAAACGAGGAAGTGCGAAACAATACCTACCTATTCCAACTGACTTGTGCGGGACACGCTTCTAACCAGTCCGTAACAGTGTACTTTAAATTTGAGCGCAATCGGACCACCCGTTCTCGAGATGTAGAAGCAGCAGTCTGCACGTGCTCACGTGCATACTGGACCCCAACTGACTTGTGTGGGACACCCTTCTAGTCGATCTCTAACGGTGTACCAAATTTGAGAGCAATCGGCCCAGCCGTTCTTGAGATGTGGAAGCGGTCCCTGCACGACGCACGTGCGCACGTGCAGTAGGACCCCAAATGTGAAACGTTGAAATGCATTGTCCGGTGGACGCCTACCGACATATGAAGCTCCAGCGCAATCGGCCCAGCATTTACCTAGTTGTTGTAATGAGAGCGAATTTGACACCTCTTCATTTTGCACGTGGCACGTGCAGGGGAAGGGGCAACAAACATGCATCGAGAGTACATAGTCTGGTATGGGAAGAAGATACCAAAAAAGACTATGGGTCGATCACCACAGATTTGGCTGAGATATGAGCCTATCAAAATCGTTACTTTGACCGAGCGAAACAACTATGAAACCCTTGACTTCACACGTGCCACGACAGTCACCTCGATGCATCATGAGTAGTCAATTTCGAGCTGGAAGGGATGGGGATGAGGCTATACCTAACAAAAAAAAGACCATAGGTCAATCGGCCCAGCGGCTGCTGAGATAAAAGCCTCGCATAAGCGTTACGAGCTGCGCCAAACCGCGCCGGGCTGCTCATGCTCAGACTTGTAAGCTATTTAGAAAATCGCAATTCGCTCTCGCTGGTAAAAAAAAAAACACGCACACATTTAAAAGATATTTGGTGAGGCAGACCGACGGTCTGACGCCTGTCGCCTGACGTCTGGCGTCTGGCGTCCCATACGGTCTGATCAGGCCGAGCGTCCGACGTTCAACTTTGGCCTGAACGCCTGATTGGGCCTGATCTGGCCTGATCTGGCCTGATGTGGCCTGAAGCAACCTCATAGTCGGAACCGGGCTGTGGAAATATTTCCTAAGCCCTGATACACATGGAGATGTTGCCGTCGCACGGTGGCCTTTTATGCTAAAATTCCTTTTTGTGGTCTAGCATCAGCCTAATAACACCAGTAACATCAATAGTATCTCAATAAAGATCGCCATATTCAAACGAATACGGCCATTGTGCCAGAATAGTTCCGTGGGGAAATACCACGAAAATGACTGGTGGGATGCAGCCGAATACAGTTCTATATTAGATTACTTCCGGCGATGACCGCTATCGAAGGAGCGGAACTAGGTCCAGTGGGACGCTCTCGGTGGCCGCTCGGGGTCCGGAACAGAACCGAAGGAAGTCACTGATCTTGGAGCCAGGAGAGGATATACGTCCGGTCTCCGGGGCAGCTGCTTTCGCGGGGAGACCGATGGCCTGTGCCCAAACAGATGAACGGGAAGCAACGTGGTTTACTTTTCTCTACTCTGGATAGGAAGGCCAATGTTTGGCACATGTCAACGTAACTCCTTTGCTCAAATGTTTTACGTTCAGCGATCGTTTCTAACGCGGGAAGTCCTACAGTAGTCCAGCAGGCTTCGAAGCACCAGTAATTCGCAGAGCAGTTACCATTATTGACACCAGCGGTACAGAATAACAAGAATACATGTTGCGATAAATCATAATCCATTGACATATTGGCGGCTATGAGGCACCATGGCGTTTTCTTTCATGGACGGCATCAATCGGAGCCGGCCATCATCCGGGGTCGGATTGAGCCAATGTTACAAATCGACACACATTTCGCGAGGTCGGCCCAGAAATGGTGGCCTCACACTCTCAGCTGGGCCCCATCCGGGCTGATGGCACGCAGTAAAACCACTATTCGGGTAGGATCATTCGGCGATGATGAAGCGAAGTTAAATTCGTGAGAGCTGTTGGACCATGATGAAATCGTTCATAGCTATCGCTATCAATTGACAGAGTCGTTTGACTTAGCCACATATGTGTGCCTTTTGAAATTGAATGTTAGTACTGAAATATGCCGCCTACATCATCTATGAGCACAACTCCGAAGTTATTCAAAGGAATACACTTCAACGTGTTGCATATTCAGCTGGAAATGCTGATACTGACCACATTCCTTACAGTGCGATGGATAGAATTGAATATCAACATACCCAGCCCTTGGCCGCGACGGGTCTGTATGCCTGCAGGTCACAAAGTGAAAAGTATTTGAAACTGAATGACAAATAAGGTACCCGACAAAAATAACACGAAGGGATACATTTGGCTCCCACTGACGTTAAGTGCTGTATTTGACACCTAACGCTGCTGGGGTACCCCTGGTCCTTCCCCGTCGGTCCCAGAAATGAGCTCACCAGACTAACATTAGCTAGCGCCGGTGTGTGCCGCTAGCTAATGGAGCAATCAGACAAGTTCGCCACCCCGAATGGCGTCCGGGGCTTCTTCAGACGGCGCGCGGGTGAGAGGTGAGCGCTGGCCCCGCCTCGCGCCGGGAGCGGGACGAGGGGTGGAGTCACTCTCCTGCCTATTTGGGTAGGAGACGGAGACGGTAGATGTTGGGGCCGGCAGGGAAAGTCTCCATGTTCAGCTGAGGTGGAGTTTGAATTTGCGAAAGGTTAAATCAAAAGTTCGCTAGCTCTAAAACCGTGTCTCTTTAAGATTGTTATATTTATTAAACCCAGAAAAGTAAAACATGTGCCGATTATCCCAAATGGCTGCAAGTCAAGTCACCAGCCACCCTCACAGTCACCTAGAGCTCAACAGTCAACACCCGTCCGCCGTCCGCTCACCCCTCCTACCCATACCCACCAGCCCATTCCCTGGTGCCGATCCCCACCCTCCGGTCCAACCTGCAACACTGGCACGTTCCCCCAATCCCTAAAACCCGTGCTCATCTTCCCTGATCCTTCCCCTGCCCCCCCCCCCCCCCCCCACACACACACATCCCGAGGCCTGTCTCAGTGACGACACAGTCGTCATCGGGCCTCTTTCCAGACACTCGGCAAACACGACCAAACGGGACCGGCGGGATGATGGCAGACGTGAGCGCACACAACAGCACGGGATTCCTACCAGAAGGTCGATCAGTGACAGAAGTGTGCCACGTCTTATACGTGCACGAGCGGATCCGTACAGAGATATTACACATAATCCAAATGTAACTACGTTCTTGGACGTAGCAGGATGCAAGGCAGGATATCTAAAAAAAAACTGCAGTGTATGGCTATTGAAACGGGCCATTATTTACTGTTTAGAAGAGATCTAACAAAAATACCATCGTTTATTTTCGGCTTCATGCTGGCTCAGCAGCTGAGTCAAAAGGAAGACGATTTCAATATGGTCAACTGCTGAGTGGGCCTTAGGCTCTGCACGATCTGGCTATGGATGCTTGCGTCGACATATTCTCCAAATGGCGAGCTCTAATCTAACATCAAAGCACTGAACCGGTCCAAGTGGCCAAAGCCCCAGCTGACACCTGAGATATGCGTTTGCATCTGTGTGTCAGTGGGGTAGCGGGAGTCTACGAGCGATGTGTATACTTGAACTGTATGCATACACCGTGTATGTTTGAGTACAAATACGACAAATGTTTGACACAAACACTGAGGCTTCTTGGCAACTTGCATACGAAATTAAGGTTGCCCTGCAAATTGCACAGTGGAGCTCGCGACTGCAAAGTGGGCAATTAATCACTTCGGACTCTGGGAAATGTCAAAAGGGTCCGGTCGCCGATGCAGAAACCAATACCGTATGGGTGTAATGGTGCGCCATTAGCTGACTTTGAAAGGCACGGGGGAAGACACAAGACACAGCTTCACCAGGTGACTGTGATAGCAAAGCAGTAATTGTAATACATCGCAGTCATTTGTATACGCATTCTAAGTGAACATCTGAAAGGGTTCTCAGGGTTAAAAAAAAACAGTCAAAGGGTAAGTGCGATATAAAACTGCGATAAACTGCGAACTGCGATAAATAAAGAAATAGCTGGTGTTCAATTATTGTCTTTTATAACTATGGTAAACGTGTCTTTTATAGCTATGGTAAATGCGATAAGAAAGATCGATACGGATTGGACTATATTATCACTCACAAAGTTAAACCCCGGCAGGACCATTCCATCTTACCTTGTCACAGTCACGTCGTAACAACCACGCCGGCTGGGACGAGTGCTGTTACGTGTCATCGTGCTACGGTCGCGGCTTTTTGTTGAGCGGACTGGCAGCGTCGGGCAGCGGGGAAGACTGGACCACAATCTCCTCAGAGTCCAGTGACGAGTTCATACTGAGAAAAGACGAGAAATCGCAGATGATACATCAGAAAAAAAAGTTAAAATACGTGCACTGCAGATGACATGTGTCACATGTCACATGTCACATGTGAGACAGCACAAATCAGTGCACTTTGGCACAAATGGGTTGCGCAATGCGCATATGAGAGATACATTACCACACATCAGCCAAGAGATATATATATATATATATATATATATATATATATATATATATATATATATATATATATATATATATATATATATATATATATATATATATATATATATATATATATATATATATATATATATATATATATATATATATATATATATATATATATATATATATATATGTTACAGGGAGTATGCGATTTCAGTTAGTTTGCAACGACCCTAGGGTGGTTGTAACCTCCCTGAACGATCAGTTTGTTTGCAACGACCCTAGGGACGTTACAAAATAACTGCTCGTTCCGGGACGTTGTAACGAAACTAGGGTCGTTGCAACCTCCCTAGTTAGTATGCAACGAACCTAGGGTTGTTACAAAATAACTAGGGAGTTTAAGAATTCATCGAGTTTTGTTTCACAGGAGGGCCGTCAACAATCTTGACCAATGAAAATCTTGTTCAATCTACATAGTTCAGTATAAAAGAAAAGGAGAACAAAATTTGAACATTCAGCCAAGGAGTATATGTGGTGCCCGGGACAAAGCACGTAACTGTGATAATGTTGGCTGCATTATATCGCCAGCATATGCTTACATGTAGAAAATATAGTTACTGGGGTAGGTGTGATGGATATCCGTCGCTATCCGTTTGCAGGTTATCCCTCACACTTTTTGGGGTGCGGGGCGGATAAAACCCCTCGTTTTATTTCGCGATTATCTCGCGCTAAAAGCGGCCGATCGTGACGAAACTTTGAGTGTCCTCGAACTTATCTACGTTACTGGTTACACATTCCCTATACAGTTCATGATCCTGAAACCAATGGCATTTGATCTTTGATCTGATTTCTGAGACCATGGTAGACCGAAATTATTTGCCATATATGTTAGCGCACATAAAATTGCGTTTCCGTACTTCTATTGTGATTACATATAAACGTGCCAACATGTGAACTGATGGTTGTCCCATGCATCATGATGGGTTTCAAGTTGAATTGTCAGTTGTCGGCCAGGTCAAGGTTATTGACGTTTGGTGACTTCGGGTGACTGTTTCAAATTTTACGATTTTAATGGATTTTTTTAGCTTATTTTGAATCCAGCATTCGTTGAGACATTTGAGAAGTACGTAGGTATAGTTGTAACGCCAATGCAACTTGCTACGAAGCTGTCGCTGGTGGTTTAGGTACACCTGCTAATATAAACAGGTTGTGCGGGTGGGACGCTTTACTTGACCCAAACTTACCCAACCCAGCCTGGCTTTATCCTCGCCCCCCCCCCCCAAGATTTTTTTCGCGATAGCTCCGAACACGCCAGCAACAGAGAGCTGAAACTACGCATACCTGACCTTTGATTCAAGCCAGATCTCGTGATATCAACCAGATTTTCAGGTCAGGTCAGGTTACTGACCTATGACGTCATAAGTGGACGGTCCTCAGATGCCGCAACTTCGCAACGCCCTCAGTCCCAGAGGAGTTTTTACAGGGTGATGAAGCTTACAGTACGTGCATCTTCTAAAAGTCTCACATTGTACCTCTAGGATTTTTCCTAAAGATCACATGAGGTCAGGTCGGTCACGTGACCTCACCACTAAAAGTCCATTGAGAAAAATGAAAACTGCTATTCTGGCGCCGGGAACGATCTCAAACTATCTCAAGCACACGGATCGTGATTTAATGCACTCCTTGCAAGGTTAGATGCTTCAATTTTGCATTGTTGATGTTGCATGACGTCATTTATGACGTCACTAGGGTCATACGAGCTTTTCGTCAATAACTCCCGATCAAACTGAGCTAGCGAGACGGTTAACCCGCGCCCCGTTGGGCTCTGCCGAGCAACGCGCCCGGTTGGGGGGGGGGGGGGCATTTTGCCCCCCCCCCCTAAGATCTCGAGAACCACGCAACATAGCGACAAGCGGTAAACGGCGTTGGATAGCCCCAACGGAGAACTACCTTGTGACCCAATTTTATTGACCTAGGTCAAACCGATGACGTCACAGGTCAGGTCAAAGGTCCAATTTTCACCGTTTACAGGCACTTCAAGAAACGCGTTGTGAAATCGAGTAAAATGCATTTCATTGAAAATCATCGATGGGGAAATGTTCTTCAAACACATATTATGCTATTTGAGGTCACTGATACCAGGTCAGGTCACAGAGGTCAGGTCACGGGGGGGTCACAATATGAAAGTGTCGTGTGATACATGTTTTATGGTCCATTTTACATGACAAATGCGATTATATGGGTCAGGCAGCCTTTGGGGCCAGCTTAGGTAACGTTTTGGTCAAGGTCAGGTCAAGGTCAGGTCAAGGTCAGGTCAAATTAGGTCAAATTTCAAAGTTGATATTTTTGCATAAAATGGGTATCGAATCGACGCAGCTCGTCACGGGGAGTTCAATGGTGGTCTTTGTTTGGCCGTACGTGGTCTAGAATTGCTAAAAATTGAGTTCAAAAATTTGATGTCATCATTTTTGAACAGTTTTTTCGCTATAACTTGGCAAAAAAACGAGATATCGATCTGAAATTTGGTATGTATATAGAAGAGCGCTGGTACTATCACATATATTCCGGTTTTTTCGAAATTCGGAAAATTTTGGATTTTTTCTAAGTTTTTCTAAAAAAATCAATTTTTTGAATTTTTTTTGGTCAAAAACCAAAAATTTTGAAAATCCGAGATAGCAGCCTTGTAGCGCCGCTTTTTGTCTACTAGACCATATAAAGAACTTTGAAATTGCTTGATAACTGTAGATTTGGTGAGCGTTTCAAGATTGCATGTTTTTTGCTCATTTTTGCTCGAACATGACCTCAGTTTGACCTCAATAACTCCTGACCTAAGGTGACCTAAGACTTGAAATTTGGTGTGAAGGTGTCAAATTGATGCCCGGGAAGGTACTGAAAATTTGGCGGCGCTGCGCGCCGCCGTTTTCTTGCTATTCAGGAAAAACCACAGGGGGGGCCAAAATGGCCCCCCCCCCCAACGGGGCGAGGGTTAAGCCACCGATGGACACAGGAAGACCTGCCGAATCGAATAATATGCAACATGACCTCCTTTGACCAATTTCGCGACCTAGGGGTCTTTGACCTGACCTTGACCCGAGGTCAACATCTTAAGTTGACCTCACCCGAACAAAAAGTATACCATTCGATGTGCGTAAGCAAGGCGAGCACGTTGATGCTAAAATCGCGCTCAGCGACTGTTTTTTAAGAAGTTATTAATAAAAAACCGAACCCGTGTCTTGGGTCACTTGAACTGACGGTCACCGGTTGACCTGAAACCTTAAACTCGGGTACTAGTTACTGTGTCTCCTAACGGCACACACGCTCGTTTTTTCCGCGACGCTCTAACTCCATCAGGGGTGAAAAATGACGAGAGGGTCATACCAACCCTCCCCCCGGCCGGCGCGTATGTAGAAAACCAGGTCCTGCGGTGTTAACTCTCGCCCTTATTGGTGTTTTGCTAGCCGCAAACGCACAGGGCAGGGGTAGGTTATGGGTTGACCTTCCAGGTCAGGTCAGTGACTCAAAAGTCAGGAAAATCGGGACCTGTTAAAACTTTGGAGAGTTAGTTTGTTACGAGTTTTTTTCGGGGCGCTGATCACGAATTTCATATTAGCTTTGATCACCGATGATGTCTTGATGTTTTTAGGCCAGGTCGGGTAAGGTCAGGTCAGGTCAACCAGTAGGTGTCTTGCTAGCTGTCCATAGTAGGTGTCAATCATCACTGGCAGCTTCGTGACATGGTACGAAGGCGCCAAAATTACTTCTTTAATGTTCAAATGGGTGCTAAATTCGAAATCAGCTCCAAAAACTAGCCTAAAAATATATGAACCCAGAAAAAGTGAACTAAGGTCATCAAAGGTCAATGACATTGACCTGACCTTCACGTGACCTTGACACCCACCATAATGCATGGGACCACCATCATTTCACATGTTTGAACGTTTATAATCACAAAAAGACTGGAAACGAGCGGATAATGGCCGTTTTTACGAAGGGCTTCCTGGCGAATGTCCATCTAATTTGCACAAAACTGCACCAACTGTGCACCTAATCTGCGCAAAATGTGCACTAGATGGCCGTCGTGAAATGCTCCTAAGCTGAATGTTTAAATTTTGTTCTCTTTTTCTTTTAGACTGAACTGGATTAGATTGAACAAGATTTTCATTGGTCAAGACTGTTGACGGCCCTCCTGTGAAACGAGACTCGATGAATTCTTAAACTCCCTAGTTATTTTGTAACAACCCTAGGTTCGTTGCATACTAACTAGGGAGGTTGCAACGACCCTAGTTTCGTTACAACGTCCCGGAACGAGCAGTTATTTTGTAACGTCCCTAGGGTCGTTGCAAACAAACTGATCGTTCAGGGAGGTTACAACCACCCTAGGGTCGTTGCAAACTAACTGAAATCGCATACTCCCTGTAACATATATATATATATATATATATATATATATATATATATATATATATATATATATATATATATATATATATATATATATATATATATATATATATATATATATATATATATATATATATATATATGTGTGTGTGTGTGTGTGTGTGTGTGTGTGTGCGTATGACGTCTATTTCTGCCACATAAGCTTCTTTTTGCCTTCGCAAAAAGGCTAGAAACAAGTGACGTCCGCTGCATTCTCGTCGCAGCGAAGCCTTCCCAGAAACAAGTCTGTTGAATTACCGGTGACCGAACTGGGCCAGTAAATAAATCCCTCGCGTGGGAGTCGGCAGCAGTCTGACGTCCGACCCAAGCAGAGGTCAGTGCCGATTTGGGGCTGGCGGCCTGTCGACGGGCGGTCTATCATTTCCCTGGCGGACGCCTTGACACGTCGGTACTGGCCGTTCGTGCGGGCTCATCGGCCGTCTCCTCACTGGGGGGCGGGCTAAATATCACAGCAGGTCACGGCCGGACGAGCCGAGGGGCGCCAGGAGAGCGGCGCTGGCCAGCTGCGGAGGCGGGTCCTCCTCGGCAACCACCCAGACGAGTGGTGACGCGGGTGGGTGGCAGTGACGAATTCAGCGGAGAATAGGAAGTGTGGAGACAATCAATGAGCCTAATCAGACGAGTAGGAAGATTGGACAGAAATACTGTGACAGAAAAACAGAAAAACAAAAAAAAATCAAAGTGGGCACACTAGAAACACAAAAGTTATCAGTGTTGATGGCCCAGAAATTATTCATGGCGGTACCCGACAGTTTTGCAGAGTCCGTAAAAGTTAGCTCATGCCATTCTGTCAATACCAACTGCAATTAACCTCGCTGTAACAGCCGCCGCCAGGCAACACAGACGTCCGCAATGTGCAAGATAAATAAATTATGAAGGCGTAACTTTGGGTGAACCTCAAGTTTAATTTAACAATGGTCAGTACTTTTACTTTCATTGTCCTCAGATTCCTAGCATTTCGAGCATTATCGTCGCATTACAATACCAGCAACTACTTATGCTTTATTGTCAGCACTTTCCTAGTGCTCCAAGAATTATTCTTGTATCATGCACCCATCCATAATTCCTTTATTCTTTCCTCTCTAACTAACACGAGACGGGTTAACTGCATTCGTCACCTTCATATCCCTCTTTGCATGTAAGCTCGCCATGTGTCTCTTACCCACATTCCTTACTGCCTGTGTGTCTGCCATGTCTGCATCCGTCATCGTCGATAGTCGACATTCAAACGTCAAGGTGTGTTATCCAATATACGCCTCATTATCACGTATATATGCCGATTGCCCACAAGACGTATCGTCTCCACCATCGCACAAGCTCATTGTTCATGGCATCAATGCATGCTATCGTTACTGTTATCCTTGTGGCGAAGACGTCATTACGTTCTTCAAAACCAGCCAGACTCATCTTGCGAGCGAGCGCAACTGTGGTCCCTATACCTGTGCATGCGAAAAGAGAGACCCCTGCTGACTTGTGGCGGGTCACCCACCTAAGAAGTCACTTACGAGTACCAGCTTTGCAATCTGCCCAGACGTTCTCAGCGTGTAGAAACGGTCCCGGTGTGCAGCAGCGCGCCAAACACGGTGGGTGCCCAGCGATAGGTAAGCGTTATAGGATCAGACGTAGCGGAGCTACTGTACGTGCAATAATGGTGAAAACCCCTGTATACTGTATAAACACATGACAAGTGCCGATACCGTCGGTCAGATGCTTCAGAGCAGTCAGATTCGAGGTAGAGGGGATGGGATGAATCCAACAATGGAGATCACTACCTAGTCAATCGGCGTAAAAGCTGCTGAAATATAGCCATCTCAAGAGCTCTAGCGAGGCAGGCCTGTCGGCCGGTCGCTAATGCTAAGGCTTTCCGAAGAATTCGCGAAAAACTCGTTTCGCAGTCACTAATAAAAACACATTTAGCCCATCCTCTGACATCTACAAAAACATCACATTCGCATCAAATGTGGCAGGATAAATCTACGTCGAGCTCCAATGAGAAGCGTTCAGCAGAGACGCACATACACGTGACCGACTTACCCCACTAAATCATCAGCCGACTCAAAGCTCATGTTGGGGTAGGCGGACATGTCGATAGTTCCACCAGGCCCGACAGAGGGCAGGCCAGTCGGCGTTTCAGCCAGAATGTCCACCAGTAGACTGTGAATGCAAACGAGCAGTTAGCAACGCAAGATAGATACGAGCAATACAAAAATGAGTAAATAGCACAGCCGATGACAGTATCTGACTGCAACATACTTTAACACAAAACAGGGGCTTGATGGGCTTCAAAAAACACGAAAAAGACTACGCATCTGAATCTGTTCCACATCTTCGAATTTCGAAACATATCTAGATCAAAAGCGAACCACCCTACTCCATTTCAGCCCACCCCGAGGCAGTGTAAAATTTTTCCGGTATTAGCCTGGAAAATCACAGTTAATGAAATCTGCTAATTTTTCATCCTGGCTCATAATTTTCATCTTTCAACACAAATGCACCAAATCCTTATTCAAATCGGTTAAAATGTCCCAAAATAATGTTAGAAGGTTAAGAACTGTACCTATCATGAAAACCACAAAAAATATACATGATAAATTATACGCACCTTCCTTTCCAATCAGCAATGATAGTAATGACACATGGAAATATCTCAGCACAGTGTATGTATCATGCGCTTCGTGATTGCCTCGATTAAAAAAAGAAACAGAACAATAAAAAGGTGTAGGTAAGTGCAGATAAATACACTCGATAATACAATATTATCAATCAATCGGATATATTATAAAATATATGTAAATTTGATTGATAATATTGTATTATCGAGTGTATTTATCTGCACTTGCCTACACCTTTTTATTGTAAAAATCAAAATGTCCGTATGTATGTATGTATGTATGTGTATGTATGTGACGCGTCAGTCACGCTTGGCGGGCTATTGCTCCGGAACGGTGCGGGCTACGGGGGTGAAATTTTGAACGTAAGTCGGACGCGTGCATCTGTTTGTCGTATCAACTTTTTGAGGGGGTGCGTGCAGCGGTGTGCACGTGGCGGGCGCATCTTTGCGGGATTTTGGGCCGCGGCCGTCGCCGATCAGAGAGCACGCGCATTAGCCTCAGTTTCTTCGCTTGCAAAACTGAGCGAAATCAGAGCCGGAAGGTCACTGACCTTTGGCAATGAATACCGGAACAGAGCACCGCCGGCCAGGAGGAGACGCCAGATTTATTCTGGCCATAACTCGGCCGCTACTGGGCCGATTTTAACGAAAATTGATTTATTACGCTGCACGTAATGCTGTCCCTCTTTACGCTGCGCGTAATGCTGTCCCTCTAGTTACATATATAAAAATCAAAATGTCCGTATGTATGTATGTATGTATGTGACGCGTCCGTCACGCTTGGCGGGCTATGGCTCCGGAACGGTGCGGGCTATGGGGGTGAAATTTTCGACACAAGTCGGACGCGTGCATCTGTTTGTCGTATCAACTTTTCGAGGGGGTGCGTGCAGCGGTGTGCACGTGGCGGGCGCATCTTTGGGGGATTTTGGGCCGCGGCCGTCGCCGATCAGAGAGCACGTGCCGTAGGCTCACTTTCTTCGCTTGCAAAACCATGAGCGGAAACATCGCTGGGGGTCATTGACCTTTGGCAATGAATACCGGAACAGGGCACCGCCGGCCAGGAGGAGACGCCAAATTTATTCTGGCCATAACTCGGCCGCTACTGGGCCGATTTTATTGAAACTTGGTTTATTACGCTGCACAGTGCACGTAATGCTATCCCTCTTTACGCTGCGCGTAATGCTGTCCCTCTAGTCACATATATAAAAATCAAAATGTCTGTACGTATGTATGTAACGCGTCCGTCACGCTTGGCGGGCTATTGCTCCGGAACGGTTCGGGCTACGGGGTGAAATTTTCGCGCCGAGTCGGGCGCGTGCAACCATTTGTCGTATTAAATTTTGGTGGGGGTGCGCTCGGTGGTTTGCACGTGGCGGGCGCATCTTTGCAGCATTTTGGGCCGCGGTCGGCGCCGAGCAGACGGCACGCGCCTTATGCTCAGTTTCTTCGCTTGCAAAACTGGGTGAAATCAGAGCCGGAAGGTCACTGACCTTTGGCAATGAATACCGGAACAGAGCACCGCCGGCCAAAAGGAGACGCCAAATTTATTCTTGCAATAACTCGGCCGCTACTGGGCCGATTTTATTGAAAATTGACTTATTACGCTGCGCGTAATGCTGGACACCTAGTTACATATGTAAAAATCAAAATGTCTGTACGTATGTATGTAACGCGTCAGTCACGCTTGGCGGGCTATTGCTCCGGAACGGTGCGGGCTACGGGGGTGAAATTTTCGCGCCGAGTCGGACGCGTGCAACCATTTGTCGCATTAAATTTTGGTGGGGGTGCGCTCGCCGGCCTGCACGTGGCGGGCGCATCTTTGCAGCATTTTGGGCCGCGGCCGGCGCCGATCAGAGAGCACGCGCCCTAGGCTCAGTTTCTTCGTTTGCAAAACTGAGCGAAATCAGAGCCGGAAGGTCACTGACATTTGGCAATGAACACCGGCGCAGGGCACCGCCGGCCAAGAGGAGACGCAACATTTATTCTGGCCATAACTCGGCCGCTACTGGGCCGATTTTAATGAAAATTGATTTATTACGCTGCGCGTAATGCTGTCCCTCTTTACGCTGCGCGTAATGCTGTCCCTCTAGTAATGTCTAAAAATTAAAATCAAATTAATTTATTGCTTTTGTATAAACATTCCCTGAAGAATTGCATTAAACTAGTTCTACAACTGAATGATGAAATTAGGATGAAAAAGCATTAAAAAAGCCAGACTGAGGATGAAATTTTCCAGGTAACCGCGGGGATCTCTCACGCCTTCATGAAGTTTCCAAATCATCTGCTGTTTGGATTAGCATGTTAATGGATCGTTCTCCATGTTTGCTGAAGATATAATCGAAAAATATTGAATATTAGGAAAATTATAGCTGTTTTCTTACAGAGTGTCCGAGGATGAAAAATTCTTCGATTTTTAGTCACCAGTCGAGAATGCTTGTAGGGAGTCTAGTCAATATTTTTATGACTGTAATGCATTTTTTAGAAGATAAGACACTGGACTTCGTTATAAGATGCATACAAACTCTTAGATTGCTGTTGATATAAAAATATTGCCTTTCGAAAATGAACAAAAATTTCATCCTCGGACTGGTGTCCAGGCTGCAACATGGACGCAAGCTATCTCATGATTTGATGAAAGATATAGCAAATACTATACATATGTGACAGCCTCGATCATTTTTGAACTGTGTGGTGCAAGTTTCTTCCGATTTGATGCCATGCAGGCTGGGTAATGTCTCGAGGGAAATTGCACCTCTTACGGTGTCGGGGGCCGGGTTCGGTTTAACCCTCGCCCATGTAGGGGGGGGGGGGGGGGTTGGTGCAACCCCCCCCCGCCAAATTTTGGGTACCTTATGGGGCAAACCTTGCGCATCTTTAGATGAAAAAAAGTTGACCGGGTCATGTCAGGTCACGGAGTTATGACGTCACAAAGGGAACAGCCTCCGGCCTGATCTTCACAAACTGAGTGCCAACGCCCGAGGTTTCCTGCCGGTGGTACGAACATCGGTTGATGGATCGTGATGAAACTTCCCATGCATGTTGGGGCAAGTATTGGCTATCATATGGTATAAGAAACTTGACCGGGTCAGGTCAGGTCACGGAGCTATGACGTCACAAGAGGAACAGCGTCCGGTACTATTTTTGAAAAGCGCCCGAACCACTATTTTGCTAATTCTTGTCACCTCAATGGGAATATGCAGCAATATTAGCTTCTATAGGGAGCAAATGGACCTCCCAAATCCAAAAATACAATCAGATTTCAAAAATTTAAATTTTGATTTTTCGAATTTCTGCCGCCGACTGTGACCTTGCCGACTTCCGGCGCTCCCAACGCGCCATTTTTAGAGCTAGGGAAACGAAATGCATACCAAACGATAGAGAATTGATCAAGGAACACGATAGTGAAGGTTTCAAGTCGATATCTCCCACCGTTTTGCCGCAATCGCCGCCGAAAGTTGAAAAAAGTCTATTTTTCCGAAAATTTGACCTTTGACCGGTCAAAAGTAGGTCAACTGTTGACCTAGGACCAAAAAATATACCACCAATCGCGAGATCTCGGCGAGAGCAATCCGTTGGTCTTTTCCGCTAAGCTCTACGACGCTCCGTTTTCAAACGCCAAGGGGGGGGGTCGCACCAACCCCCCCCCCCTGCATGGGCGAAGGTGGCAGATCGCCGTTTACGGGCGAGGGTTAATGCAACGCAATTATTTAGTAGCCGCATTTGCTGGCGCCAGCGTGACAAACTACGGCGCAAACAACGCGTCGCGTGCCTTCCGTTTTCAGAGAGGGTAATGATCAGGATATATATATAAGCAACGTAATGATAATGCGTCGCTGGGTAGCTCTCTGAAACCTGGTAGGTATTTTTATTTTCAGAATTATTTTAATTTTACATTGTGAAGAAGTTTTTCACCTTCAACTCGAGCACTTTCCTCTCAGAGAAGATGGTGCTGATTATTGCCCATAACTTGTGAATAATGACCATACTGATACGATGAAATTTTAGCCCATTTGCTTATATTTTCAACGTGTGCCCATCTAAAACAATGTTTTATCTAAAACACGTTGTCATTCTTTTCATCATAGCACCCGTTAGTGTAAAAATCATCATTGCATGTTAAGATCGGTCAATTTTTTTCATCACTGACTGATAAAAAAACAAAACTTTTTTTCATCTGCACAGGTAACGGTGAAGTAAAAATTTTACACTGCCCCGAGGCCTCTATTATAAGATACAGTTACCGATAGACCGACCAGGTTGAATACTGCAACGAATGTGACGTCGTTCTCACCTATCATCGAGCGCGATGCTCTCGACGGGCGGCTGCCGGTCGGCGGTCATCTGGTCGTAGCTGGCCCGCAGCTGGTAGTTGGTGTCGCGCGCCTGGCGCAGCCGCTCCACCACGTTCGGACCGTAGTACTCCGCCAGCTGTCGAACGCTGCCCACCCCAGAGTCGACCAGCGTCCGCTCCAGCGCGTCCTGGGAGGAGACGGGGGATGTCAGTCAGTCAGTCGACCAGGGTCCGCTCCAGGGCGTCCTGGAAGGAGACGGGGGAGGGTCAATTAGTTCAGGGTAATAAGAGGATACGGAGGAGTCATTAAAAACAGGGCGTCCTAAATGGGGCAGCAGGATGGTAGGAGGAGGTTACGGCATGACATAGACGCGATAAACAGTAATAACTGACAAACTCAGCGAAAGGCAGAGTCACGTCCAATCCTTCCTTGTAAGTAATTATCAGAACTGTATCAAACAACTGCTAATATGAACTTTTTGCTCTCATTTCTCCCACCCTCCCCTAATATTGAGCCTCACCGCTGGATACCTAACAAAACACTTGTGACGCCCCCATGACACCCCAAGTCCGTCGGATCCCCGGCACCTTCCGCTCCCCGCCACTGACCACAAAGCCGTGCGGTCCCCGCTCCAGCTCAGAGTCCCGTGTCTGTCGCAGCATCAGACACAGCGAGCGAAGGAAGTTGGCGGTGGCGTCCGCCAGCGTCCCCAGCACCAGGTCGGTCGACGCTGCGGGTACAAGGGGAGACACGTCTGTGTCACGAGAGTTACTGACAGAGGGTATCGGGAACGGCCACTGCCAGGCCATCAAGGGGTCTAACGTGTGGAGATCCAAATCTATTGGTGCAGGAAGCAGGAGCGCAGAAACGCTGCTAGTATCGGTGCGGCCAAAACAAAAACTGAAATGACGCTATTATGGATTTGGCAGATCAAAGGGAATAAAGGTAATAGAAAGATGTAATAAAGAAAGGTTGCGTCATTACGTCAAAGAGCTGATCGGCAAATGCCCGAGATACGATTACATAAACAATTCTGTAAGAAGCAAAGGTTGTTAATAACTTCAATCGCCAGCACCATGGATCTCAAAACAGTTTCTTCGTCCAAGAGCGCACCGGTCGGGTCCGGCGCCACTACCCCTGTCCACACCACTCACTGTGGAATCCGGCGTGAGCCGCAATGGCGCCGACCGAGCGCACCATCAGGTCACGGCACAGCTCCGCCGGGATCTCGGGGATGGCCACTGGACTGCCGCGGACGAACCCGCTGAAAACGTATGGAGCGGTGGGGGGGGGGGAGTGTGAGCGGCAGTAGCGGGTGGTGTGGCGTCAGTCGTGACGGGCGTGAGTAGATGGGGCGGGGTCAATGGAGGTCGTGTGGGGTGTGTCACTCAAAAAGACGTGAAGAGAGGACGGGCGTTGTCAGTATGAGGGACGGGAATGGTCATATTACGAGCATTATATGTCTGATTTTAAGCGCTGTGTCTCATAATTCACAAGGCAGACAATTGTGAATTATGAGACACAAGCACACGTGAACAAACAAGCGTGAAATGACATTAAATGTCAAATATACAATGGAGCAGCTTCACAGATCTAAAGGTCTTACCTGTCTTTGACTTCTGGAAAGACGGTGAATTTCTCCTCCAGCTTATCGAAACACTCTGTTAGGTCCACTGGTGTCAGGATCGAATCGTCGACCTGTGATGGAAAGAAATATGTGATTATCGCACAGACTGGAAACAGAGACACACCACCCAGCTCCCATTGACCAGGCATGGGGGATACCTTCAGGTACTGGGTGTAGTTAAAGCCTCCAACTTATAATTGTGTGCATTAATGTAGCAATGAAAAACAGCTTTCATAAAACTCAATATTATTACCACACCAGTTGAGTAAAAAATGTAGCCTCAAGTTTGCTGAATTCCAACATTACATTCATGCAGAATCCAAACTCCAAACACTGGTGTCTTACGACTATGGTCCACCAGCTGACTCAGCAGTCAGCTGAGTCATGTTATCAGGTCTTCCAAGTTCTAACCAGGTCAAACAACTGAGAAATATTGGTGTCCCCATGTCCAGGCACAGGACTGCCAGTGAAGCTGAGTGTGACTGCCCTCAGAAGGTCTCCTTCTGCGGGCGCCTGTCCACCTGAGAGGACCACTGACCGTGGAGGAACTGGCGACTACCCTGCTGAGCGCTGCATTCTGCCTGTCCAGCTGAATGGTAGCCAGCACCAGTGGATCCATACGAAACGCAGCCACTGCTGGCTTACTGCAGAAACAAGAGATAGGATTAGTACAGAACACACCATACAACATGAAGGATACAGAATATGAACCAACTCAAATTTTGTCAGAGCATAGCTTTGGCAAACTAATCACTTGTCTTAAAACGAACAGGTATGTTGTCATTATACTGTTTTTCCTACTCAATACATATCATACTGCAATAAATTTACTAAAGCACTTGTTTACTTCGAATCACAATCAACAAGACACGAAATGACTTTTGATACAGATAACAACAGATCAAACAGGATCAGTGAAGTATAGATATACTCACACATCTTGTTCAGCATTAACATCAGCTGGCTGGAAGAGCTTCGGGCCCTCGACCACCAGGTTGAGCTGCAGCTCAGCCAGCCGCTGCAGCTCCTCTGGCCTGAGGGCCTTCAGAGGTGGTGGTGGTGTCTCATACTCTCCCCAGTGCTCAGATGTGGACATTTTGATGCACTGGTTGGTGGCTCAGGTAACTTGAACTTGAACTGGCAAAGGCAGCTCAACAGTCAACAGTCAAGCATTTGGTAGCCTTTATGTCACACCTGAAAATGAAGACAAATTGTCATGCAAAGCAGGTCTACGCAAAGCTGCTGTGCAAACTGCAAAGTAAAAAAGTTGTATCAGTAGGCGGAACTATGGTCAAGCGTACCCATTTTCGGGAACGCATTTTCGTTCCCATGTTTGGGAACGATAAACCCAAATATGGGAACGCCATGTAGGCATTATTTAAAACAAGAAAAAGAACCGTTAAATGACGTCCAAAAAATATAAAACGATCGTGAACCGCCTGATATTTGTCTCAATATTGTTGGGAAAGAGTTTGATATTGTAAGGCCCATCGTAGTTTCAAATCGTTCGCCTATTTCTAAAGCAGTCCATCATCCGGGCCGCGGGCCCAAATTTGGGAACGCTCTCGTACACTGGCGCTGCAAGCGTTCCTTATTATGGGAACGGCGTACCCAAAATTGGGAACGATTTCACCGACGCCTTTCAGGGGCTCTTTTCATTAACAAGCATCACGTCCAACGCCGCAAATTATTGTTAACGCAACAATCATCAGATGACCTTTCCGGCAAGACCGTCGCATGTTTCGCCCGGTCTTCTGCGCTTTTATTCCCGTCGATCTCGCAGCGGGCACGCCCCCCTCTGCAGGATTACGTAATTCACAACGCTCAGCGATGTTCAACAAGGTCTTCCATGCCTATATCCACCGTCCGCGCCGAGGGTGGAGACATGTCAAGCACCTGTCTGTTTATCACCGATAGTTGACGAGCACAAGTAAGTATCCAAAAATGGGAACGCTGAAATGTTTCACTCTCAAAACACCTAGTCCCAATATAAATCTACTTTTTTCCTTTCTTAATGAGTGTAAGTGGCAAAAGGCCTGGTAGGATGGGCACGAGAAATGATCGAAATCAGCATGAAAATTATAAATAAGGCACATAGGGCGACCTGCATAAAAGAAATTCCCCCAAAACGATCGTACCCCCAAAATACCGAAGGCAAAAACCACGCTCATGACGCTCCTTAACCCTCGCCCGCACATGGGGGGGGGGTGGTTGCCACCCCCCCAGGTAGTCTTTCTGCTCTGCACTCAACATTTTTAGAGCTAGAAGGCTGATTTTTCGTATAGCTGCTCCTCTATCCTTTCTTGATGTCCACTGAAAATTTCAAGTTTCTGTGATTTTTGGTTTCGGAGATATGACCTTGTTTTTCAGGTCATGTCATGACCCAAATGGCCAATTCTCAACATCTTGCGTTTGCCATGGGCCTTATGAGCTTTTGACACCCTGATTTCGGCCTTTTTTGCCAGTCTTACCTCCTACCTATCATGGAACATGTTGTTTGACGATGTACAGGGGTCAAGGTCAGGGTCAAGGTCAACCTAGGTCACCTAAGATAATTGCGTTTTAGGCAAGCTGAATTTACTTTTTTTGAAGTTTTTTGACTGCATTTTTGGTAAAAGCTTCTCAGATCATGATTTCATGTAATATGGACCCAAAAACAATCGGTGCACACATCAGTATATACACAGACACACACAGACATACAAACACATATAATTGACCTTGACCTAACTTGACCTGAAATGACCTCAGCAGCAAAATTCTGGTCGGGTAGTGTGACAAAGAGGTTCTAGCTGGCTTGGCACCAGAAAACAGCATCGTCATCGGTATTTGATAAGCAGCACACTTGATATCCAACGGTGACCCAAAACAGCAACATTTTTTAGTTTGACCTGACCTGGAAGGTCAATGACTGACCTGAGAAGGTAAAACTGGGTATCATTGGATTCGTCTCTTCCCAAAGAATCTTTTTGGTCTTTACTGCTAAGCTCTATCTCCAACAGGAACGAAATGGCGCGGGGGGGGTGGCAACCACCCCCCCCCCCCCATGTGCGTTCTACAGGGTGTCTCAAAAGTTCGCTTACAGGTACCAGCCATGCTTTTTTGTCAATAATTCTGAATCAACAAGAAATTAAAAGTCGAAATTTCGCATGGGCATTGGTGACAACCTTCCTCAAGCAGTCTCATTGTTTTCAAGTGCATTCGACCCTTCATGAGCTCACAAAAAGGGTTCACCTCTGACCATGAGTCAGGCACGAAAATGTAGGTTGCAAAGTCGGGTATGTTGTGAAACTCTCTGTTTCAGGAGTAATGGGAATGGTTAAGTCGGAAATGACACATGGCTAAGTGTCGGCGAGGATGAGTGCAACATGATGATCATCTCATAAAAACGGTGGCTAAAACTTTTGAAGGACGAAACCATGCGAGACTAACGGCGTTTTGAACGACCCTCGCACGACAGCAGACTCGTGTTCCGGAAAGCAGCTGAAAATGCGGTCATAACTATTGAAAACTGGCAAGAAGCTCACAGACAGAGGTTACCCATTTTCAAAAAGTGCAGGTCATCGTAAAATAAAGGCAAATTATAATTTAAAATTGTTTATAATATATATAACGCTAATTTTTGGGGACAATAACACAAAAATCGTCAATGCCAAGGACACCTGACCCTCCAAAAGTGTCAGTTATTGTAAAATTTTATCTAACGAAGTTTCAAGAGGCAGATCTGCAGCGAATAATTTTCTTTTAAACACAAAATCCCGATAAAACCACACAATGGACAGGTTTGGGCCGTTTACAAAGCAGAACCTCTCCCGAGGAAAACACTCCGCAACCGAGCGAAGGTCTTGGCATGGGGAATGACGAGCGCTTGGAATTTGCAAAATTTGCACAATGTGTCTGAGAAACAGACGTCCGACACATTCTGCTACCATATGATGCGAAAAATTTACTCCTGGCACTTCCCGTTTGTTCAGGACTGGGGTCGTTTTGAAAAGGAAAATGGCGCTTGGGATGTCGGCGCCAGTCATTCATGAAGGAGTTAGCGCCAGAGAATGCCTACAAAATACTCATGAATGGTGTCGATGCAAGCTGTCGGCTTTCATGGAAAATCAGATGTTGCCGGGGAGCTAGTCAAAACTAAATCCGACGCAGAAACTGCAGGGGATTCCCCTGCAAGAGCTTGAAAGCTGGTAACCTTTTATCAGCCTCCGGCAGCTGACGGAGCAACAAAAATCGGTATGGGCAAATATTTTTGGAGATACAACAAAGGGGTTGGTTTCTAACCTTCTTAATCAGTTGTCAAAGCATGCATATTTGTCTAGTGTACACACAGACACCAAAACCTTATACTTTTGGCCGGTTCTTATATGCTTTATCGGCATGGGAAATGTGTAAACGAACTTTTGAGACACCCTGTAGGATGGGAAAATGGCATGTGCGGGCGAGGGTTAAAAGCAACGCTAAACAGCTAGCATCCAAATAAAATATGTCTTTCAGGGTTGATAAAATACAGCTGCATAATTTTAAACCACTTAAACTGAGTTTATAACAGTAGTTCGGTAAATTCACTCGCGTTCCACGCGGTCGTCCGCCCCGACACCAAAAGTCCACAATATTACCTCGGGACCGTACGCGTCTTCGCTTGCATTTGTCAGGATCTGGTGTCGATAGTATGAAAGTTCATAACCAGGCAAAAATTATTATAGTTGGACTCAAACTAAAAAATGCTTCATTTTCCTTAAAATTGCATGCTAAATGTCGTATAACCCATATTTCCACCATTCTGTCATTTTTAAAAAATCATTAAAAATATCATTCCACGGTCAATTTCCTTGTTCCACAGTCAGATTAAAGATAACTTTATGGAGATTTAGTAGAGACGTTAATTAGCATGCACTTTTTTGAGACGTGATGCACTAATGAGTTTTAGTGCGCGAACGGCCGAAAAATTGCCTTCCGTTGTCATAAATGGGAACGCTCGTTCCCATATTATTTTGGGAACTCCGTTCCCAAAAATGGGAACGTTCCTATATTTGGGTACTCATGACCATAGTTCCGCCTACTGGTATGTTACATCAGGACTATTTTTCAGCAGAGCCACTTTTTGTTTTCTCGCATATTGAAAAACTACTGGACCGTTCTTGACAAACTTGGTAGGTATCAAAATGATCAGAATTTCATGCTGAATACAAAAAAAAATATTTCACATTTTACTACTATAGGAAAAGAAAATGTACACACACCCTTTTAAAGCTGTAGGCACGCTGGGTCCGCCGCTACAACCCAGCGCTGCCATGACCCAGTAGAACCAAGAAAGCTGTATGTGCACACATACTGCCGTATATGCACACATACAGCTTTCTTGCATGGCTTTGAACTGGTCAATTGCTTCATGCATCCCGGCTTGCAAAGGCTGGCGCGTGGCGCACCTACGCCTGTTTTGTTTGTTCCTCATTGTTTCCCAGCACTTATGTCTTTTTTCAAAAAAGATTAATGGAATTATTTTGTAAACCAATCTATATTTTAAAATGCCATTTTCCCAGACTAAATAGTTCATTTCTCTCTATCTAATGACACCAAAATCCCAAAATCAAGAATTTGACTTACCTACTTATTTCTTACTTTGTACGGCAGAAAGACAAGGTACTTTGAATTTGCGACTTGAGACTTGAGAGTGGTGATTTCCTCCTTTTACAAGCTGTAAAAACTGAAGAAATTCACACAACAAAAACATGACTAGAAAGAACACATCAATCCAAGCTTGAAAAATGAAACCACACATTTGACATCAGTCGGGCACACTGTGGTATTTCCGATCCATTTATGGAAACGTTTCCAAAAATAGAAACGATCTGTTCCATAAATGGAGACGCTGTGTGCATCGCTACCTTTAAAGCAAACTGGGCATTGATTGGTGCAATTTGGCATGCGCAGGATGCCACCAATCGACAGCCAGCATTCTAGTTTATGTTCCTGTTCTCCGACTTTCCGATCAGAAAACCGAAAGTTGACGAACGAGGCGATGCTTATAACATGTTGACGTGATAAAAAATTCACACGTTTTTCTAATCGAAAATAATAACATTTATGAATGTTTTGAACAAAAAATAACGTTTTTAACAGACTACTGAAAGACTGACCCATTGATTGGAACAACCACATCACCGGGAACTTCAGTTTTTCATTCATTATCACGCTGCGTTTTCCGGTGTACCAGCGGCCTGGTGGTCGTCAATCTTTGATTAAATCGCATGAAAGTTGTTGCAAAGCCCTATTTGGAGACTTAAGTGGGCATTTTATGATATTTCAAATGTGCTGAATATGATCGTAGGCTCGGATCAACGTAAATCTCCGTGCAAATACGTAAAAAGCAGGATGGAAATAAGGTCTGCACCGTCGTCACACCAAATACCATTGCATTCTGACGATGAATTTATTCATTCTAGCTCATGTGTAACATGGATATTAATTTTATATGTTGAAATGATATCTACGCTTTATGTATTGCCCACTTTGGACCACATCTGTCCAGTAGTTTCTGGGAAATCTTAGTTTTAGTTGACTTTTGAATGTGCTCAAGTTGCGGCTCGTAAGGTATTATTATCGAACCCGACGTCCAAGGTAACTGCCGAGAGCCGAGATGCTAAACCAGTCCCAAAACATCAAATTTTTAGTTGCATGTGAATTTTAAAAACACATTTAAGCTAAGTTTGCACACATTTGAACTTCAGCGTTTCTATTTTTGGAACATCGGCGTTTCCATTTTTGGAAACAAGTCTCCATAAATGGATACGATTCAGGAGCATTTTAAAGACGTGAATTTTAATGCATACGACAGCTTTCCATGCAAGAAGACAAGTGCTTTTGGTGTATCTGAGCTTGTTTTACGCGAAACAGTTGTTATACATCGAATCCAGCCACCCTTGGCAAGAAAATATGTGCGGAGATGTTAGCGTTTCTATTTATGGAACGAGCGTTTCCATTTTTGGAACAGAAGAGTAGTCAAAATTGGAAACGTTTCCAATAATAGAAACGTCTCCATAAATGAATCGGAGATACCACAGTGCGCCCGACTGACATTGATGCTTGTTTTGATGTTTGATACTTGTTTGATGCTAATCAAAACACACATGGATAAGTGCTTAGAATCAGAATGAGTAAATTTACCTCCAAACTTATGCTTATGTCAGCTTAAAAAACTCATAACTAGCTTGAAAAACTTCAGGCTCAGGTCAAGGTTCAACAACATGAGTTGGAGTCAGAGTAGAGGACCAGGTACACAGCAATAGCATCCAACTGTGAGAAGACTGTGGAGGTCTTGTCATCGTCTCCCGTATCAGTTTAGCTCTACATGACAAAAGTCACGCTTTAAAACACTAAAAATAAGTTTAAAAAATACCTTATTCACTTCAAAACCGAACCCGCTTCACATAAGTGACTAATATATGGTCTTGGTCTTGGTCTTGGTCGTGGGTTAGGGCGCATAGCCTCATCGGGCTCAGAGCGTCCGTAGATGTCTTGTTGCCACTTTCATGTCTTCAGAGTTGGTAGGTAAGACAATGGAGTACTAAGCGTGGTAGTGGAACGGAAAGACAACAGCGTACCGGATAGAACCAGGATATAGTATTGAGGAATATTTCCAGTGGCGAACGTGGCGTAGGACAGTAGTTAATGTTAGTAGCGAACTATAAAATATGGTACTAATATAAAATATAAAATATAAAATACTACTAATATATGGTAGCTCTGGGTAGCTCTCAATAGTTGTCTCCACCGCGCCAGATTTGTAGCATATTTTCCTGCCATATTAAAGTATTTCCTTTCTGATATTCGTAGAATGCGTTTGTTTTACAAATGTTGGTGGTGCGGGCGGCATAAACGGTCGAAACGGTCCGACACGGGCCATGATTTCCATACAAAGGAATCTTAAAACTGTCATTAGACATAACAGTGTTTATCGGCCATCTATCAAATAGCATAGCCTCATCCACATAAGCAAGAGTTGTCCTCTGATAGTTGGCATCTACGTTGTGTAGTCAACAGTTCCTATTCGACATGGTCCCTCGGCCCTCAGGGCTCAGATCATGTCTTTTTAAGCGGTAAGGCCCTCGGAGGGTGTCGTGAGGGCCTAGGCCAGAGATCATCGTGGGGCCCTCAGAGGCCAGTGGCACTGCACGGTCTCTGGAGCCTACGCTGAAGGCCTCAGAGGCAGTCGTGGAGGCATAGGCGGCGGAACGGGGAGGGCACCGGGGCACCGTGCCCCCCTTTGATTTTGGCATTTTAACATAAGCCCTATGGGCGTTGCATGGAAAGAATGGGACCAAAAGTTGACAGTGCCCCCCCCCCTTAATTGAACGTGTTCCGCCGCTACCGCGTGGAGGTCCTTTAATTTTGGAGGCCGGCGCGCGGACCCTTGGAGCCTGCTTGGGAGCCCTCAGAGGTTGTTACGGAAAGGTTGTTGAGGGCCGCCCTTCAGAATTAACTGAAAGGGCAGAGCTGGGCGCGTTCCTCGATTTTCGGTAGTGCGTTAGCGTTCCTGCGTTCCTCCGGCCGCGGTTAGTGCGTTCCTGGAATAGCGTTCCTCAATTTTTTTTCGCTCGGTGCGTTAGCGTTCCTGCGTTCCTGCGTTCCTCCCTCAAAAATACCGCCGAACCACGCGGCGCGGGTCCAACCAAACACGGGGCGAATCGATCACAGAATACCCAGAATGGCGACGTGGGGCCGAAAAGCAGCTCGACATCTCATTTCCGAATCGAATATCTGAAATACGTTTTACCAATATCATCCGTAGGGTTTTCAACAAAAATACGACCTGCTTAAAAACAATAGTTAAGTTAAAAGATGTATTTTAGTAAAAGTTATCATATTTACTTTACACATTTAATGCCTGAAACTGAATCGAATAGTAAACATCACCTCTAAAAATCTTTACACATTTAATGCCTGAAACCGAATCGAATAGTAAACATCAGCACTAAATCTAAGCAAGCCTTCCTCGATTCGACCGACAAGTGGCGCCTCTACCGGCAAACACACGTACTCGAGATTCAAACATTTGACACAGAGGTCATTGGCAGCAATATAATTTTTCGGGTGGTTCCGCAAGAACGCAGGAACGCTTCAAAATTTCGGGTGGTGCGTTCCTCTTACTTGCGTTCCTTTGAAAAACTTTGCGTTCCTGCGTTCTTGCGTTCCTAAAAAGGACGGTGCGTACGTACGGAAGAACGCAGGAACGCACTAAAGGAACGCACTTGCCCAGCTCTGTGAAAGGGCTCTCAGAGTCCACTGTGTGGTCCTCCGAGAAACTGAGCTGCGGCGCCCACAGAGGAAACTGAGCTGAGGGCCCTCGCGACTGGAGTCGCGAGGGCCCTCAGAGGCAGGGGCTGGCCCCCGGAGCCTGCTTGGCCTTTATGAAGAGTCTGTTGTGGAGGGCTGAGGCCCTGCCATCAGAGCCAGCCTGGGGCACCAAACCCGATGCGGGGCCCTAAAAGCCGGTCATAAACCCCAGAGACCGGCATGAAGCGCACATAACCGTATCAGACTTCTGATGATCCCACGTCATCTTTCGTTTCCCGATCGTTAATTTCCAGAGAAATGTATCCAATGGTTCGTCAGACATTTTGAAGGACAGTCGACATTTTAGGGGTAGTACAAAAATACTTGCACTCCTATTTTTGGATCGGTCCGGTTGGCGGCTGCACACCCTACACCCCTCTTTCACCGCCCCTTGGATAAAAAACAAGCATTACATAGATGTTAGGTACCGACTTAATGAACCGCTGCCGTTACCAGTGCTGGTACAGATAACTGAGCTAAATGACTACCCAAAGATACAAATGGAAACACTGTATTACATAGGAACATGATGATCGGATAATCACAAGCAGTACCTTCTACGAGTAAACGGTTATGTAGTACCCAACTGCATGTGCATTTACATAATCTCGTCGTTTTCTTATCGAGCTGTCATCTTTCATAGTTCGTCCTTCCCTTCGGTCGTTGGTGACCTTGACCCCTGATCAGCCGATTCACTGCCCGTGACGTCACGGTCAGCCGACTGCGCAGGGGCGGCTTCAGGCGGCGAGTCGGGTCGATCTTTTTTGGACGTGCTTGTGGAGGCAGACTCCGGCTGGGATGCTTGGGATGATTCCTTCTTCTGAAAATGTGACCAGGAAAAATGTTAGAATGAGAGCAGCGTGAAAACTATGTGCATCGCTGCTTTCACAGCTGAGTAAAAGTTAATTATTAGTTATCTCTCAGAAACACGAAAATAGGATGAATTAGCGTGGAAGAAGGCGGCAGTTTTCCGAATGCTATAAAAATACAAACCGGTCTGAGACTGGGGATGGCGTTGATCTTCTTGCAGGCTTTCATCCTGGTCACACAAATATCCTTGATGGTGGCTGCCGACTTCGGCTTCTTTCCTGGCTGGAAGGCAGCCAGCAGACCCAGACCCAACTCGTTTTCAAATGTGGCTGAAACAGGGATGGAATGTTAAGTCAGCATCATTAGCATCAAAGCATCGGGACACCTTACTCTGTGGATGTGTCTTTGTGCTGCTTAGGATTTAAACTCGCTGTAGGTACCTACTTCCATATATTTCCGTCTTTGTGATAACCGGGCCCCGTGGTTCATTTATTCGTGTGCTTTTTGTGAGGTAAAGCTTGGGCAGTCAGAAGGTCCCTCTTTGACCGATAATTCATGGTGATGCGTATTTAGATTATCCAAATTAAGTACAATGAGCAATGTCCATGAGACAAATGAGTTAGATAAAACAGGTCATACATACATCAAACATCGCTACTAATAGGTGATTGACGTCATATTGTCTCGCTCCAGACATCATTTATTCAGACGGCTTCGTTTTTCTAGGTGGTACCTGATAGCCGTAATAAACTTAGCTTTTTTAATGCATGGAATAGGCATGGCTTATCACTTGCGCGTGCATTTATTTCTGCCCTCGCAGGTGCCTCGAGCCCTCGACTCACCTATGAGGTCCTTGCAGCTCTCTCGGAGCCGGTCGGCAGGGAAGGCGTACCGACCGAGCCGCTGTTCAGAGCACACCCGGCTCAGTGCCTTGTCTATCCGCTGCTCCAGACTGCCCTTGGACGTCGTCTTGACAATCTCGTACATTTCTGCGCAGAGAAATACACTAAGTAGCAGCCGATTAATGCGGTTTCAGGTGTATCACTGCTCCTGCAGTTATGTGTTGTTCGTAATCGTTTAGAAAGTTTCCGCAATGGACCGTGTAACTAAGCAATAGCTTTAGTTTTTCGGCCTTCCTTTGACGGTCATTTTCGCTATAGCGATTACCTTTTCGCTCACACCAAAACATTTCATTTCTACAACCCAACTGTAGGTACCAAAGTAGCAGGCATCATAAGCAACTTCTTGTTCATAATTACATATAACTCCACAGGAGGATGTCTCCCGTAGTCGTGCCACTACTAACCTGTACTGACAGCGTAGCAGGTCTCGCAGAACACATCCCGCTCTCGGAGCGTCTCAGGCAGCTGACGACGGCCGGAAACGGTGTTCAAAAGCAGCGACAACACCAGCAGAAGCAGCAGCGGAAGCCGAGGTGGGAGCGACCGCCGAACAGCGTTTGTCGGGGCTGGTCGAGCCATGGCACTGGCCTGGCTGAAGTGAAGGTAAACCTTGGCGACTTGGGATTACAACTTCCGATGCCAGTTAGGTACGATCGACGACGACACACGCTTGGACACTACTTCCAGTGTACCCGCCAACGAGTAAACGGTTGGCTTCCGCAGCGTTGTCGAGGCCCCACCCCGGCCGACAGCGCCCCCGGACTGGCGGTGCCTTATCGCGGGGCAGGGCTACGATACAAAGGTGACACCGATAACGCCGGCACGGCACGCCGGGGTGACGTCACATCAGGAGGGACGTATGACGTGACGATGAGTGACGTCCTGCAGGGCATGAATTTCATGATGAATGACATTACGAGAGAGGGGATGAATATACGCTGCATGCAGGTGCTCTTCAATGTCTTGCCACCAATAAAAACTAGGTCCTGTATGTAGGCAAATGCACGTTACTGAGACGCGGGTTATTCTTTTATTCGGCGTTGGCGACCTTTGTTCACGAGCAGAGGTGTATGCAGACTACAGAGTTCTATGGTGCTGCTATGTATTTTTAGTATCTACTAGCTTACATAGTTATCGCCCAGACAGTTCCTTCAAAGTCGTTCCTTCATGCCATAGCCTTCCCCATTTGTTTGCGAAACATTACCCTTCGCCGCCTGGAAACTGCTCTGAATGTGTGAAGCGGCACTACCATTTGTCACCTGGTAGCGCACAGCACCGACAAGCCTTTGGCAATGTGCAACATACCACTATAGAAACACCGACCCCGGATGAGCCGGCCCGGTGAGACTGTGTATAAATTATCACTGCTGGTGCCGCCCGGGCAGCGACCGGATGGCACGGCTGACCTCCCGGCCCGCCCGGCCCGCACCGGCGGCGTTTCGCCACCGCCTGAGAACCCGTGCATCACACAGCTCTGCACGCGATGACGGGGGCGTGGCTGAGCGTGGGGAGGGGGCGGGGAGAGGGGTGGCGGTGAGAGGCGCTGCAGATGCGCTAAACGATATTTGATTCGTGGCTCGTGAGTTACCGGTCGAGCCCGGTGGTGAGTGCAATGGTTCGTGATGTGGGGGGGGGGGGGGTTAATGTCATGTCGTGCACGTGACTCTGAGTTCTGTGACTGACTCTCATGACAGTCTGCAACTGACGCCTCCGAATGCGGAGATCGACGGCCTAAAGATAGATAGTGTGCTGATAGATGCGATCATAGATATGGCGCAAATCGTGTCCGTGAATTCTTTTAAAATTATTCTGATAAACGTAAAAAGAAAGCCGAGGTTAAATTTGAATCTTGATCAAAGATAATATGCACATACATACATATCAATGCTTTCTCTTGTACCGAATGAAAGGTCAAAACTTTTGTTTTGTTATGTCCACAAACATTTAATATTACATGTCCAGACAGCTATAATGTTTCATGAATGCCTCATTAGCCGGTGCCGACCGCAATGAAACTGCCCTCTAAGACGCTGCCTGTCGGCTGTCACGCCACTACGAACCGCACGGGGGCGTCATGGCGAGACCCCGGTGCGGGAACGGACGGCAGACGTCATGTTTCATAAGGAGATGGTGCCGCATATTAGCCATAAGCGCACCACAACTTGTTCCCTTCACAGCTAGTGCTCGTTATCTATAATACCATAGATCAGATTTGCGGGTGCCCTTCCCATCTTCTGCCGCTCCGAATTTAAACTCGAACTCTTTGTAAGTGCCATGTCATACATATGTAAGCGTCAAAAGTGAAGGTTGAGAGATTTTACACCATAGTTAGGATTGTGCCTTCCATTGTCTCATGAATGTGCTTAATGAGAGAGTCTACTCAAAACAATCCCATCTCATCGTACTGCAGCGTCAAGCTAAATGCCGACGTTCTCTGATAAAAGTCGCTGGACTGACATACAGCAGACCATGCTGCATACATAGACGACCCAGCAGCGGTTTCGAATTCTGTCGAACAGGCCGATAATGACGCGGCAAGCGGCGCTGATTGGGGTAATTGGAGGGGAGGGTCGGAGAGGGTTACAGACGCACTCGCTGTCTGCATAGCATTTCCATGTGTTGACCCGTGTGGTGTGGAAACCGATGACATAAACATCGCCGTGGTGCCGGTGAGCTGAACCGAACGGAACAAAATAAATGGAGAAATGGAGAAGGTTGATTCGTTAATCATTATAGATGCGAACATGCAGCTCTATCACTAGGCCCAGCGACATTTTCCCTTTTATAGGAAAGATGCCTATTAAAAGTTTGAAAGTTTATTGAAAGATAAATAAAGCTGTTAAATCAACATTTTCGTTGGACGTTGTGTACAAACCCCAGCCCACTATATACGTAAATTTAACGGCTGGTATCTGGGTTTTTGTGTTATGAATTGTAACAGTAGGTACTGCTTTCCGATATCATTCGAACGAGCTACATGAGTTTCGATTCGCATTCATGCCTGATCATTTATAAGCATGATAATATAAAACACGCATTAGAATATTAAAAGACATAGGGGAGAGTGGGGCAAAGCGGCCACCCGGGGCAAAGCGGCCACCCATCGTTTTAGCCCTTCATAGCTGGCGTCAGTTCCAATTTATGGTTTCCAATTATACTTCTCTTCACGGTCGTTCGAATGAGCCAGACCGGGGTTTCAGGCCCATCACCATTGTTCTGTGAAACACGGAAAAGCATTTCTTGCCAGGTTACCAACTATGTTTACAATTTTTAAATGTTATGTTATTCCATAACCGTTTGGAATTTTTATAAGCGTGCTTGTCCATGCATTGCATGGTTATCGTACATGTATTCTACCAGTATAGCGCCTTTTGGGGCGACTAACGGAGCGAGCGAGGGGGTGAGTCTTGCACGTGCGAAATTTCGAGGGGGTACCTCCAACTGACTTGTGCACGGCACCCTACTGACCGGTTTCTAGCGATGTGCCAAATTTGAGCACAATCGGCCCAGCCGTTCTCGAGATCTGGGAGCGGCACCCTGCACGTGCGCACGTGCAAAATGGGTCCCAACTGACTTGTGCACGGCACCCTACTAACTGGTCCCTAACCGTGTACCAAATTTGAGCGCCATCGGTCCAGCCGTTCTCGAGATCTGGAAACGACCCCTGCACGTGCGCACGTGCAGCAGCACCCCAACTCTGGCACATGGATATGCAGTGCCTAGTGGGTGCCTACCTACATGCCAACTTTCAGCGCAATCGGCCAAGTAGTTACCGAGATATTGCAACAATTACAAAACTGACACCTCTTCGTTTTGCACGTGGCACGTGCATAAGGGGTCACCCACATGCATCGGGAATAGTCCAATACTTGGTAGAAGGAATGAAGCTACCCTACAAAAATTACCGCGTGTAAATCGGTCAAGTGGTTGCTGAGATATAAGCCTCGCAAAAGCGTCCGCACGGCCGGCCGGCCGGCCGGCCGGCCGGCCGGCCGGCCGCTCATACTCAGAAATTTCCGTTAATCTAAGGAAAGACTCCGCTCGCTTCGCTCGCTCCGTAACCAATTGTAATGTTTTTTACCCCACTAATAGCTAAGCTGGAATATTTTTGTCTCGGACGGTATGCGCGGGGCAAAGTGGCCGGGGCAAAGTGGCCACCCCCCAATTGGCCATAAGTTGCTTCCATCTGGATAAAAAACATTATTTTTATTCAAATGTGTCGTCATGCATTCATCTTGGCCACTTTTCAGTTGCATGAGTTACCAAATAATGAAATTGAATGTTTTTTTCATGAAAATCCTTTCTATGTTTACCTACAGGTGGAAGATGATAAAGTAAACATCCATCCTCGCTTAACCTTGTCACCATCAAATACCCTAGTCGTACACGAGGCAACTATTTTGTTTCTCATATCGGGTCTTGAGAAGACGCCGGTGGCCGCTTTGCCCCAGGGTATGGGGCAAAGTGGCCAATATGCATAGGTTTAAAGTTTTGTCAATATCTTTCATATGTGAACGCCTTTGGAAATAAAACGCAGTTGAAATAAAAGGCAACTTAACCCGCGCCCCGCTGGGCTATTCAGCCATACGCGCCCTGCTGGGGGGGGGGGGGCAGATTCTGCCCCCCCCCCCGTCTAACTTCCGAACCGATGGTCGTAGAAAGACGGGGAAAACGGCAATCGAAAGCTCTCAACAAGGCGGATCTTAAGAGCCCAAATTTTTTTGCTTAAGTAGGTCAGAGGTCAGGTCAAGGTCAGGTCAAGGGTACAAAATGCAAGTTTCTACAGTATTGGCCTTGCACCGTAGTTGCCGAAGAATGGACTGAGACTGATTGCCCAAAACGTGTTCTTAGACTACCAAGACAATATTCGTTGCACACAATGTCATTCAAAGGTCAAGGTCAAGGTCAGGTCAGGTCAGGTCAGGTCACCAAAAACAAAATATAGAAAAGGGCAGGTGCGACACATGTTTTATGGGTCATTTTACTCATGGAATTCAATAAGCACACTCAATAAGTGATATGGACCACCTCTGGATGAATTTCAGGTCGAGGTCAGGTCAAGGTCAGGTCAAGTGAGGTCAAATTTTGAAGTTGGTTGTTAAGGCCTAAAAAGGTGTCTATCCGATGCAGTTTTTCACGGCGAATCGAATGGTGCTATTTTTATTTCCGTACGAGGTCTAGAACTTCCAAAAAAATCATTTTTCAAAATTTTTGTGTGTCGTGACGTCATAAAATTTTGAATAACTCCCACATTTTTGAACCGATTCTTCTAAAAATTGGTATGTAGGTGCACATAGACCACTTCTTTGACATATATTCCGGTTTTTTCGATAAACTCAAAATTTTGGATTTTATAAATATTTTCCCAAAAAAGTCAGTTTTTTTGAAAAATTTTGGTCAAAATCCAACATTTTCAAAAAACCGAGATAGCCATTTGATAGACAAAGTAGAATCACGTATAACCTTTTTGTTACGTCTTGATTCCTTTAAAAATGAAGAAGTTAGCGGCGTTTGAAATTTTGCCGTTTTTTAGGCGAAAATGGCGAACATGACGTCACTAAAACGTCAATTTCTCAAAAATTTTCCGACGGATTTCGCTCAAATTTTCAGGGAACGTGTCAAATTGATGTATGATAAGGTACTGAAAGTTTGACGTCGCTGGCGTAACGCGTTTAGAAGTTATTGGCGAAAAACGGGAGGGGGGCAGATTCTGCCCCCCCCCCCCAGCGGGGCGCGGGTTAACCCGCGCCCTGCTGGGGGGTGTTTGAACACC